TCTGGTTAAGGCCTGATCGAGCTTCCCACCAGCGCCCGGACACCGACTAACGGAGGGGGTCCCCCTACGATCCGTGATCGGCTGAACTTGTTCTCACCTTGTGTACCCGTCGGCGGGCTGGATCTGCTCTCTCAGGGCTCCGAAGATGCAGCACTTGGTGAAGATCGAGTGTCTTGGCGTGACGCGGGGATAGTTTGTGGAGCAGCGCGGTAGTCTTCGCTCTGCGTCCGAGTATACGCTCCGATCGAGGGTTCTTCGCTTCGATCGGTCGGCCTGGAGTAGATCCAAGGCCTGTAGTTGCCTTTCCGGGTGTGTTCCTTCCTTTCCTGAGTTGCTTGCCGCTTCCTATAGCGGAATCGAGGTCGATTGAGAGACGCAGCGATCGCCGGCCAAGCAGTATCCGGTCGATCGAGGACTTGCACACGAGAGAAAGATCACTAGAGTAGGTCAAGCTGGCCAATGTATTAATCCAGTCTTAACCGTACCGCTAGTTCACTACCCGAAGTGTCAACGCTTGCCGAGGCCAATGTAGCTCCTGGGACTTGACGACTTGAGGGCACTTGTGGTCTTCTGTGCAAATTGCGCTCTGATTTATGTTTAGCTGGTCTCTCTCTACCGCTGCCATCCCATCTACCAATCCTACAACCAAACGATTACTGGATTCTTGCCCTGGCTTCGCCCCCATATGCTTCCCATCCGGGTCGATCGGCGATCCACGATCGGCTCCCGATCCACGATCGACCCCGATCGGCGATCCACGATCGGCTCCCGATCCACGATCGACCCCGATCGGCGATCCACGATCGGCTCCCAATCCACGATCGACCCCGATCGGCGATCTACGATCGGCTCCCGATCGATGACCTGTGCGAGTTGCCGTGCGCTGCCGATCCGTCCTCTTCTGTCCTCGGCCGCCCTAGATCTGCGAGATTGGTCGTCGGTCCGGGCTTGGGTCTACGTAGAATCACGCCGCAGTCCAAGCGCGATCGCCCGTAATCTGTCTTGACATATGTGTTGCCTTACGCGTCGACGTTATCCAATCGCTTGAGATCTCTCGATAGACCCTCTTGATCCGCGACCGCAGCCTGATCCCTGCCTATCGTTCTGCCACCATGTCGCTTGATGTCATCGCAGTTGGAAATTCTTGTTCGTTGCTTCACCACAGACGAAACCAGAGTTCCGAGCCCCAAACCCAAACTGCAGGCACCAAGCCTACAGCATTCCCGAGTCGCAGGCAGCGTGCCAACGACCATCAACAGACTGGGAGCACTTTGCTCACAGCCCTCACGGAGCCCCCATTAAAAGAGCAGCTCGTCCTCATCCACGGTAGCGTTCGCATCAGCCAGTCGAACGCTCCGTCACAGTTCAGGCCAGCCCTTCGCCGACCGTTGTTCATCTTCATACGCCTTAATGCGAGGCGCGAATTCAGGTAGCAGGGAGGTAGTCGGTCGCCAACAGGTCTGGTAGGAAGCCGTGAACACCATGTACTGCTCTTGACGTCCCTTCACGCGTTTGCCGATAATGGTCACGATAGGAGTAGTTACACCGGAGAACGCAGTCTCCTCACCGCCTAGCGAGAGGCGTTCCACGAACGAGATGGAGGGCAAATCGTCCTCCGTCAAAGGGCCAGCATCATCAGCTCCCGGTTGGTGCTCCACTGCAGAAGGTACTTCGTTCGGAAAGGGGCGTCTCCAGCGCCCAGCAAACTTCTTCATTCGGTTGACGTTCATAGGGACGACGCGATCAGGGTGGTTATGAATAGTCACCTTGTAGGTGTTGTCGCCCAGCTTGCCCACGATGCGGTAGGGGCCGTGCCAGGAGAACGCAAGAGTCTTGGTCTTCTTCTCGCCTCGGCGAGCACGGAAGTACTGGTACACCCAGACGGCGTCGCCCTCTTGGAACTCCACGGCGACTTGGTCCTCGAGGCGGCGAGCATGGCGGTCCTGCGCCTTCAGCAGCTGCCGTTCAACCATCCACCGCGTGTCCCTTCAGCGACAAATATAGCCGCCGGTGATACTCCGCCACTTCATTGCTCTTCCATTCATTGCGCGTGTTCAGGAACGCGAGATCGAGAGGGAGTACGGGGTCTCGCCCATACAAACTGAAAAAGGGCGAGTCGCCCAGAGCCTCGTGGTAGGAGGTGCGGTACGCAAAGAGCACCCTAGGCAAATACTGGTCCCAATCGCTCTGCGCCTCGCTCACGAACATCCTTAGCATCCCAATCAGAGTACCATTGAAGCGCTCCACCAGACCCTGGGTTTGAGGGTGGTACGCTGCACCAAAAAGTTTCTTAATTCCCAAAGTTTCATAAAAAGACTTGGCCAGCTCCGAAATGAAGTTCGAACCTCGATTACTCAAAAGGCGTTCCGGCACGCCATGCCGCGAGAGCACCTCATCAATCATAATGTTCACAAACGTGATCGTGTCCAGCGCCTCGACGGGGAACGCTTCCACCCACCGAGTGAAGTAATCAGCAAATACCAAAATGTACTTGTTCCCTCTCGGAGTCGTCACCAGAGGACCGATTGCATCCACCGCTAGGAGAGAGAACGGGCCAGAGAGCTCTTGGACCGACATCCTCTGCATAAGGCCGTTCTTCCAGGGGCGGTAGCCCTTGCCACTTCCACACACCGTGCAGGCACGCACATATTCGGCGACGTCGCGCTTCCACCCGTGCCAGTACGCGTGTTTGCGTACCTTATCCATAGTCTTCGACTGTCCAACGTGGGCAGCGAAGACATCGGCATGGCAATAGTGGGGCACAGTCGCCACGAACGGCAGTGGAATCACAGGTACGGCAATGGAGCGGGCGAGTCCCGCGCGTGCTTTCAAGTGTACGCGACGCATAAGCACTCCGTTCCGGACAACGTAGTGAGGAGATATCAGCAACACTTTCGCACGCAGTTGAGGGTCCAGGGCCAGAGCGCCGTACTCGAGGAACGCAATGACGGCCTGAATCCACGGTGTGCGCTTCTGCTCTTCCACGAAGCGTTCGCGGTCGAGACCGAAGACGTCCACAGACGACGTAGCGGGCCGCTCGGTGACGACTTCGTCTCCGTAGTCGACCTCTTCGTCGTCGGGTTCGGCAACCGCGTCCGGTTCGGGTCCTGCAGCGACGGGCTCACCTCCGGGAGCTCCAGTGACGACAGCACGAGGTTCGTCGGGTACCAGGGGAGCGGGAGGCTCCCCGACTGCGTTGAGAGCGTCTCTCGCGGCGCGAAGGGCTTCGGCCAGGGCACGGGAGGACTTGGGAGGACGCGACGGGCGGACACGAGGCGGCGAGGCGGGGTCGGACCCCTCCCCGACTGCGCCGAGACTGTCACCCTCAGGTTCCGAGTCATCGTTCAGCAGCTCCGCCATCGACAGCGCGCAGATAGTCTGCGAGTGCAGCCTCGATAATCCGTCGACGTGCCCCATGGCCGTCCCCGGCTTATGGTACACCTTGAACCGCAATTGAGACAGTTCCATCGCCCAGCGTGCCAGCTTGGCATTGCTGGTACGGTTTCCTTCACTAAACACCCATGTGAGCGCCTTGTGGTACGTGTAGAGATCAAACTCGTTCCTATCCAGGTAACACCTGAATTTGCGTGTCGCCCACACAATTCCCCAACACTCAATCTATGAAGTTCCGTTCTGCTTGTGGATCCAGTTGCGTTCCGAGCCGACGAGCAGTTTGCTCGAGTAGGCGACCACACGCTCACGGTCGTCCACAATCTGCATCAGGCAGGCTCCCACCGCGAGGTGAGAGGAGTCGACGTAGAGTTTGAAGCGTTTTGAGAAATCAGGGTAGACTAGGATCAGCGGTTCAACGAGACGCCGCTTCAATTGCAGGAAAGCAGCCTCGCAGTCGTCGTTCCACGCGAATTCCACGCCCTTCACCTTCAGGCGCGATGAAGGACCTGCTCGACTCGTTCCGTGACATGTTCGTTGAGACGTCCCTCAAACCGGGACGCACGCATCTCTTAGAGTTCTCGATTGATACGGGTACGAACCCGCCGATCAAACAGCCTCCGTATCGCGTCTCGCATGCCGAGGGTGAAGTGATGGAGCCCGAGATTCAGCAATACCTGGAGCTGGGGCTGATCCAACCGTCTACAAGAGCCCCGTACTCATGATCCGCAAGCCCGACGGGGGGATACGCTTCTGAATTGACTACCGACGGATTAACGCCGTGACTATCAAGGACGGCTACCCGATGCCACTTATCGATGACATCCTCGACGTGCTGAAGGACGCAAAACTCTTCTCTACCATGGACATTGCTTCCGGCTATTGGAACGTCCCGATGGCCGCCGGTAGCGTGGAGAAAACGGCGTTTACCTGTAAATACGGGCTGTTCGAATGGCTGGTGATGCCCTTCGGGCTCTGCAACGCTGTACCCGCTTTCGAACGTCTCATGGAAAACGTTTTGGTTGACCTGAAATGGCGCACATGCCTGGTGTATTTGATGATTGCGTGGTTTTCTCTACGGACGTCCCCACACACCTGGTACGCTTGAAGCACGTATTGGAACGCTTCAGAGCGGCCGGGTTCAAGCGCAAGATGAAGAAGTGCAAGTGGGGAAGGGACCAAGTGGCGTTCCTGGGACACATCATCACGCCGTCCGGCATCCTGCCGAACCCGGAGAAGGTCAAGGCCGTGATGAACGTGGCCAGACCGCACGACTTGCACACCGTTCGAGCATTTTTGGGACTCACTAGCTACTTCAGACGCTATATTCCTGGTTACGCTGCTATTTCTGCTCCTATCCACCGAGCAAATGACACGTTTGCCAGCGGGCACGGGGTCCTCTTCGTCGGCGTCAGCGGCGTCTGCGTCCGAGACTTCAACCAGGCCGGGTTTCCGTAGCCGTATTCCACCATTCGGGTATCGGACGGAGCACACATAGGACTAATTTCGTCGCCGTCCTCGGTGAACGACGGATTGCTCCCGAACGCTTCGGAGCGTCTGCAGAACAGAGAAGTACAGTCGTAGTGCACCTCGCGACGAGAACGGTGTCGTCAAGAGAGAACGTCGCTGGCAGCACGGTAACACTCGCACAACTGCTGGCTCTCGGTACGCTTGGCGCGCATCACGGGTGCCTCAGTCTCGTACCGGTCGAGTATCTGAGCCGTCACGGCGGCCATCACGCTGTTGTCGAGCACGCCAGCGGTAGCGACGACTAGTTCGCGGGCACGGGGCTCGCGATCAACTTCGGGTAGTAATACTGGTTCTACGGGTCGGTATTCGCCGGTTGGCAAGTCAGTCGCCGGCTTCCGACACGAGCTGCAGCGGGGTTCGCCACGAGCCTCGACCTCGAGGACCATCTGATAGACCACAGTTCTCACCAGCGCACGCCATCGCGAGGGCAGGTCGGAACCGTTCTCCTCTTCGGGCGGCTCGACCTCCACGGGGACGGCGAACGTCACGCAGATGTTCCTCCTCACCACCTCCTCGTCCGGGGTCACAGGCTTGGAGAACTCGCGTTCCTTCGGTAACGCGAGGATCTCGTCTGCAATGAAGTCGTTCCCACCTCCGACATCTCGGGCGTCGGAGTCGTCTTGCACCAGCTAGCCGATGGGCGGCGGCTTCTCCTTCTCGCGCTTCGTCTCGCGGAAGTCGCGGTTGGCACGTCTGGCTTCCTCGGACGCGGCAAGCGGCCTTCGGTACCAGTCTATCCAATGCTCGGGCGTGGACAGCACTCCGGGCGACGACTCACGCGTTCGTTCCAGGGTCTCCACGGGTAGGTTCAGTAGGGAGCTCAGCTCCTCCAGCGTGAGTTCCTTCTGCTTCTTTGCGTTCTGGGCTCGCTTCTTCAGCAGCTCCACCTCGTCCAGAGGGATCAAGCGTTCCTCTAGTTCTTTGTCGTACTCTTCTTTTTCTTCTTGCGCACCCAGAGTACAGCCGTCGGCCAATGCATCCAGCTCCTCAGGCGTCAACAATCTCTTGTATGGAGGCGCCTTATCGTCCTCCCTGTCCTGCCCATCTTGGGCGACGGTCTTTAGTCCTTCACCGTCGTCATCATTGTCGTTCACCATCCGTCCGTCACGGACCCTACGCGCTCCAAGTGAGCCGATTCCGCGTCCTCATTCAGCGTCTTTAGAGCGGCCCTTGCCTGCCCTTGCTGTGTCTTTATATGTAGTTGACTGTGCTCACCTGAGCGGTCCGAGTCTGCCGTTCCGGCAGGTTCCTCCTCCGTGTCTGACTCACTGTCAGCGTTCCCGACGACGTCGTTCTCCGGGGTCGCCTCCTTGACGGTCACGGCAAAAGCAGTAGGTGCTCCCGTGACGTCTCCCTTCCGTTCCTCGCTGGGCGGATGCGGACGCTCCTCGACTGGAGGAGCCGACGAACGAGATTGCTACAACGACTACAACGGAGACCGCTCCAAGGACGGGGCCGCGAATTACAACGACTACAACGGAAGCCGCTCCGAGGATGGAGCTGGGAACTACAATTGCTGCTACTGAAGTTGCTCCAAGGACGGAGCCGGAAGACGAACCCACTATTCCTACGGAAGCTCCCCAGGGTGTGGAGCGTGCTTGTGAACCTACTGTGACTACCGCAGCTCCCCAGGGTGTGGAACGTGCCTGCGAATCAACTACTACTACAACAATTGGAGCTCCCCAGGGTGTGGAGCGTGCTGAAACCGAAGAATGCCAGCGTCGATCGAACGCTGTGGAGGACGATTTTGAGGAGGACGCCAATAGCCGCGTCCGGGAAACTACTACGAATACTTTGTACGAGAGCGTCATGCGATTTGCGCTCGAGAAACCCTTGCTGGGGCCCGAACTGAGGGTGGAGCAGGTGAACTTTGTCGTTCAATTGGCCCGGGGCGTTCCCACAGAACGGGCCCCGCAGCCGTCGCACTAGTCTCAATTAATCTAGTTCGTTCTCGGAGTGGAGCTCCGGGCGCCACCGCCTCACGCGCGGGGCGTTCCAGGCCCTCAGACCTCTTCACCATTGTAGTATCAGTTCCAGTCGTAGTGTTGTTCACGTTGTAGTCGTTGATCGGCACGGTCCTTACCGCACCCACAGTCTCAGTCCCTCGGCGAGCTTCGCCGGTCAGCAGTGTAGCCGTACGCGGGGTACACCACCCGGTGTCGTTCCACGGGCGAGAGGAAGGAGCGACACTCTCCTCTCCTCCCTCATGCCCCCTTCATTGCTGAGTAGGCTGCGTTCCCTGAGCGGGGGCGACAGCTTGCGTCTGCGCCGCCATTTGCTGGATCGCCGGGCAGTTAGACGCATAGTGGTCCGTCTTACCACACCCGAAGCACGGACGCAGGCCTGCACCGCCACCTTGACGACGGGGCTGTCCTTGCCCACCACCATTGTTGCCTTGGTTTCGAGCCGGGGCCACGCACGCCGAGGTAGCATGCCCTTGCTGCTTGCAGTTCCCGCAGGTGAATCGTTGCCGGCGACAGTTGATCTGGCTGCATCCGAGCATGTGGCAGCGGCCACACACGGTACGCCCATCTTGCGTGTACATGTCGGGTCCCTGACGGATCCACAATAGGCAGCGTAGGCGGCATCGGAGGCGGCACGACAGGTTGGGTCTTGTACGCGACCGCGGCGTAGCTGGGACGTCTCGGGGACCGCGTAGCACGCTCCAGTTCGGCTTGCTGCTGCATGATCAAGCTCTGGTTCTGCCGGAGCATCTCCATCATCTCCTTCACGGCCGAGTCCTCCGACTTCTTCTCGGATGACTTCTCGTCCGCGAAGTCCGCGTCGTCCTCGACGGGAATGTGCATGCCTCTCTGCAGGAGGATGAGCACGGCTTGCTGGATGGTGCTCGCCATGGCAGACGACAGGGCCGCCTTCCACTCACGGTTCCTCAGTCCCGACAGGAAGTACTGGTACCTCATGGTCGGGTCGAAGCACTGGGCCTCGTCACAGAGACTCTTGACCAGATCACCCCACACCTCGGCGGACATGCCGCGGGAACGCTTCGTAGTCTTGAGGCGTACGATCAGTTGTAGCAAATGAACTGGTTGTGAAATCGGATGCGCAGCGTCTCGAAGCTGTCGATCTTGGAGTACATCCACCACTCTTCAGCAGGTTTGCCCTTCAGGCACTCGCGGAACGCACTGATGCGTAACTGTTCCTCGAGTTCGGTCGTGGCTCGGGCGAACGAGTCCCAAAACAACTTGGCCTTGTCGACCGTAGCGTGGTCCGAGTGGAACGGCTGGATCATCCTCACCGCGTACTTGATGTGCGATGGCATTCCTCCGTAGTACGTCGAAGCGATCGGACCCGTAGCTCCTTGACTCATTGGAGTCTGAGCGCCGTACACAGGCGGAGGCACGGACGGATTCGGGCACGCTGCCCGTCGATGCAGCAGTCCACGTAGACCGAGAAGGTGCCGCGTCCGGGGCACTTACGAACCGCATCCCCACCGGCGACACGCCGAAGCCGTATCCAGCGGCGGCAGGGATTCCCTCGAGAGAGACGCCGTCATAGGCCGCAATTGTGGACCGGAGGCGCGGAGTCGTAACCGAGGCCGAAGTGGGCACCGAAGTCGTACTCGGAGTCAGGGTAGGAACAACGTTCGCCGTAGATGGCGTGTACGCCCACCCAGCGGCGCTCGACTGAGTCGGAGGCACCACTCCTGACGCGGGCAGCGCAGCGTTCCACGCAGGGACGGAAGGTTGCGCCTGAGGCACGACGCTGGCTGTCGACGGCGCTGCAGTCCACGCAGGGGCCGACGGGTGAGCTACGAAGGGAGCCCCAAGGCCGCTCCCAGCGTTCGAAGGAAGGGGCACCAGATCCGGTCGACGTAGTCGGGGCAAGCACAGCGGGAATACTTCCCGGTAGAGGGATGAATCATCCTCCAGCGACTTGAGGCGTCGCAGTCGGCGCAGCAGAGGGCGCCGTACTCGTGGGCACGCGGGTCGCGGTCGCTTGGGCCGCGGGGTTCGGTCTCGTCGTCGCCCACGACTGACCAGAGGTTCGGCCAGCGTGCCGGCTTGTGATGTCCAGCGCACGTTGAAGCAGGTCTCGGGCGGCGGCCAGACCCTCAGGAGTCGTGACGTCCGGCAGTGTCGGACGCGCGGGGTTGGTCGTCGCCGCACTTGGCACCGTCGAAGCGGAGGCCGCGGTCGTCGCGGTCGTCGCGGTAGTCGCAGCTTGTGCCACCGTCCCGGTAGGCACGGTCATCGCAGCGGGCGCCGCCATCGTGGCGGGCACGGTCACGCTCGGCTGGCCTCCTGGTGCAGCCCCCATCGGAGTGGGGATCGTCGCCGCTTGGTCGCCGCCAGCAGACCCGGCCGAGTGAAAGCCCTCACTCGCCAAGTCCTGCTGCTCGCGGGGATCGCCTTGAGTCATGATCAGCAGTGAGCGCCGATTCACGGAGTCGTCTCAGGCGAGGGTTCTTGAGTCAGTTGCACCGCGCAAGTCCTTCTTCAGTTAGCAGCGTACCCTGCTTCTCCACCAAATGTCGTATACCTCCACCGTCAGGGGTCGAGTACGCTGGGACTGTTTGGAAAGAAGGGGCCTACACGGGGTCGAAGGTGACTGGGTGTTTAGAGGAGTGAAAGCTTTAACAAAAGATAACCTTGTAGTTGATACAAAAGCTTTCTTTGTGGTTGTTGTTGTTCACAAGACAGGGAAGCTTTACGACTGAATCTACAAGCCGAGGGTCGGCACGGCCGCCCTCGATCCTAAGGTCAATACCTCTCCTTGCGCTTCTCGGAGTTGCAGGTGTACCCTTCGTCCTTGGGCACGACAACCCCTCCGCATTCACACCATATTCCGTTGTTTCGTACGTACGACACCCGTCCTCGAGCGGGGATGGAGACGTCCACGGACCTCCAAGAGTCCCACCTCACACGTGCATCGCGCCATCATTCCCAGCAGCAACTCGGGTACCTCACCATCGGTACCCCTCGTAGGATGTAGCCATTTCGGCACTCCAGCCGACACGCGAGTCTGCCGCCCCGATGCCTGGCACGGGGTCGGTATACCCCGGCACGGGACAGATGCAGCTTTTCCGGTCCTCTCGGGTTTTGTGCAAGAAGTTAGACGCCCAGTTGGTTGACAGATACTTCCAGGGGTTTAATACTCGGTTCCCTGATAGATTACCGTCGACATTGATCGAGTACGTACATGCTCATCACAAAGTACGGGGAAAAGCTTACTCACGCACTGTTGTTTGTGTAGGAATTGGACCCGCATCGTTCGCAAGGACGAAGTTACAAGCACGAAAAGGGGTTCACCACAACAAAAGGGCTTACACCCGGAGCTAGGTGAAGATGAAAATACGGTTAGCTCCACTCGCGTGTCTGGATTGAAGAGGCCTCGTACCAACCCCAACGTCGTCAAGCATCTATCCAAGCGTGTCGCAACAACGTCCAGTCACGTGAAAACATGCGAGGACCCCGCTTCGTGCACGTTTGAGGTGAAGCTAAAAGAGTAAGGGGATTGGCCAGTTTAGTAGAGCAAGCTGAATTTTTGACTTTGAAAAGTATTTTCTTGAAAACTACTAATCTTTTGGAGATAAAACGTGTACACAATGAAAGCCCTAGATTTGCTCTAACATGTGCACCAATCCAGACACAGTTAGCAGCTATAAAAGTGCTATTATATTGTACTAGTAGCGCGCAAAAGAAAGCATGCCTACAGTATGCTGCGATCAGTTTAGTAGAGCGGAATAATACTGGTCTTTGTATCGAACTACCATATGGAAACGCGTGATAAGAGTTTTATAGCCAACCAAAGCACGTATTTCATTATTTCTGCAATATTACTGGTTCTACTAAACTGGTCAATTCTACTAAACTGACCAAAACCCTTGTGCTGAAAGCCCCAAGGAAGTGTAAAGGTATGAAGTCCCACTCCAAAGCCGTCAAAAAGGTGCAAAGTCTCGTGGCTCAAACGCATGAGATGAGCACATACTGATGCATCCACCGCAAGGACAGATTCGCCCTAGGGCCAGGCGAATGTTCGACACTGCGACGAAATATTTGGTGCAAGTTATTCAGCGTTCCCCGTTCGAATGTATCACTTTCGACGTCATGAAAGGTTTGTTGGGACAATATGCCCGTGTGTTGCAAAGCGTAACCACGAAGGATCGCACAAAAATCAACAAGTGTCTGGAAGAAAGTTTCGCGAGTTTACAGCAGTATTGGAACGCATACTTCGCAAATGTGTTCCAATCTATGCGAACGATTGTCGGGAAAACCAAAGTGGAAATTGATCGGGGTATGGGCCCCAAGAAGCTAGGAGCCCGAGCTTTAAAGCTTTGATTCAATATCGCAGCGCTTCAACTTGAAGCTTTCAAGCCTGTAAAACTGATATCGACGCCACTTGAGTTTGGGAAGCATGATACGCTTTTCATTCTACTTTGTGGACGTCCTCGCGCAGAGATTGAGCGTTTAGAGCTTCGCTGCGGAATGATGCAAGCGCCATGTTATCCGTGTGCGACTGTAGTCTGCTCGAGATTTTCTCGTTCTTGAGCCAGTTGGTCTCTAGCGCCTGACGCATAGTGAAGCGATCTCGCGGGTTCAAGTGAAGGAGCCCTTCGGCGAATTCCAATAGTTCCTCGGATAGTTTGCAAATCGCTGACTGCTCGAGATACATGACCTTCAGGTAGGAGCGCAGCCCCACTCGCGAGAACATGGCAAACCCGTTGTCGTCTGGTCTGGCAGCATCGAACAGCGGCTTCTTCGTGAGAAGTAGGATAAAGATAATCCCCACAGCCCACACATCAGCTTTCTCGAGGTCGATCGTCTCACCAGGCTTGAAGGCCAAGACCTCCGGCGCCATATACGTCTTGAGGGGCGGTGGAGGTAGCTTTGACAGATACTGGTTCTGGTTGTCAGATCCCACGAACACCGCGTGCTCAAAGTCACCGATCTTCAATATGTTTTCACTGGTCACGAAGATATTCTCGAGTCCAAGGTTGCAGTGCGCTACACCGTGCTCGTGGAGGAATTGCAGACCCGAACAGATTTGAAACATGGCGTCGCACACTTCGCCTTCGGTGGGGGAGAACGTGAGACGCAGCCCCTGCTGTGGACTTTCAATGTAGGCGTCCATCAGAGTGCCAAGCTCGCAGAACTCGACAATCTGGTGAAGCTTCTCGTTGGCGACGTAGTAGCCGAGGAGATGAACCACGTTTCGGTGGATCGGCATCTTGAACGTCTCGCAAAAGTTGGCGATGTAGCACATGATCTCCAGCTCGTTCTGTGCCAGCGTCCTCGTGTCACAATGCACGTGTAGTCGGGTGTTTTTATCCACGAACAGACCTTTTTGTCGCTTGCGAAGAAGTTTGTGGTCACCGACGACGTCAACGCGTCGAGCAGGGTCCACCTTGTCGCATAGATTCCACTCGACGTTCAAGGCGCGAGGACTTGTGAATATCTGCGGCACATCGTCGGGCCCTGGGACCACGAGACTCGCTCGAACGAAAGACTTGTGTCGCACTGATGCTGTCACTTGCGGCTGGAGTTTCTCTTCGAAGAGCTGCTTCTTGGACTTGGAGCGCTTCTTCAGCATTGAGCGCAGTTGCGGCTTCTGCGCGGTGTCGTACAGGAAGTCCATGAACAAGTCGACTATCGAACTGATCCAGTTGCCCATGGCCTTACGATTCCTTCAAAAATCCGAAGTGGAGAAGACACGCTGGGGTTTCGGACGGACTGCGTCGGTTGACTGATAGGATCAAGAATAGCAGACGAACATACTATCAAAAGGCAACATTCAATGCACTTGCATTGTCTCCATTACGCTACGTTACGACATGCGCAAAGTATCTTGAACAACCCCATTTGTACCGCGCGCGCTACCGCAAATCTACACCGTCGAAGTGTCCTTCTCATCGCTGTCACTGCTGGCTTCGTCGAAGTTAATCTTCTTGGCCACCTGCTCGAGCGCTAGGTCATTCTCAACAGCAGAAACAAAAGTCGTCTGCTCTTCCACTTTGGTCGCCTCGACGACCGCCTCCTGGACTTCAATAGCGACGTCATCCTGAACCGAAGCCTCCACAGTAGCAACCGGTTCGTCAGCTGGCAGGACCTCCTTCTCTACAACGGTCTCTTCGACTGAAACGGTGGCTTCGATCGCAGTGTCCGGCTCCAATGCAGTGAGCTCCGCTGCTGGCGCTGACGCAATCTTCTCCTCTACCGAAGACACTGATGACTTCGACGATTTCTTGGACGCCTGCGAAGTTACCCCGTTCGACGATGACGCACCCGCGCTGGAGGCAGTCGAAGACCCTCGAGTGTGGGAACGGGCAGCGCGCTCTCGCTGTTTCTCCTTCCGCAGTGTTTTCTGAATCTCCAGCTCGCTCTCCTTTGCTAGTCTCGCAAACTCATGAGCTTCCAAGCCGCGGCGAACTTCCTCAGCACTAAACTTGAGTGCCTTCTGCTGCCGTTCAGCGAAAAACACGCGCAGCTCCTTCTGACGCCTCTCCGATTTGGCTGCGTTCTCCTCTTCCAAGCGCTTGCGACGCTCGTACTGCTTCTGGGCACGCTCAGCGTAGCCTGGTGCATTCTCGTAGTCCAAGTATCTGGGAACTGTCGAGTTGAGCTTCTTTTGGGACACTGCCGACCGCAGGAACGGCTCCGGTGGTCCATCGATCGTCACTCGTGCAGAAAGAGAGGCACGGCGGTCAAATGATTCAAGTACACTTCTCACTCCAGCGGAACCAAGACTCTTTCGGCGCTCTGCTGCGATAAATTCTTCCTTTGTGATCGTTTTGTGAGTGGCAGCGTGCATCGATCCAGACTGGATCCCTTGCATGACTTTGCTCTTGACGTTGGAGTACCGCTTGTTTCGGGACGGAATCGAGGCTGCTGCGGCGGCGACATTTTCAGTATGCTCAGCGGCCTTCTTTGCCATGTAAGAGGCTGTTGGAGCCATGATCGAGGCTCGCTTGGGTGCCACGGGAACAGTCGGGCCTGCATTACCCTTCAGCTTTGACGCGTGATTCCTTACAGTAGGGTTAGATTCGCTAGCTTCAGATTTGCCCGGGACGTTCCTCGCCTGCCATGAAGCCGTAGGCGCTGTGACGGACGCTCTCTTCATAGGGACGGGGACTGTAGTTGCCGCCGCTGGAGGCTTGAATCCGGTCCGGTCAGCTGTAGTCTTTTGTTTTGAAATCTGGTTGGGTGGAGGCGATGCTCGATGTGCTTCCTCCGCTTCAGCAGCCTTTCTCGCCATGTAGGACGCGGTTGGTGCCGTGATTAAGGCCCTCTTCATTGGAACAGGGACAGCCGGGGCAGTAGGCGGGGGCTTGATGAATCCAGTGTCACTCACTGTTCCCTTCAGCTTAGTCGCCGAGTTTTTCTTCATCATTTGTTGCGACGCTTTCCGTTGTTGCTCTTCTGCGTCGGCACCTTTTTTTGCCATATATGATGCGGTCGGCGCAGTAATCGAAGCACGCTTCATTGGGACCGGGACAGTAGTTTTTGAGGACAAAGATCTTGCAGATCCAACTGATCCTGCTGACACCTTGCGAGTTAGCTTCGGAGATGCCTTCGAAGCAAGAATCGAGGTCTTGCTTGAGGAGCTCAAATCCTGCTTCACCTCAAACGAGGAAACCCCACCTATGAGCTCGTCAGCAGGACGTGTCTTCGTCAATGACTGAGGTCCAAACTCATCTTCACTGTCAGTCATTGGGCGCTCACCCACCACGACAGTGTCCTCAGTTTCGATTGTGTTGTCATCCTCAAGTACAAACGAGCGCTCCGTCGTCAGCATTGGACGGGACGTCGACTTCGTCTCCTGTTCGGGTTCCGCTGTCACTTCGGCGACTGTAGACTTATCGAGGTCCAACTCAACGAGTCCATTTTCAGCACTCAATTCGTCCTTCGCAATATCTGGTTGACTTGCGAGGGCCTTCTCGGAAGATTGGATGTCAACTTGCTCAGTCTCAGCGCTGCTGTCAACATTTGCGATAGGAGCAGCGACTTCTTGGTCAGCTTGTTGGTTCGTTTCAGGCTCATCGAGGCTTAGCTCTACGAGCCCGTCACTCGAAGCCACTTGTTTAACCACTTCACCCGACCGATCAGCTCCTGCATCAATAATGTCCAGATTCTCCCCGGTATCTATGGCAATTGCTTCTACCTCCACAGCATCGGCGTGCTCAACGACGCCGAATTCGAATTGGGCATTTCCAACTTGTTCATCGACAACTTCGACGGACTCTTGCGTTTCTTCAGATGATTCGACCATGTCGCCGGCTACGTTGGTGAGGTCATCTTCGGTATGTTCGACTTCAAGGGGGACGTACTCGCCAAGATCGTCATCAGCACGCCCGTCGTCTGCCGTTGACACATTATTTTCGTTGTCATTCGCAGATAATGCTTCATTCCACTCAGGTTGAGCAGACTCTACTAGGTCCAACTCAATAGGTCCATTGCCAGAGCTTGGGACCTCCTCATCTTGAACGGTAACCTCATCCACTAGTGCTTGAATCGACTTGAGTTGAACTGACTCGTCAAGACCCAGGTCAATCAATTGGTCAGCAGCGCTTGGTGTTTCCTTGGCAATCTCCTGCTCGATGGCAGCAGCCTCAACGTGTAACTGCTTCTCCAAGGGTTGGGCAGTCTCTTCAATTCCCAGCTCGGCAGATGCAGTGGCTTCCTTCTCGACACCATGCTCCATGATATCTTCGTCGACTGAAGTTTGGTTGTCCTCGTGTTGCGCAGGCTGTCCGATGTCCACGTTAACAGGTTCGTCATCACTGCTTGGCATGTTCTTCTCAACTCCTGACCCGAACGTAGTATCACCAATTGATGTGTCGTTTTCTTCAGATTGGGCAGGGTCACTGCGACCCAGCTCCTTAGGTTCATGCTCAGCACTCGGTACATACGCCTCGATCTCCTCCTGCTCAATGGTAGCCTCAACAACTGAAGCTTGGTTCTCAGCAGGCAGGACGGTATTTTCATCGGTAATACCCTTATTCGCGTCGCTACCATCGTTTGCATCTCCAGAATTCGTGCCAATACCCTCTTGGCCATCAGTAACGGGAGAAATATCTGATTGGTTGTCGTCGGGGTCAGCCGTAAGATCATCGTTACCAGTCTGAGGAAGGCTGTGACCCTCATCACCAGCCTTCGTCATTGACACTTCTGAAGACTCCAGTGGTTCGTTAGCTGTACTCACGAGCACGCGGTTGTCCAATTCATCACCAATTTCGGTTTTTCCTTCTGTTGGTTCGACAGCAGCACTATCCTTCAGCTCCAATGGACCCACACCAGCGTGAACTTGATTGTCTTCGTGAGAGACATTCGGTGCTGCTTCCGAACTCTTGACATTTGTCGAAGAGGTATTGGGTGACAATGCAGCGTGTTTCAACTTGATCTTCTCTGCTTCCTTAGCTGCTTCCTCCTGTTGCTTCGTAAGAGCCTCAAACTTAGCCTTCTCAGCACCGACATGGATACTGCGCTTGCCTTCATCGGGGAAAAACTCGCGAACGGTACGGAATTTCAAGTTGTCGAGAGCATTGTCCTGTTTCGCCTGAGCTTCGAACTTCTGCTTTTCGGAGCCGACACGGACGCTGCGCTCTTCGGGGAAGAATTCACGGACAGTACGGAACTTCAGACTGTCGAGGGATTGTTCACGCTTGCCTTCGAAACGACTGGCAATGCTCTTCACGGGTGTCACGGCTTCTGGGGCGCCATCACTAGACTTAGCTGGGGAATCACTAGCAGCATGTCCGTCGTCGAAACTGAACTTCTTCCTGCTACCAGCAGCATCAGGAGTGCTGAGGTTGAAGTGGTTAACTGCAACTCCGGAATCGTTCACAGCGGTAGCCTTGAGCTCAGGCGAAGGGGCAGGCGACGCACCATCCTTACCAGGAGATTTAAAGCTGGATGCAATCTTGTATTTCGACTTTGCTTCTTCTTCAGCCTTGGCCTTGAGCTTCTGCTGTTGAGCTTGAGCCTCGTACTTTTGCTTTTCGGCACCCACACGAATACTCCGCTCTTCCGGGAAAAACTCGCGCACAGTGCGGAACTTCAGGCTGTCTAGAGATTGTTCGCGTTTGCCTTCAAAGCGGCTTGCGAGACTCTTCACAGGCGACATCCTTTCAGGTTTTGCTGGATTACTCATCTCTGTCGGTAGCTCTGACGTTGGTGGGGTAACCTTGACCGATAGTAACTCCGATTCCTCACTCTGCACTGTGCCAACTGAATCGGTAAGTTCAGCAGTGGGGTCCTGAGCATCAGTCGGCGGAGGTGCAACCACTTCTTCTTGGTCAAGAGGTGTCTCGGTTGTCTCCCCAGCCGGCTCAAGATCAAGATCAAGCTGGAGCGAAACGGGCTGAGTCTCCTTGACAGCAGTAGCTCCAGTATCTTCATGTGTCATTTCTTCTGCCACCACTGGTGATGCAGCATCGGTAACATCCGACTTGGTCGATAGACTTTCCGAAATCGTAATTTCCTGAGTAGAGACCTGGGTTTTAACAATGGACTCTTGACTCGCTTCTTCCGCAGCGCTATCCGACTTCTCCAACACGACAGGCGCTCCCTCGCTCGCTGGCAACGCATCCGAAGTCGCCTCCACATCATTCACAACAGCAGTAGGCGACTCCTCCTTTTCCACATTGTCCGACGACTGCGAGGTCGGAGCTGCAGAGGACGCGTCACCCAGCTCCTTTTCACTTGCCTCTGCTGTCGCAGCTTCATCTTGTGCTACCACCTGATCACTCGACCTCCTACTCGAGGGAGGCGACTGCCTTGCGGCTTTGGCAGCTTCCTCCGCCTCCTTCTCAGCCTTCCTCTGCTTCTCCAACGTGTCGTACTTCTCCTTCTCGGCGCTTACATGGACGCTCTGCTCTCCGTCTGCGAAAAAGTCCCTCTTGGTGCGTAGCGGCAGGTCGTCCAGACTCTTCTCCTCGGGCACCTCCAGCCGCTTGACCGCCGTCTTGACGGGCGACGGACTCACGAGTTCCAACTTGGCCGCCGACTCGGTGCGACTTGGCAGCGGCTTCTTGCGCCCCACTTTGAACCTCGAAAAGAGCGATCCAACCGCGCGCGTGCCCGTGTCCTTGATCGAGTCCAGCGACGATGTGCGCTCCAGCTCGGGCGGCGCCAGCTCGTCCTCACTGGCAGCGGCCTGGTTGTCCTGCTCCTCCTCCAGCGTCTCCTTCTTCTCCTCAATAGAGAGCTCCATAGACTCCTTCTTCTCCTCCGTGGAGGGCGCTGTGATCGCCTCAGTAGAAGGAGGCTCCTCGTCCTTCACCTCCTTAAGTTCTGGGGTCTCCTGCTCTTGCTGCGCGTCATTCGTGCCCTCAATAGAGGGCTCCTGGTTCTCCTCCTCCTTCTCGTCCTGCGGCTCTGGAGTCTCGGGCTCCTGCTGCGCGTCCTCCTCGATCTCGGACTGCGTCCTCTCGAGGCTCTTGCGGCGACTCTTCTTCTTCTTTTTCTTCTTCTTCTTGCTCTTGCCGGCGTCGGCGTCCGTGGGGCTGGCCGCGGCCTCGAGATGCGGCTCCGGCTCGGCCTCCGCCTTCACGTCCACGGCGGGCGGCGCCACCAGCGACTGCGTCTCGTCCATGGGTGCGTCGAGAGTGAATGTGCGTGGGAGTGCGCAATTTGGCGTGTGGTTTGCCGTCCGCACTCTTGGGCGCAGATATGCTTTGAAACTGCGTGTTGCACGGCCGTGAAAACCCTGTGGAAGCCGATACCCAACTCAGGTATCGATTTGTGGATTTATGCTCTTAAGAAGGCTGCATCAGATAGAAGTAGTGTGTATTTTGGCTGAAGAGTGATATGGCGGAGGAGAGTGACATGATGCAAGATGGGATGACGCGAGTCGCGCGAAAACTGGTCGGCATAGAGCGCTCTTGTGATTTTTGACGCGATCTGCCGGGGACGGACGGTTGTTCTCGTTCTTGAGATGAGGTCTTCTATCCCAGAGAACGCGGAGGCCGCATTTCTCGCAGACCATCTAACTGAGCTAAACGCCAATGACAGCGGCGCGCAGGCAGTGCGATGGAGTACGAAGTAGAATGCTATGCAACTTCGCTTTCACCTTCAAAAGCACCACTGCCGTGGCGCTTAGATTGAGAGTTGTATAGGTGGTGAATGAACTTCAAGGTGGCGAGCATCCGCACCATGATCAACGAACTCGAGATGAGCGCTCCCAATCTACCTCTTGAGGACGTGGCCATCATGGTCTAAGCTTAAGACGTCACTGTGATGCACTAGATAACTTACGTGAATTACAATTGCTACACACCTCTGCAAGTAATACAACCAACTCACAAATCCAAGACCATGTCGGGGAACCCGTCGGCATCGTCCGCCATGAAGTCGTTGATGAAGAGACTTTCCCAGCGGAGGACCACCGACGAGAACGCCTTGGCCAGTTCCTCCAGCAGCACGCTGCACTCCAGGCCGCCGCTTTCGAACTGGCCCACACCTTGAGCCAGGCAGCCCTCGATGCGCGTACCATCTTCCAGCTCCTGCACCGTGTCCTCGAACACGTAACCATTGCACTCGTTCTCGAGCGCGTACTCGCCGTCCGTCGGCTCATCGATCGTGCGGTCGGCGTACACCCAGCGGCTGGTTGAGCCGGTGGGTGGTGCGGCGGCCGCCAAGAACCGGGCGTTGACAGCTTGGGTGAAGGTTTTACCGGGTAGGGCTTTCACCAGCCTCATCACCAGGACATTCTCGTCGAAAACCTGGAGAATCTCCATCTTCTTGACCTCCGGGAAGCTCTCCATGTACCGTTGTGGGTCCACACTCTGCATGCGCTTGCCCAGCTCCAGTGCAGTGACACCGGGGAAGAACTTGCGGTTGCGTCCGAAGTACTTGTCGCCTTCGCTCCAGAAGTCGAACTGCCAGCCGAAGATAGCGGGGGACTTGACAGGCTCCACATCCGACTCCAGCATGGTCACGAGTCGCCGAGTCGTGTCCTCGACTGCATGATACACAAGTTCCCGACTCCACTGGGACGGGACGTCGGCGGTGATGCAGTGCACGAGGTCATCGGGCAGCGGGCTGTCTTCCAGTTTGACGGTAGTGCCAAGCGGCACCGGTTCGATGTCTTCAACACGAACCGTGGCTGCATTCGCCGCTGCGAGCTGCTGAGCCAGCAGTTGGTTCTCGTGCTGCAGCGCCTGGATCCGCTCGTGCTGCTGGTGCATCTCCCACTCGTGGGACTGCATCGTGTGCGCGATGAACTCTTCCAGCTGGAAGACCTTGGTGCGCAGGTCCTCAGTCTCCTTGCGCTGGCGGTCGCGACATCGCCGCGACGCCGCGCGCACTTGCTCTCTCCGGCGCTGCGCCTTGTGCTGTTTGATGGCTTCGGCACTCATACCCTCGGTCGGGAACGCCGCACTAGTGCGCAGCTTGGAAGCCTTGCTCTTCTTTTGTTGCGGGTGATGCTCAACACTGGCGACGCTGCTGCAGCTGCTGTCGACGCGCTTGAGCTCCAGCAGCAGCAGCTCGTTGGGCTCCTCGTCGGACGGCCAGCTCGCGTCCGTGCGCGGCGAGGCCGAGTCCAGGTCGTTCTCGACGGAGGGCGGGGGCGTGAGCATGCGCTTCTTGTTGGCTTGGGCGAGATCGCACTCGCCGCCGTTGCGCTTGGTCCCTGCGCTGGGGCTTGCGTGGATAGCTGCGAGAGGGATACTGAAGCCCAGCGAGCCGCTGCTGCTGGCCGAGTCTCCGCTCCCCATGGCTGCTTCTGTCAGGTGGCGCTCGATTTGCGGAATGCCGGGGAGGATGAGGTGGACGGCGGCCTCGCTTGAAGCGCGCGATAGGTTCGACAAGAGCTCCGATATTGCGGCGGACCGGCTCTGTCTGGCCAGACATCTATCTTGTGTGACGTTGCCCATCACCCCCGGGGATGTCGACGAACACTTGGATTTTGTATGCTGTCGAGTACTGTGTTTCGGTTCGCGGGGGCTTCGCTATTTCAGTGTATTGGTGCTCTAACCTGCTCTGGCGTGGAGTTCCATGCGTGAAACAGAGCTCAGATGTACATCTAGTCTGCTGGAGAATACTTTTGTAAAGTCGTCTAACCACTTGAAACGTATCCACGGCATTGAGAACGTTTGCTCGCACCGATTCGGGGGTCGCATAGCTGCTGATGTCAAGGCTCCAGTCTACTCGTGTAGATTAACTCGCCCGATGTGATCCCACTCTTACAGCAGCCAAGTCAGTGCATTGGAGGGCACCAAGCTTCGACACGGCGTGTCACCGACATTTGATTGGGGCTCAATTGCTCGTGACGAGCACTCTATTCTGCATGAGCTAGCGGCCAGTACCATGGAATTGACATAGACCGGCACGACCTCGATGGTTGCAGCCTTCATGCACAATTGCCTCACGACTCGGCCTTAAAGAATACGCTAGTTTAGTCTGGTGGTTCCGTCGGCGTTGATCTTGCTCCCGGGAGAGCCCCTCCACGTTGATCTTGAGGTTTGCACCACCGTCCGTCGAGCTGTGCACGCCGCGCAGCTTCAATGTAAAACAGCGGCTGCGCCTGATGCCGACTTAACGGAACGGGCCACGAAGCAAATGATGCCCGACACGCCGCTACACGGGTTCAACTATCTTTCTTGTCGCCCCGCGCAGCCTTACCAATGGTGCTGCGCAGCTATGACCAACGAATCCATATGCAAGCCGTGCGCTGTCTGCCGGATGGAGCTTGGGCCTCAAGCCTTGGGGAGGCGATGGATATCAAGCGATGCGTGCCTGCATGCACTTTTCGAGCAAGCGCTAGCCGGTTCGGGGAGCGTGGTATGATCTGATTCACGTGATGGGCCTGTCGACGAATGGTTCACTTGACGCCGAAGGCATCGACGGCGGATTACCCGCCCAAATTGGATGCGATGGTTGTTAGCGATGGCATTCAGGGACGAAAAAGGGTTTCGGTTCATTAGCTATGAAGCGAAAACTATGAATCATAGCGGAGGCCACGCACCATAACCTACAGCAGCATGGGCATTGGGTTGCAAACCAAGCTGACTCAAGTCGCTGATTGCCTGCACACGGACATTTTAGTCAACTCGTTTACGGGACTTCAGTCGCCCAGGCTTTTAGCGTAAGAGCTCCGTCGCGTTGAGATTATTTTTTTTACGCGGTAGTTGAAGGGTAACCTTACGTGCTGCTCATCTGTAGACGAGCGCAACTTGTCTGCGCTGCTCAGAGGGCATAGTATGGCGTCATTAGCCAGGCTTTTGTATTGCATTTCATAGACTCGCACTTCCTAACTTAGTCCATACATTGCATCAAATTCATCGAGAGGAAATTGCGTGGCCCCATCCGGAGGGGAGCAGTCGACTGCTTGGCTAAGGATCTCCCAGTTCTCTTCCGACGGATCCATAAGCAGCGATGAATATCCAGGTTGAAAGGGGGGCACTAAAGTTGGTAGAAAGACCACTCATGATTCTATCGAGGTCGGAGCAGTAGGGACCAGGGATGTTAAAAGAAAGCCCATCAAAAATGAGATTTTTTCTCAAGGATATAAGAAGATAAAAGAAGATTTTCGGGTTCTCAAATTACAGCGAGCATATGTGTGTATACCTACCTAATTAGCCCACGCCCCTACCACTTTGTCTACTTGCTTCGCCGTTGAAGTTGACGTTGCTACACTAACACTGTTGCCTTCACTTTGGATATAGATATACGACGCAGACAGAGTCGGCAGCATACCTGAAAATATAGCAGGCATTTTGTTGAATATATTGGACATGAAGGGATGACAAGGATGTAGTCGTCACTTTGTTGGAGTGACCTATGACTTCAAAATTCCGTGAATAGACAACAAATGGACTACGTCGAAGTATTATACCGTAGTTACTGCTCCTTTCTAGCTCGTTTTGGACCTTTCCCATCGTATCAACTAACAGCTTGAAAATTGGCTACAACATAAGAAAAAAGAAAAAAATCGGCCTCTGGCACCAATCTTCTTTTTCAATAAAAGAAGATATAAGAAAAATCAATAAAAGAAAGTTTACCATCCCTGGTAGGGACTGCCGCCAGCATATAGCGACGGTCCTGTCTCCAAGTGTGCCGAGTCGTCAGCGTCACTTGCTGCGGGAATTCATGAATGAGCGTGTTTCCGAGGAATATTGTTTGTATGTTCCCCTCAAGCAGCTCCGGTGGGATCGCAGTGATGGGATTTCCAGCCAAGACGAGATATTATGGCTGGACTCGGACCAGGGATAATGGTATTCGAGCCAATTTGCTGTTCTCAGAAAATTGATGAGCCCTGTATCCACTTGAGGTCGAGATCATCCGGCAGCGTCTCCAAGTTCGTCTCGCAGAAGTAGATTTCGAACAGGGTGAGCGGGAAGTCGAGAGCCTGAAACCCAAGCGGGGGCGCTCCGTCCGTCATGTTCACGCGGACTATTGATATCTTCCGCATCCCCGGGTGGCGAGTATTGGTAATGGCAGCGGTCTCACTCCAATCCACAATAGTCGAGTTATAGACCACAAGTTCCTGCAAACCTTTAAAATCTTGGAAACTATCGGGTACTTGAAGCATCGGACAGTGTAACATACGAAGTTTTGCTGTTGTGCTGCGATCGAATCTTTCCCATTCGCTCTCCATTTCATCTCTGGTAGCGGATATCCCGATCTTGTGGCAGTTGAAGTCTACCGCATAACAAGAAGGCAGAGCTCTACCCATTGGGTATACTTGCGGCGTACACTTGAAGAGAGGGGTTTGCACCGTAGCATGCACATGTAACGCTAATATGACGACTCCCCAGGCAGCAAAAGCGTAGTGAGCGCCTGGAGAATGATGCAGCTGATGCGGGTTTTTAGTCCCGTGTCCTTGTAAGAAGCATTGTCTCCCCCAAAGCAGTTTTTCTTGATTGTACTGGATGGCTCGCGAATTACCGCCCGTTGCTCTTCTTTGCCCAGCGGTACTGTTGCATAACTTCCGGCGATACTTGTGTTGGGATTGACCCTATTTACCGTTTGGTGTCTCTGTCTGGGATTATGGCGCAGCAGCTTTTTCAGGTCGGCAGTTGAAGCTAAAAGACCCAGCGAGAAAAAAGCTCAAGATTCCAGGTCAGACCACGACACAACTAAAAAAATTCGTGCTTCGTTGAGTAGTTGAGCCACCCACGCGTCGTCGTCAATAAGCTGCCAATCGAAGCTATTGATGTCGTATTCATCCACATACCCGAGTGCAATGATGAGAGAGACACCAATGGTAGTCATCAAATTCAGCATGCAATCCAGAAAAATTGCAGCAAACCGGCGGCGAGCTTCGTTACGCCAAAACCACCGAGAGTAAACGAACACAGACGACCAGCAGTTAAGCACTAACATACTAACGTAAACCCGGTTCAGCAATAGATGTGGTAAGTACTAGCTCATGCGAAAGGCTTGCGCTGTCTGTAGAGCCACCTCGACTACCTCTCGACAGATGAGTACACCGTGGAAATGAATGCCCTTCACACCCAAAAAGCCATGGTGACTGGTGAGCTGATACAATATAGCAGGCAAAAACCGCACGATGCGAGCGGAGCCGGAGGGCACCGATGTCACCGGATGGTTGGCATCTCCTGCATTCACTGAACTGGTTTGAGGCGATGAAGCTTCCACCTTTGACCTTCGTGGTGAGAAAGCTAGCATGCCATGTCTGCATGAACCAGTAACCATCAAGAGTGCACATACGCCGTGTACGGTAGCCAGCGTCATGTAAACGTAAGCGATCGTGTGAAAATCTTCAGGCGGAGGCATCCCAGATCGTTAAATTGGAGAACAGAGCTGAACATGGTTGTCTCGAACACCCAATACAACTTTGCGTAGGCAAGATTGTACGCACATGTAACGAGATGGATCCCAAAAACCACTAACCACCGGAAAGTAGACGCACTGGGCGAGAGATTCCCGCGTTGAGTAGGTTGCACGGCTGGTCTTCCTGGAGTCATGCCTGGCGGTCGATTTATGCCGTCTCAAATAAAGAGAAACGGATCAGCAGTACGCGACTCTAACTCTATCTATAGCTAAATTGATGAAGTTCTTGTGCGAGGCTTTATTACACTCATTCTCGCAAGCACAAAATCATTCGGTAGTTAGATACGAAATCAAGTGCTTAAGTGACGGAGACCAGTGGGTAACAGAGACACTGTGCATCCGCCAAAATGTCAAATACTGTAATCTATCCGGATGTTAAACACGGCAACTCAGTAGCAAGGTTGCAGTGCCAACCGAGTCCAATCGCACATGACAGCCCGTGCTCTTTCCGAAGCACGTTAATCCACTTCGATTCCGCTGTATGCATCTTCAAATTCGATGGGATACCAAGTAGTCGGCCACGGTTCACATGATACAGCAGCTTCCAGTGCTGGCCAGTTACTCACGGACGCGTTTAGCAAAATAACAGACTCGTTCTTGTGCCTTGGAGCTGAAAAGCTGGCTTGCTGGCCATCATAGATCCGCTGAAGGTCGGTGCAGTACGGAGAGTTTGCAGCTAGTATCGGGTACGTGTCTACAAGCAGTGTGCGAGCATTTTCAAGCGTAGGGTCAATCCAATTCCAGAAAAAGGTGGTGTTCGTGCTATCCACGCGAAGTGCAAGCAAGGGCGACATTTCGGGCACACTTTCAGGCAGTTCAGTGAAAAGCGTCCCGCCGATGTGAAGAAACCCGACGTCACCTTCAAACACAGAGGCAGGAATAACCGAGATGGGGTTCATCGCCAGCGACAGATCGTACGGAGCAAGTCGTGCTAACGAAGCGGGGACCTCCGTAAACTCACTTGCTTCAAAGTAAATGCTAGCAGCCTGTGGCCACTTCAAGTCAAAATCTTCTGGCAAAGTGCGCAAGTTTGTGGCACAGAACTCGATGTCCAGCAACATATGCGGAAAATTATCACCCAGCAGGCCTGCAGGAAGTTCACCATTTGTCAGGTTAACGCGGACGAGATATAGCATCATAAGGTCGGGGTGGTGGTTTTGCGAGAGAGCAGCGCTTTCCTTCCATTGCACGACTGTCGAGTTGTAGATCTTCAGAACCTTCATACTTGAAAACTCTGTCAACAGATCTGGTACCTCAAGATGGTGGCAGTGCCGTATCACAATCCGAACAGTGGTCTTTGGATTGAAGGCACTCCATTCTGCAATAACTTCGTTCTCGTTACCACTGAAATTCGACTCGTAACAGTCCAGTACTAGCAGGGAACACGATGGTTCGGAGGTCATCCAGGGTTTCACTTGCATTTTACACTGAGGTAGTCCAGGAACAGACTCGGCATACAAATGCAGAACGAGAATTGCCGCACCCCACACGAAAAATAGGATCTTTGCGACACGAGACTCGGATGCCACAACTATATCCAACTTGCTCTGCGTTCGAGTCTCATTTGAGTCCCTCATGCTGGGATACAGAGGCAGTACTGACGTCACTTCGTGGGCAGACTTTGATTGCCTCCTCTTCGGCGACTTTGCACTCAAAATCTTCTTAATGTTGTTCATGTTGCTCACCATGTTCAGAGCAAATACCACTCGCAAAGCCAAATCGCCCCACGAGCTGACCAGGAGAAGTTGAAACTCGCTGAAAACGTGCACAACCCAGACATCTTCATACCACTTACTCGCTGGGAATCCACTAAGCTGGAAATCGAAATCTCTGTAGTAGATGGCTAACAGCACCGACGTGATCCCAACGGAAGTCACCAGGTCTAGAATACAGTCGCATACGACAGCTAACAGTCGCCGCCTTGCTGCATCTGCGTGGTAAAGTGAATGCACGAGTGCTGTGCTCCAGCAGTTGAGAATCAGCAGCGCAGAATAACCCCGGTTGAATTGACTACGCGGTAAGAGTACACTCATACGGTAGGCCTGCTGCGTTTGCAGTGCTGTCTCGATGATTTCTCGACACAATAACACCAAGTCGAAGTATGGTCCATCCACTCCCAGAAGCCCACCTTTTGAGAGAGCTCCATGGTAGGCACTACAAACTCTGGAAGTCCTGCGCCTTTCGCTCCTCTCCCGTGTTGTTGGACGAGTAAACACGTTGTAGACAGCGAACACAAGACGCCCCTTCTTGAACGACCAACCGATCATCCAGAGAAGATAGACCAGGTGAACTGCAGCCACGCACCCGTGGACAACAGCGATAGCATGGTCGTTCTCGCTGCCCATTCCAAGGTTGAAAAAGAATAACCATGTATCCAAGAGAGTCCCCGGCATGTTCCAGTAGCACCAAGCAAATACCGAGAAGTACACATAGCAGAAGGCATGGAGAGCTACGAAGCCAAGCCAGCAGAGTCGTAGAGTGATAGGTGAAAATGATCCGTCAGGGCGTCTGGTGATTCCTCCGTCCTTCGGACCCACACCGCGGCGACTGACAGTCTCGTTGAGGCGGCCCATGCGTCTGGGAAAACAATAACAAGAAATGTTGTCCTCGAACTCATTTATAGACCCCGCACCACTGCAGTGCTCGATAAAATTAGCGGACAAGAAGGACAAAGCATTGTATGATCAATCAGACATCCACTTACGTAAGATTGTGGGCTTAGAACTCTGACTCAGCCAGAACCAACGCGAAGCGTACCGTTCTCTTCTTGAAAGCGGCATACATTCGGCATACCACGAGCGGGCTCTCTTCCAGCTCTTCGTCTGGTTGCGCATAACTTGTTTCGCCACCATCCTCCTCAAAAGCTGAATCGCCGTAGTATTCTCGTAGGAATGGTCGCGGACAAATGCATCGAAGCACGTACTCACGCTGGACAGGGACCGTCATCGGTCCCGCTTCTGCGAGCGTTGGGTTCGTGAGCAAAATTGCAGCAACCTGCTGGCGTAAGCTTTCTTGCTTCAGCAGCTTCGAAATTTTTAGCTGCTGGCGATGTGAAAGCGATGGCAAGAGTAAAAAATTCACAAGCGCCAACACTCCATGGTCTTCCTTTGTCACCGGGAAATAGTGCAGTAACGCCAGCGCCTTTGTAATGAGAGCCTCCACAGATTCCAGCGAGCGCACAAGCTTCCAGCACGCATCCAATGCCATCTCAAACGCGACTTGAAGTTGCTGGCCCTGATGTGCAGCGGCTACCGACTGCTCGTGGTCCGCACGCTGCTTGCTTCTGCCAGTAGCAGGAAAGGCCACTTGTGACTCTGCCAGGGCCTCGTCCAACAGCGCAACTGCACGGTTCCCACGAGAACGAAGACTCTGCAAGGCTCGGTAGACAACCGGTAGCGTCTGGGTCGACACACGTACTGGCAATGCTGTTTCCACTGCGAACACGCTGCTAGAGATGGCACCGGCTAGCATTTGGTGAAACAGTTCGTGCGGGGATAGCGTCTCCATATAATGGTACACTTTTTCTGACTCTTGGACTGGGTCAAACAATCGTTTTTGACGACATGCGGGCACTGGAGCACTAGACTCCCACATTTGCTGCCACAGATGCTCGTGCCCCGGCCCAAAACGCATCCGTTCCGAGAGCATGCCATGCTGTTCAAACCACCACACGCCTCTTCCCTCAGATGGCAGCTCGGCTTGGAATGGATCAACTGGGGTTTTAAACGGAATCCAATCCTTTGGTGAATACCAGCGAATGAAATCTGCAAGACAGCTTCGTGGGTTGGCAGCTTTAAATGACTGCATATCTGAAATCAAGGACGTGCTCTGGATCTGCTGTCGCAATTTGTCTGACTCCACGCTCACACCCAGACGCGTAAGAAGATCCTGTTGCTGTTTTGCGACGTCTTCCGTCATGGGTACCGCTGTTTGAGTCACAGGCTCCATCAGAGGCTCATTTGTTTGCAGACAAACAATACCAGTTGCCTCACGAAGGACACCCTCCGCACGCCTTGATGCACGAGGTGGTGATGGCAGTGGAGCGTCTTGCTGCTCAACAGAGTCGAAAAATTCGTCATCGCTTGGACTGTTGTCTGCATCGACTTCGTCGTCGGCACCCGAGGATTTTGTGGTCTGGGTATTTGCCTTCGTCTCTTGTCCGCTGTGGTTTGCCTTGATTCTGTCGCCACCATTTGAGGCTGGTCTTGATTCCTGAGCTTCTCTGGAAGTACATAATGCATCAGAATAAAATAATTACCATCACAAAATTAGCAAATAGGTAGCGGTGTGGTGAATAGAAAGCTGTAAGGAATACCTTAGAATGCAACAGTTAAGCAATTGTAGCTTTTGATGCAGAAGACAGTGACGGAAGTCTGGAGGAGGTAGCTGCATCGCGTCAGAATCCAGCAGAAACAGTGCATCCAGAGAATGCGAGCTGGTGTTGTGGTCAACACCGTTCTCCTTCATGCTGGTACTCTGTAAGTCGCAGAGCGGTTGGTATCGGATGAACGGAGCCAATAAGAGAGGCGTTAGCCAGCAGAATTCAGCGTAATATCAAATTCCCTTACGCACCATGAAAGGAAGCAATTGCTGCTGAAACCACCGCTCCCTCAACGCTTTTACAAACTCGACCCAAAGCAGCGACATCGAGTTGATTCCATCTACAAATTAAGATGCCACAAACATGTTAGCCATCCGAAAATCATTTGCCATAATAACGTGAAACGTACGTAGTTGACCCATCCTTGTCGCGAGAATAGACACCAACTCTCCCAAAGGAGCACCATGCTCCACAGAGCTTGGCACGCTCACCAAAGGCAGCCCTGGCCTGCCTTTCTGTTCACCGTTTTCTTCATTTTGAGTATCACCACCTTCATCGAAAAGCTCCGACACGATCCGTCTAATTTCTTCTGCATCAGAGCCTTTCCATGTGGCAGCCGACACTAAACTCGAGATCGCACTTCCCAGCACGCCTACTGCTCGTGCAGCGGGTATTGTAGACTCCGTGATACTCTGTGATGGTTGCGACCCAGAAGCTTCGTCAGTGCTACTAGAACTTGCAGCAATTTGAACTGACGATGACTTCGCTGGCGACGGCACCACTGGCATGGGTGGTGCGAGCTCGGACACCAGCATATCCTTGCTGAGCTCTCTGGAATTTGAATAAACTTGAACTAGGTTCGCCACTTGCTTGCTGAGTGGGAGATAAGGCTTGCGCTGGTTTTCCGAGACGAGATCTTGAAAACGCGCGGCCAGCATCCACTCAGGCGCTGAACTAGGATCCAAAGTGGAGTGCACGACGTTGTCAACATAGGTTCCTTCGCGCAACTGAGGCCAGCTAACTGTAAGATCTATTCCGCTTAAAGGAGAAGCGGATGCACCGAGCAACGGAGTCGGATGACTTTCACCGAAGAGCTTGGTTGTAATCTGGCGTATTTGATGTTGGTCTTTGGCTGGGAGCTGAGATTCCAGTGTTCGCCAAGCCAGCGGGTTCTCTGGTGTCGCCAGCTCCCGAGGATCATCCGTGCGATTCCATGAATACCCGAACGAGGCGGACACCATCATGCCAATGGCGAGGTCACCCGATTCGTCCGATTCTACACGACACTTCTCTTCAACATGCGGTGGCAGCTGCAGCTTCACCTTGAAAAAGTCCAGCAAGCCGCTAATGCAGCTCTGGTTTGGGTTCAGCTCCGGAACAGAGTCGGTGTCAAACGACATGGAAACATTGCCCGTCGCACCAGGCACCGCCGACCCAATCCACGTCCCTCTCGACGGCTCAAACACCGGCACGAACGCAGGAATGGTGCAGTTGCAATTATTTAGCGCCATTGTGAGCGCCGACAGCAGCATACCGGCTTCGTTCTGGTCCACGTGAATATCCGCCATAGCATCGTGATCCCCGTCGCCCTCTCCGCTCTCCTTCCCGCCCGGTATCTCCTGCTCCACGTCTGTCTGCTGCTCGGCAGAGTCGTCTTCACCCTGCTTCTCCTCCCCGTCTTCCTCCTTCTCCCTGTTTCCCCCACTCTTCTCCTGCTGCTTCTTCTCGTGGGGCGACGACCGGCTCAGCAGCAGGAACTCGTCCACCCCGAACCACTTCTGCGCGTTCTTGAAGGCTGCTCTACGGCTGAACACTGGCTCGCCGTCGTCCTCGAACACCGACGTGTAGTAGGACGGTCTGTTCTCCACTCTGTCCTCCTCAATGTCCTCAGCCTCCTCGCTGTCCTCGCCCTGCTCTCCCTCCACGCCCCACTGGAAGTCCCTGCTGGCGTCCGCCACCGACAGCATCGTGGGCGTGAAGTGCTCGAGCCCCTCCTGCCATCGCTTGCCCTTGAGCGACTTGCTCTGCGTCTGTGTCTCGGCCGGCGGCTTGAAGCTCGGCTCGGCCACAAAGAGTGTCAGAGTGTAGGTCTTGGCGTCTTTTTGACCAATGGGCGCGAGGAACAGCAGCTCCTTGGTCCAGATCGCGACGTCTGCGTGCTTGGCGGCGGTTCCCTGCCGCTGCGAGGAGGCACCGAGCGCCGCCAGTGACGCGTGACCCTTGTTGGCCAGCTGCCAGCCGATCAGCGCCTGCTCCACGTCGGAAACGAACTGCTCCGAGGCCGTGGCATTCGTGAAGTCGACGAATTGGCTGCTTGGGTCCTCTTCCACCTCCATCTTCTTCTTCCAAGGCTTGAAGTGCCGGCTGGGAATGGACTGATTGGTCGAAAAAGGGATGCTTGGTGTGGAGGACGTAAATATGGAGTGGAGTACACGAATGTAGCCACTTGTTGACATTCATTCTTGCCACTCTACCACTTCGATGGTCTCTCTGACGCGGCTGCAGGACGTGGAGCGGCAGCTGAGCACAGCGGCGACCGCTCTGCAGCTGCACCTGCGCGGACTGAAGAGCGAGCGCGAGCACATCGGCTGGGCGCAGATCGCGGCGCTGGCGCTCGTGTGCGGCCGCATCGAGCAGGTGCAGAGCGAGCTGCGGCAGTCGACGACCGAGATTCTGGCGCTGGCCAGGAGGAGTTTGGCTGGAGGAGACGCGACGAACAAGGGCGAGGACACGGAGACGGAAGATGAAGACGAAAACGCGGAGCTGGAGGGCGAGCAGAGCGTGAAGGGCGCGACCAGAGGACAAGTAGAGGAGGCTGAGGCAGCTGTGGACCAGGTGCAACGCTGTGGAGAGCAGGATGGAGCTTCTGAAGAGGAAGAAAAACAGAACGAGGCTGTCGTGAAGTTGGAGCCTGTGGCAATAACAGCAGATTTTACTAGGGATGGAGTTGTGGAGGAGGAGGCCACGGAGAGTGATGATGGAAGTTCTAGGCAGGTTGTGGACGAGGTGGAAATCAGCGGCGAAAAGATGATTTGGGAGTCTGATGTCGAGGTGAAACGTGAGATGATTAGCCGGAGTGGATCGGTGGAAGCTGGTGAGCAGTCGAGTTCGGATGAGCTGGAGCAACTTTGTGATGCTACTGTGGAAACGAACGGGGTGGAAGTGGCTGTGGAGGAAATTAGTAGGAAGAAGGAGGAGGATACCCAGGAGGTTGGCGTGGAGATAACGGAAGCTGGATGCAGGCAAGGTGGTTTGATAAACTATGGAAAGTCGAAATACAGCGAGGCAACGGAAGAAAGCAGTGAGCCTGCAATGGAGAACGAAGGCACGGCTGCAAGTGATACGAGAATTGCGCCAAACGAGGCGGAATGCGAGGAAAATCATGCTGAAATGCACACTGGTGGCGTGGAAACCACCACAGCTGAACCAAAGACGACAGAGTCTGAGAGCGTCACGGAATCTGAAGCACAGGTGCCTCGAATGGATGTAAAATCTGCGGATACCAGTCCAATCGAAACAACGGAGACATCTCACCAATCTCGCACTACGACAATGGACACACCAGATAGTAAGAAGGACGAGGAGCGCGATGGTACGACAGAACGCATCGCGCACATGAATCAGTGGGCTAAGGCTGTGGCCGAACTTCAGAGCACCGCGCTACGCGACTGCCTCCAGGCTGGAAACTCGGTCACAGCGGCAGTCACAGATTTGATCAGCACCACCGATCGCTTTTTATCCGAAGCAATGCAGCGAGAGCCAAAATTCAATTGTCGTCTGTGGATTAAGCGGATGATCGTGGCCTTAAACAACCTTTTCGAAATGATCAACGACCCCAACGTTCTCGAAGCATTTTCTGCACTGCGCGAGAACTTGCCCAAGCTTAAAAGGTACTGCCAAAAACACTACACCGACTATATATCAGACATGCTGAATGATTTAAAGTCAATCAAATATCTGGAGCAGGATGGCAAGCTTAACTCAAGCATTCTAGCCACGTCGACTCGATTTGTGCTAGACCAACTTCGAGAGGATTGCGTAAAATATTCGGCCAAGCTATCTCCCGATAACTCAGCTTCTCGAGACGATGAACATTGGAAACAGCTCATGTTGATCTGCAAGCACTTGGTCACTTGGATTAAGCAGATCCCTCTACCTCACGAACAATTTCCTGCAGTATACCTAACACAAACCATTCAAGTGCTGGGTGCGTTTGACGCGCAGATTCCGAAGAGGATTCCAGTTGAATTACTGGAGTAGGTGATTAAATGCTCAAGTGATGTGAGTGATATTGGCTAGTACTGACACTGCAATTCTGTTGTTGTAATGCTAGGAACATGATCTTCATGGTGCAACATACGAAATCGAATGATTCGCCGAGAATCGCTATCGAGAACGACCCTAACACTTCATCAGACAAAGCTGTTGGCCGAATGAATCCCATTGATCGTGTGAACGAAAATCGGGATGCAGAGCAGAAACCAACGAAGGATGCAGTGGTACGCGGGGATTTCGAGGAAACTCAACACGCCTCTGTGACTAGGATGGAATCCACTCCTGACAGAGAATCGATTACAGACCAAGTCGAGTCCAGAAACGACAGGGACCGTGAGGTGCAAGAAGAAGTCGTGTGTGAAAGCGAAGTGAAAAATATTTTAAAAGCTGCTAACCAAAAGGCAGCGGACGCGATCAATGAATTCCGGCGCTGTCTTAGGAATGGAAATTGCACCGCCGACGGTGCGGTAAGCCTGACTATCGTCGTCAGAGACATGACCTCTGCTGTCACAAGCCATGATAGCAAATATAGTCGACGTATGTGGATTGAAGAAGTGGTGGAAGCATGCCACTGGATACTTCGAGGCGTCCAGGGGGCAGAGCTAGCCCAGGCTATTTCGCCACTGAACGAGTATTGCAAACAGTTGCAGCTGTATTCCTCCCGTTTCCCGGACTGTTTGCAGGACATATTGAACGACATCAAGTACATTGACGCGAGACAACTAATTTCGAGTCAACTGGCATCGTGGCTATCACGATTTCTCCAACGACTCAGGAAGAACTGTTGTGTATATTACCAGAAGGTTAAAGGCAGCACCAGTGAGCTACGAAGTGATGAACAGTGGAAGCTATTAATGCTGATTTGTGAGCGAATATCTGAGTGGATTAAGCAGCTTTCACCAGCCGACTCCAAAAAGTATAAAGACGATCTGCAGAAGGCCCTGAAGACACTAACATCGTTCAACAAACACTTCCCGGACAGAATTCCGACAGCACCACTAGAGTAAGTGTCGTTTTTTTCTGGCGAAAATCGATTGGTGGTGCCTAATACTTCAGTATACTGTACGTGAACATTCTGTGTAGGATAATGCGTCACGCAGTGGCATCGAGCGATGTGCCCAAAAGTGCGGACAATTCTGCAAGTAAGAAGCGACTCCGAGAGGATTCAGGATGTGTTGAACGAGAGCAAAAGAAGGGTGCTCACCATTCATCGCGTGACAAATTCCAGCCTATCGCTGAACGATACCTACAAGTTGCGCGCGATGCGAAGATTATGATTGTGGACACTGGGTCACGTATCACTGAGCCTTCAGCCGCCAAAGCCTTTTCTGATCTGAAGGCGATAACAACCTTGGCAAACGCTGAGCTACTCAAAATATTCAAGAACGATGACATTCCGAGCGCCAACACAACGGAATGCTACCGTCTGGCCACACAGTTCATGGTGGAAACAATATCGAACATCCCTGGAAATGTTGTCGACTATGGTTGGGTTGGTAGAACAACCTTGTTTCTTCGGCAACTTTTGTATTTGGGAGAATCGACCATATTGATGAACGAGCGCGATTCGATATCAGAAAGTATTTCGGTGGTAGAAGTTTATCTGAAAGCAACTTACGAAGTGGAAGACGACGTCGTTCCTTCTCTTGATGCAATTGAAGCGCGACTGCATCGATTCAAGACGCACAAGTGGGACTTCAGAACAGTCAAGCGCCCCATTCAATCGATTTCGAGCGGGCTTCTTGTCGATGTGAAAAAAATCAATGCGTTGGGTCCAGAGAAATATTTGGTGCGCAGCGCACAAAACTGGTCACGCTTTACCGCTGTGTGTTATGCGCTCTTAGTCTGGACAATGCGGGCCCGCAAGCTAGCTGTACCGCCATCCGGGCTGTTGAATCACCTCCTTGCGGAGCTATTGGAATTTGACGCGAAATATCCTGGCAAATTGCCACCTTCCTTGATAAGGTACGTGCTCGACTGCATTTTTGCCTGGTGACCATGCTAATAAATTTGATATCGTACCCACAGCAATTGTCAAGCTATATCTCGGTAAGCTGGAAAAAAAAACCTGCCCAGCACAGCGACGGAAGCAAAACAAGCAATAACCCCCCCCCCATAAGGATGTCAAGACTTCGGCCAAGTAGTCATACTTCCTGGAGGAGAAGAACTATGGAGTATACATACTGTTTTTCACTCGCTTGTATTCTTAACTTTTGTACAGCGCGGTAGCTGAAGCGTGGTGCTACGAAAACAATTGTGTCTTGCAGTTATGCGTCATCTCCGTCGAGTAGCTTGTACATTTCATACCACGACTCTAATGGGATCAGAGTTACTCCAGCCGTCGACGAGCAGTCAACATCTTGAACGAGTGTCTCCCAGTTGTCTTCCGAGGCGTTCATGAGAATTGATGAATATTCCGTCCGGTAAGGCATACTGCAATCTGAAGAAGCACCAGTCATGATCGCATCGAGATCTGAACAGTACGGAGCACCCCCGGCAACCACAAGCTGCATACCTTCAAACATGTCCTCAATCAGTGGATCTATCCACAGCCAGAAGAAGGATATGTTCGTGTTGGTGACGTCCAAATAGAACATCGCTGTCGACGGGGATGACACATTTTCAGGAAGCTGCACGAGATTTGTGCGATCCAGTGTCAAATACCCTAATTCAGCCTCAAAGAGCTCGGGCGGAAGCTCTACGAGCGGGTTACCTCCCAATATGAGATAGGTTGGCTTGAGGAGAGCGAGAGCTAGCGGTATTGTTGTGAGCTTACTATTTTACATGTAAATTCCCGGGTTGATAGGCCACTTGGTGTCGAGATCGTCCGGAAGCGTTTTCAAATTCGTCTCACAAAAATTGATTTCTTGAAGATGAGGCGGGAAGTCAGGAGACTGTATGCCAGCTGGAAGAAGACCATCCGTCATGTTGACGCGGACTAGCGACAGTGCAACCATAGCGGGGTGTTTTGCGCTCGTGATTGCACTGTTAGCATCCCAACCCACAATTGTGGAGTTGTAGACCTCGATTTGCTGTACTCGATGAAAGTCTTGAAAGTTTTCAGGGATTTCCAAAGCCGGACAGTGGCTTATGCTGATTTCGTTACTGTCATGCGGTCGAACTTGCTCCACGCGATCTCCACTTGGGTAATCGTACCAGAAATTCCGAGGTAGTAGCAATTGAAGTTGACCACATAGCAAGAGGGAAGTGCGTTACCCATCGGATGCACCTTAGGTGCACACTCAAACAGTGGTCTCTTCATAGCAGCATGCACATGAAGCGAAACAACTACCAGACCCCATGCAGCGAATACTGCGTGGGTACCTTTAATGGCTCTGACCCCGAGATGACGTCGAGGTTTACGTCGATTCTGCTTGTGCTGGGCTTGTTGAAGAAGGTCTTGCAAAATGACAGCGTTTGTATTATCTTGAGATCCAGATGCGCCAGTTGGATTTATTATCTGAGCTTCATCAATTCTGAAGACCTCACCAGGGTTGGTCGGGTCAATCGCATATCCACCTGCATTGGTGATTCGATTTCTTCGTATCGAGTCACAGCGCAGTAAATCCTTCAAATCTGCTGCACTGGCGACAAGGCCCAACGAGAAAGTTATACGGCTCATCATGTCAAACCAGGAAACGACGATAACCATCTGCGCATCATTGAGCATCTGCGCGAACCATTCTTGGTCTCCTATCATGCTGAAATCGAAACCAATTATCTTGGCTTGGTAGAAGTCAACATTGCTGCAAAACACAATGAAGGTCACCCCTAAAGTCGACATGATATTCAGCAGACAGTCACATAGGATCACTACAAACCGCCGACGAGCTTCATCCCTCCAAAACCAGCGCGAGTAAACGAATAAATTTGACCAGCAATTGATAGCGACCAAAACCACGTAAAAGCGGTTCAGTAGCACGCGAGACAGATACTTGCTCATCCGAATGGCTTGTATGGTCTGGGGAGTCATCTGCAATAGCTCTCGTCCGATGATGACGGTGTGGAAATACCTCCCGTTCACACCGAGTAGACCTCTTCGACCAGCTATCTTCTCGTATAGCGGCGAAAGAAATTTGAGAACTCAAGAACAACAAGTTGAGTTGCTTTGGACGTCCAACTCACCCGTCACGGAAGCAGGCTTGTAGGAACCCCCACTTTTCTTTGACTTACTCGGAGAGAATACCAACGAACGTCGCCAAAGCGAGCCGATAACCATCCACAAGGCACAGATACCGTGCACCGCTACCAAGCTCACGTGTATGTACGCGATGGCGTGGAATAAGTCGCGTGGTAACCCGATGCCGTTAGCTTCGAGAGCGTAGCTCAAGAAGGTGTCGCCGTAACTCCAGTAGTACATTGCATACGCAATGTTGTAGGTGCACACGATGATATGAAGACCAAGAATGAGAATCCACCAGAAGGCGAACCAGCGGAACGAAAGGCGCACATGTTCGGACGGTCGGGGTTTGTAGGACCATGCTGTGGCTGGTTGGACGATGGAGGAGTTCATGAGTGTAGAAACCATCCAAGTCGTGTACTATTCGAAAGAAAATATGGCCTCACCTCTCACAGTAGGAGTGCCTTCGGCTAACTTTAGTACTTCCAACCACAAGCATAGCATAATCCCAATTTTAAAAAAGCCAGTAGTGGCACTACTGCGCTTTGGCTGAGAAGTAAACTTGAGTAAAAGTATAGCTGATTTTACAAGTAGAGTAGAATTTATCTAAACTTACTGATAATCCAGAATTTGCGAAATCCCATAGGAGCGGTCATCAGCATCAAGCGTGTACATCGTTGGTGACGATTCTTCACAGGATACGGCTTTTCTTAACATTCCCGGATTGACCTTCGCTTTTAATTACTGAAAAGCTGGCCTGTTCTCCATCGAAAATTCGTTGTACATCCTTACAATACGGGGTGTTTGCAGCTATGATAGAGGCCGCTACATCCGACAAAATAATATCCGCATTTTCGACGATAGGATCTATCCAATCCCAGAAGAAGGACACGTTGGTGTTATCTACTCGGAGTTGCTCCAGAGGAAATACGTCTTCAACATTTTCTGGTAGTTCTGATATCAACGTACCGCCAATGTGTAGATAGGCCATGTTACCTTCAAACAATTCGGCGGGGACAGTTGAAATTGGGTTATACGATAGAGAGACGTCGTACGGGGCTAGCCTCGCCGAAGACGCCGGCACTTCGGTCATATTACTGGCCTCGAAGTATATGCTGGAAAACGTCGGCCACTTCAAGTCAAAATCATCGGGCAATGTTCGCAAATTGGTCACGCAGAACTCAACGTCGAGCATATTATGCGGCAGGTCGTCGCCTTGGATACCTCTTGGAAGTTGGCCGTCTGTCATGTTGACTCGGGCTAGATACAGCTGCATGAGATTTGGGTGATACTGGTCTGACAGTGGGGCATCTTCACCCCAATGTGCGATGGGGAGTCGTAAAACTTGAGCATTTTCTGGCCTGAGCACTCTGTCAGCAAACCCGGCATTTCAAACGCAGGGCAGTGAAGAATTACCAAGCCTGTCGGTGTTGAAAGGTCAATTATATGCCACTGATCAGCGACCTCGCTTTCGCTTCCACCAATGCGAGCACCAATGCAGTCTAATACCAGCAACGAGCATGACGCTTTTGTGCTGAACCACGGCTTCACTTGCATCTTGCACTGAGAAACCTCGTCGACCGACTCAGCATACAAGTGAAGGACCATGATGACAACCCCCCACGCGAAGAAAAGAAGTCGGGTAAATCTGGACTCGACCGCTACAACCGTTTGCAAAGTGCCAGCATCAGTCTGGTCTAGAGACAGTACGGAAGCATTGTGGCGACGGCCCAAAATACAAGACCCGCTTACTGAGTTCGTTTCTTTTGTTATGGATGAACCCACGTAGCGGGCATGCCGGGCTATCGAGTTCCTGGGGAGAGGGAGAATCGCGTAAACTGAAAAAAGAATCACTACAGAAATCGTGGAATCGCAAAAAAAATGGTTGATGAATATCTGTGCACGCATACGCGTGGAATAACACATGAAAAACTCCTACATGTACTAACTGAAATCCCTTAATAATTTCCCTCGCATTTATGCTTAATGACTCGTTACGAGGATTGACAAGAAATCGATCGCGTCTGATTTGGCTCTTTCTGGGCAGTTGAGAATTTGCCGGCTAAGCGTCATCGTCATGATGGCAGAAACTATGGAGATTGATGATCTCGAGGATAAGCCACCCGCCCCGCTCGCTGCTGAGCCTCCAGTTCTAGCCGGTGGTACTATGGTAGCAGCCGCCGGTCACAAGACGCAGAAGTTTCCTGCCATGTTACCGATGCAGCACCCGTATGAGGAAGACGAGTTCTTTGTTCGCGATTGCTACGAGACCCTGTACGACGAGGTTATCGAGGAGCTGTTCACGAAGGGCAAGCACTGTGTCACAATTACTGGGGCCCCAGGTACTGCTTCTTCTTGATGCCTTCTCTGTGCTGGTATTGTGGTTGTTATAACTCGCACCTCTTTGGGACCCACAGGGAACGGCAAATCGATCTTCTACGCGTATTTCTTTCAGCGCTTTCGCCACGATCCTGATAGACAACACTTCGTCATCCTGACGACGGCGTTCACACAGAAATCCAAGATTATACAAGCCGCCGCGTTTAAGGGGGAACGAGACGAGGCGATCGGGAGAAGCGTGTGGCCATTTTCGCCAGAGTTTAACACTTCGGTTTGGCAAGCTACTGGAGATGACATTCTTCGCCTGTACGACGGGCCTCCCTCGGTTGAGGTGCCCTACCCGGAGAAGATGGTTTGCTTCACCAGCCCGAACGAAAACTGGTTCGGGAAGTTTGACAAGGACAGAACCAAGCAGACGTTATACATGCCGGTGTGGACTCCAGCTGAGCTGTGGACAGCCGCCACGCTTCTTGGCTACGACCGGCGGGACCCACCGTTAACGGAAGACATGATCAACGATCGCTTCGAGAAATTTGGTGGAGTGGCTCGTGAGGGCCTGGAACTGAGTGAGAGATTTGTTCAATCTCACTTGGAACGGCTTGAGGCCGCCATCAAAGAAATGGCTCCCGACGTGGTTAAGAAAATGCTGAAAGGAGATTCGGCGGGCACTCATGATCATCATTTATGTCATCTAGTACCAGTCCCTGGTGAATCAGGGTGCTGCGACGTTCAAATTGCGTCAGACTTCGTGTCCCTCAAGCTGCTGGAGAGGATCAGTACCGCAGAGTTCGAAGAGCGCAGCAAACTGATCCGATATCTACGTGGTATCTCGGAGGGAGCAGCCTTTCGCGGCTACTTAGTGGAGATGAAGGCGCACGAATTGCTGGTACACGGCAGTTCTATTGATGCCATTAGCCTCGGCAGTGACCAGCAGCCAAGACGGCAAAAAACGTTCGGCTGCGCGAAGAGTGACGACTTCTACTTCTTCGACCCGAAGAAACTATCAAAGGCTACGCTGTCGTCATCAGGGCCATACCATATTCCTCGTGTTTCCAACTTCGAGTCGGTCGACGGGTTTTACTATCCCTACAGTGAAGGCATGTTCTCGACGACGCGCATTTTGCTGTTCCAGATGACAGTGGCTTCAAGGCACCCAGTGAATGGGAAGGGCATCGTGGCGGTGCTTAAGAGCCTGGGCTTGTTTAACAACGCGATCAAACACCCGAGAAGTGTCGTGTTGATTTTTGTCGGGCCCGAGCCAAAGCCAGATCAGGAACGGCTCAAGAGCGCACAGACCATTCCTTGGGATCTACTGGCGAATTCCGAAAGTGTCGACATACTCCCAGGCGTTGGAGTCGAGAAAAAACATGAGCTGGAACGCATTCACATCAGGACGGTGGAGGATCTACGCGAGGCTGTTGTTCCAAAAACGACCGCGCAAAAGGAATTTTTCAAAAGGCACAACTTGGGGTCATACGTACGCATTCTCAGCAAGTTCGATCGTGGTCGGAAGTCGATTCGAGATATGCTGCAGGGGATTCCACAGTACGTGTGGGAGGTGATGTAGGAGAATGAGAGGTTGGAGGTGAGACAGCTGCAGGACAGCAGTTGCATACTTTTTTTTCTGGCATTCGGCATAACTTTTTTAATCTATGGTCATGTTTTCTTCAACTCACATAATCGCAAGATAAACGATTTACACAGCCGTTTGGTAGCACTGAACCATTCTCTTTGACAGCGATCATTCCGAGGGAAAGAAATTGGGAAATTGGGTGAGGGAAGCTTGCAGTACCAGCATCAGTCTGGTCTAGAGGCAGAACGGAAGCATTGTGGCGACGGTCCACAAGACAAGACGTGCTCAACAGTTTCTTCATTGTGTTCATATTGCTAAGCATACTCATAGCAAAAACAACCCGAGCCGCCAGATTTCCCCACGAGCACACGAGCATTATTTGAAATTCGTTCAGTACGCGAATCAGCCAGTCGTCAATACCCCAAGTCTCTAGCGGGAAATCGTTCAGCTCGAAGTCGAAATCGGGGAGATATATCGTCAATAGAGCTGTTGAAATGTCCACAGAAGTCACAAAGTCAAGCAGACAGTCGATCAGAAGCGCGTAAAATCGTCGCCTTACGGTGCTACCGTGGAAAACCGAATGTACAATAACGATAGACCAGCAGTTTAGGACGAGAAGCGCGATGTAGCTTTGCTTCAGTTGCGTTCGAGATAGCAGCAAATGTTGTAAGCTTGCTGGGTCTGAAGAGCGGTCTCCACAACTTCTCGACCCAGCCACACAAGGTCGTAATACGGACTGTTGAAGCAGAGACCCCTATAGCCGACATTATTCCACGGTAGATAAACGCAAGAGTATCGTTGCGTCTTCTCTTCTTGCGTGGGCGAGTGGTTGACTTGGTATTGAACCAACGTCGTCCCTGGCAGATTTCAATAACACCAGGCAATCGTCGCGAAGTAGGCCAAGCAAAGCAGGTGGAGCACCACGAACACAACCCACCAGAAGCGCAATGACGCTGGAGCAAATGTGTCACATCGCAGCCGTCCAACTTCGGGACCCATGTCCCGTTGCGTTGGACCACTGCTATGAGCGTCACTGCAATACATCGAATTTATGTGAGACGAAAACTATGGGCATTCACACAAATAGACCAGGACGTCAAAATCTAAAAAAATCGGCTCAGTATTTCTCAAAAATTTGTCATTGGTGATCGATGGTGTCTGGGAAGCTGGTGGCGGTCCTGGAAGACGTGGAGCTTCAGCTCCAGAAGGTGACGTTGGCTGTGAAGCTTCACCTGAAGATGCTGCGGAAGGGCCCCCAGTCGCCCCCTGTCCAGTCAAGAGAGTCGAGGGATCAACTTGTAGCACTGAGCAAGAGCATCGAAGCGATGCAAAGTGAACTGCGCACCGTCACGAGTGAAATCCTCGCTTTAGCCACCAAATCGCTGGCTGTGGATGCCTCTGAGGCGGCCTCTGCAGGAGAAGAGACGGAGACTGAGGACGAAATGGATGAGGATGAAAAGGCGTCGGTCCCAGTGGACGGCGAAGCAACGTTACCTCTGGAGGGAGGGCCCATTCCTGTGAAAGTGAAATCCGAGCCGCTGCAGCAGAATCCAACGACTGCTTCAACTCAACAGAGAGAGTGTATCGTGAATGTACCGACGCAATTGAAGCTGGGAGAGCAACTTTTAGAGAAAGCGGTCGTGGCGACTCCGACAGTAAAAAGAGACTCCGGCTGGGCCTCGACAGTGGCGGCCGTGAGTTGAAGCGACCTGTTCGAGCTGACGTGGTGGGTACGGTAGCGCGATACGCTCACCTTGCAGCCGTTGTCCTCCGCCAGCATAAAGACAACCGCTCGGCTGAACTCCCGGAGACCGCTCTCCTGAAGAAGACTGCGACGGAAACAAACGTCGCTGTGCTGGAGTGTCTTAAGGCCGGGCAGCCATTTGACGAGGCGACAAGGTTGAGCTTCTGTGAGGCCACGAAACAACTTGTTAATGTTTTTTGCGGTATATCGAAAGATGCAGTCGAGTCCTCTTGGATCGAAGGAACACTCGACGGGATCACGAGCATCGCGCAATTTGTGGCTGAAGACACTTTGCTGTAATGCGCGTCACAGTTAAGGAAGCGCTTGATTAAGAATTACGGGTACGCGAGCTATCAAAAGGGAGACTCGAACCTTGACTCAATCGAAGAGCGTGTTGAAGGCTACAAGCGAGACACTCGACAACTGAAACCAAAAGCGATTGCGCGCCCAATTTGCTCCATCACGACCCGACTCGTGAATGATCTGGAAATCCTAGATTCTAAGGGGTTAGTGCGGACGGAAAAAAACTGGGAGCGCTTTGCTGCTTTGGGGAACGTTGTAGCTGAGTGGATGGCGGCTGGGCAGGGGTCGAAAAAAGTGAGAATGCAGGCGAAGTACTTTCGGGGGTTATCCCAGCAGCTGGTCAAGCTGGACAAGCAGTATCCTGGAAGGTTGCCACCAGCGCTACTAAGGTGCGCAGTCATTAGCGTCCAGTGAAGAGAAACTATTCTACTAACCGTATTTTTTAATTGATATCGCCAGGAACACCAAACGCTTAAGTTAAACGAGCACACGTCATGGGCCTGCGCACCGGTGGAGTAGCTGAAATTTTGAGGCTTTGATATAAAAAACACTGCTTTTGTTCACCTTTCAATTTTGATCGCGCTATACTCGTCCTCAAACTGTAATGGGTACCACGTACTTGGTCATTGCTCACAAGACACAGCCGCTTGAAGCTTTTCCCAGTTCGACCTGCTGGCATCAGATAGAAGCTCCGATTGATGCTCATGTTGGGGTGTAGAAAATATCGTCTGGTTACCAGCAAAGATTTGTTGCAGATCCCCGCAGTATGGGGAGTTTGCCGCTAAAATTGTCGGTATATCCGAGATCACGGTATTTACCCCAGCGACTACAGGGCCGATCCAGTCCCAAAAGAATCCAACCTGTGTGTTGTCGACTCGAAGTTTGAACCAAGGGTGCACGTTCGAAACCGACCGAGGAAGCTCAGATATAAGCGTGCCCCCAAGGTGTAGATATCCGACGTTGCCTTCAATTATTGACGAAGGAATGCTCCGGATGGGATTCATCGCGATTGACAAATCGTACGGTGCAAGTCTGGCTAATGATTCGGGAACCTCCGTCAGATGACAAGCTTCGAAGTAGATACTCGCAGACTGTGGCCATTTCAAATCCGAATCATCCGGTAAGGAGTGTAAATTCGTGACACAAAATTCAATGTCGTTCAAAGAGTGAGGAAAATCGGCACTTTGGAGGCCGATGGGCAGTTGGCCATCCGCCATGTTCACTCGAACTATAAACACCATAACCAGGTCGGGATGGCACTTCTGTGATAACGCGGCTGCCTCTTCCCAACTCGCGATTGAGATCTTGAGCACTTTCAAACTTGAAAATCTAGTCAAGTCGCTGGGAATTTCTAGGACGGGACAGTGGTGTATCACGAGGCGGACAGTAGTCGTAGGGTCGAAAGAACTCCATTGATCAGTTACTTCTTTCTCACGTCCATCAACTCGAGATTCATGGCAATTGAGCATCAGCAGTGAGCACGAAGGTCGTGACGTGAACCATGGCTTTACTTGCATTTTGCACTGCGAAATTTCGGGAATAGTGTCGGCGTAGGAGTGTAGAACTAAAATTGCCAACACCCACACGGCAAACATCACTTGCGCGAATCTCGCTTCGACTCGCAGCTTACGCGTTCCCAGTGATACGTGTGGGTTATTATCAACGTTTTTGTCTCGGGTGCTCGGGTGAAGCGGAATAACAGCAGTAACTCGATGGCTGAACAGGTTTAAACTCTTTTGATGCGTGGCCAGCAGCTTTTTCATGTTATTCATGTTGCTGATCATGCTCAGAGCAAATATCATCCTCATTACCAGGTCTGACCAAGACATAACGAGAATAATCTGGAACTCGCTCATCGCGTGGACAACCCAAACGTCCTCATACCATTTGTTAGCAGGAAACTGGTTGAGCGCAAAGTCGAAGTCGGTAGCGTAGATGAGAAGCAGGACGGATGAGATACCCACTGAGCTCACCAGGTCAAGCACGCAGTCACAAATCGTCGCGATAAGCCGGCGCTGCGGTGCGTTCGTCTGGAAAATTGAGTAGATGAGCGCGGTAGACCAACAGTTCAGAATTAGCAGCGCGGCATAACCTCTGTTGAGTGGTGCGCGAGGGAGCAAGAGACTCATGCGATAAGCTTGCTGTGTTTGCAGCGCCGTCTCGACTATTTCTCGACACAGCAGAACAACGTCAAAGTAGGGAGAATTCACACTGAACAGGTCACTACGTGAAGATAATGCGTAGTAGACTCTATAGAGGCCTTGACTCCAACCCGTCGTTTTTGTTGCTCTGTTGGGTGAACTGCAAGTTTCAGTGACACCGAACACCATTTTCTTCTCTCTGGCTGAGCACCCAATGATCCACGCCAAATATCCCAAGTGTAGGGCAGCAATTCCCCCATGGGCAAATGCAACAGCCCTGTAATGCTCCGAGCCAAATCCAATTTTGTACAAGAGCAGCCATCGCTCGATAAGTGTGCCCGACAAGTTCCAGTAGCACCAAGCCACGAACGCAAAGTAACAGAAGCAGAATGAATGCAGGAACAAAAACCAACCCCAGCAAAGGCGAGAAAAGGCAAGTGAAAACGTGAAACCAGCAACTCCCGGAAAAATCCGAGCGCTCAAGTTGAAATGGCGATCTGAATCCCACATAGCTGCTGACGGCGCGAGCAGGAAGTCGCACAGTACGGCAGCGCAAAAGACTTCCAGTTGCCGTGAACATTTATAGATGGCGTCGCTAAATCCGGCGATTTTAATCCCTAGTATACTTCACGATGTATATCGTACTGATGCTCACAAGTCTACTTTAGCGTGGTATTTTGTTGAACGACGGTAGCTATTATCCTGTGGTGATTTTACTTGCCAATAGCAGCTCAATAAAAAGCTACTGCCTGGTAAAAGTACTCGTTCTCGTATTTCGAGCTCAACCCATTACAACGTACTCCACCACTGTGATCAAGTACTGTGCTATTTTAATATACGCTTAGGGCTCCTTGACTCATATACTTCGAAGCTTCAGCAGGCAACTATGCGCACGTGCCCTCAAGCCGACAAATGGAGTGCCCAAGTCCGCCCCGATAGCCAGACCCTCCAGATTTCTAGCAGCACGTTTTCACCCAACACGACACGCCTGTGCTGGGTTGCCTTCATCCTGCTCCACGCTTACTGCTGGATTTACTTCGCTGCGATGGCGTGCTTCTACTGGGGCTTGCCGGGAACAACTTTGGATGTTTGGTTGTATTTCTACGAGCTCAGCTTGGGGAGTGCCTACGATCGAGCCATCGCCATCGTTTTGGGCTCCGTTGCTGCTATTCACTTCGCGTATCTAGTGTGGATTGTCTGCTGGTCCCTGAAGAATCGAGGGATGGTCTTCGCCGTCTACGACGTATTCGAGTCTCCAGGCCTATGGTCACCATTCAGCGAAAAGTCAATGGCCTGCCGCGTTTACCGTGCTGTTCTCATAGGCGCTGGCCTCATTGGCGTTGATGGGCCGTATTTTGACTTACTGCTGCTATGCCGGGAGGTTGTGGAGACAGCACTTCAGACCCAGCAAGCATATCGCATGAGCTTGTTGCTGCCAAGAACTCAGTTGAATCGGTGCTATGTTGCGTTGCTAGTGCTCAATTACTGGACAACCGCATTGATCCACTCCGCGTTCCACAAAAGTTTGCATCAAGAGACTGTTCTACGTGATTGTGTGCGACTGTGTACTCGACCTGGTGACTTCTGTCGGCATATCCACGGTGCTACTAGCTATTTACTCCAAAGACTTCGATTTCGAGACGAACCAGTTCCCGGTATACCAGTGGTATGAAGACGTCTGGTCGGTACACATCCTCAGCGAGTTTCAAATTGTACTCGTGACTTCTTGGGGTGATTTGGTGATGCGAGTCGTGTTTGCTCTAAACATGATTGGCAATATGGACAACATGAAGAAACTATTGAGCACGACGACCGAGCCTCAAGCAAGTACCGGGAAAAAGCGGTACCCCAGCGTGAACCGTCGAGTGTCATCTGTGCAGCCTCTTCAAATTCAGCCTCAATTTACAGATGTAAAGAGCGCGTACTCCCAACGCAGACTACAAAATCTTCTGGCTGTGGAATCTCGAACAACGCAGGTCGTTTTCTTCCTGTGGGGTGTTTTCCTGATTATTTGCCACTTGTACGCTGAGTCGATTACCGGCTTACCACAGTGTGCGCAGGTCAAGCCCTGGTTCATCTCGGAACCATCATGTTCCCTGCTAATTCTAGACTGTCACAAATCCAACTTCACTGGAGAAGCAAGCGAAGTTATTACCTAACGGCAAGCGTTTGATCCGTCAACTCCAGCGGGCGTAGTGATTAAACATTATTTGAGCCTTGAAGTTCCCGAAATGATTACAGAATTTACGCGGTTGAGAGTGCTCAAGTTTTACAACTCCTCTATTGTCAGCTGGAACGAAAGTGCTGCTATCTCGCAGACGCACCACCCAAATCTGATCATGTTGTTCCTCGTAAGGGTGAATATGACCAATGGAGAGCTGCCTGCAGGGCTGCAATCGGACGATTTCCCACAAGCGCTGATGGATATCGAGTTCTGCATTACCAACTTGCGCACTTTACCGGACGATTTTCATCCGAAATGGCCGAAATTTGCTACAATCTACTTCGAGGCCTGATTCGTTGTCGCGATTGGCCCCTTTTGCGCTCTCGCTTGCTCTGAATCCGATTCGAAGTATTCCGCCCGCTGTGTTAGAAGGAAATGTGTTGGCTACCTCCACGTAGGAGGCACGCTCATATCTGAACTACCCAAAGATGCAGCGAACGTGTCGCCGTTTCTGAAGATTCGTGTTGATAACACGAACGTATCGTTCTTTTGGGACTGGGTGGATCCGATGGTGCTGAATGCTGGAGCTGTGTACAGCAATATCCCAACCATTGTGGCTACGAAGTCTCCATACTGTTTTGATCTCGACCGCATCTACAGTCGAAAGGAGACGAGATTTTCAGCGCCGGAACACGTGCATCAATCGGTAATTCTGTCTGACGCGTCTATGAGGAACTGGCCGATCATAAGAAAAGCTGTGTTCTGTGATCCATGGGCGGAAACATTGTACCCGATTGGGCATGAAGACCTGTACAACGGGATCAAAGCGATATAAAGTTGTACCTGCTAGCAAACTATAGTGTACTGAACGTGCGCTTACTACTTTAGTTGCGTTCCTAAATGTTCTACGGCCAGTATCGAGCAATAAGCAATTGTATTATATAATACAGTATATTAATGCAATCTAAACATTATTTATCGAACTAGGGCTCCGCGAAGGCTGAGATAGGAGTCCTATCTCAGCCTTCGTTCGATCATAGGAGAATTTGGAATATACCTTTCATTTTTTAGTTTTTATTAATTTCTTTTCTTACTAGCTACGGTCATCTGCAGCATCTGCCCGGATTTTTTTCTTACTTAAGTAAAGCTGTAGATGCAAGATATCAACCGGCAATTACCCAATGCTTTACAAAATTAAAAAATGCGAGCCCTGGTTCAGATCTCAGCTTGTAGAAAATGCAAATGCTTACTTAGTACCTCTAGTGCTATTGTACAGTCCAAGCGTCTCTTTACTTCACTTCATCCATCCGTACCCTGCTCAATATATGCACTGCTTCATACCAGTGTCGTCGGTAGCACACCGGTTCGATCTGCCCACGCATATAAACCTTTTGAAGGGCACCGGGGTCATATCGGTGTGATGGGTATCCAAACGGTTCAGTCTGCCCACGCTCTTGACATCTAACTAGTACATTTTCTTGAAACCAGTATGATCCCGGTGCCGCACTGGGCCCTCCAAAAGGTTTATACAGATACCGCCCACAAACTGAAATGCACTTATAGCGGATACTCTTCCCAATTCGGTCATTTATTTACATCTCGGAACAGAGGTTACCGTACTTTCTGCCAGTTAAGCTTGATTTAATTATTGAGGTCATCAGCCCTGCAATACCCAATTTCGTGCACTCAACGAAATCCCTCTGAGAGCTTGGAAGGTCCACCCTTTTCACTTTGTGGGCGGTATCTGTATGCGTGGGCAGACTGAACCGGTAGGATACCCATCACACCAGTATGACCGCCTTCGCAGCCGCAACATCTGCCCGGTAATTCACCTCAAAACTGTAGATGCATGATATGCCTTGGCGGTGCTATTACACAGTGATAAAACGAACCTGCTCAAGATCTTGTAGAAAATGATAATAGAGGCGTTCTGAAGCACGGTATTTCTAAAAATACGTAGTGAAAAACACGTAGCGCTGATACGTGTTTTTGACTACGGGTTTTCCGTAGTGGTCGGCTGTTCAGCGATACGGAAAATCAAAAACCTGTGGCAAAACTACGTAGCGTGGAATCTTCCGTGCACGCAACGTTTTAAGCTGGAACCTCGGCTCAACAAACTTTAGCTGTGAGCGCCGTCATTCGGCGAACACGTCGGCAGCGCCTACGCCCACGTACCATCGCTGGGCCAACGTAGATGTTCAGTATAGTGAAATAAAGTAAAAATTGTTCAGTTTTTTAATTAATGCCTTCTTACTGTTAACCATGTTCATTCCGTGCTTTGAATGAATCTGTTCGTGTTGCACCACCATGAACACGTGTCTCGGTTGTCTGCAGCATCTTCATCTAATTTACCTGCGTTGGGTGTTGTTAGTTACAATTTGTAAAGTTTTTTGTGGGTCCATGATAGTTTGGTCTACTCGCTTTCTGGCGTATGATGCTCGTTACTTCCAGCATGCCTCGAGTTGGCACCGGAATAAGTAGCAACGAAATCGACGCTTCACCAAGTTCAAGAAATGGATGCATACTTTCTTGGGGGTTGCATGATGGTTTCCTGACATTTGTAGCTGTAGTGGTCCCAATACGGCGTGTCGGCTGTGGTCTCTTCAAACTCCAGGTAGGTTTGGAAGGCGCTGCTCGCCCCTTGCCTTGATTTAGGGTGGCGGGGGAGCCTACCGGCCGCCCACGCTGGTCCTTGGATGACAAGTAGGCAGATGGAATCTTGACAGGCCGATAGCAGCAGATAATGGAGTACACACGCAAGCTAAGGTCGCCAACGAGGAGCACTCGGCCTCTAACAGACGGCAAATGCGCCCACGACCAACTATTTGTCATCCAGGGCCCCCCACCCACCCTAACGAAGAAGCTTAGGCATGCTGCTTCCTTACGTATATTTCGGTTTGATTACCCCGTAGCGGACTCTCCTCTCACGGGTTTGGGATCGAAAAACACGTAGCGTCGCCCGTGCCAAAAATAGATCGGATCGCTACGTGTTTTCGCTACGGGTTTTTGACAAAAACATGTGCTTCTGAAAGCCTCTATTGTTTAGCTTTGTATGCTTCTGCAGCAGTTCGTCCACTTCAATCATTCACTTTACTTCACCTATCTATTAGATGTTACTGACTCATACCGGTTCAGTCTGCCCACGTTTTGGAAGGGGTCATACTTTGACTTGATGTACCACGGATATAATCATATTTGGTATGCGATAGCAGCACTAACATTGCTTCCTATTAATATAGTTATAATAATAATATAGTTATACATATAGTTATACTGGGATAGGAAGCAACGTTAGTGCTGCTATCACAGACCAACTAGAATTATATCCGTGGTATTAATACGTCAAGTCAAACGACCCTTCTTGACATCTAACTGGTATATTTTCTTGATACCGGTGCGACTCCGGTGCCCGTGGTTCGTACAAAAACAACTCAGAATAATAGATAGCGTTTATACCAAAAACCTCCTATCCCCAGCCTTCGCGGAGCCCTAGTATATGATACTTAGTAATATTCAGCGCAATTATTGTTTTGGCTCAATACTTCATTTTGAAATTAATTAAAACAATAATCCATTTATAAATTATTAATATTGAAATGACAATTATTTGCAAAAAAGGAAAGTGAAATTAGAAATAATTAAATGGATTTTGTCTAAAGCAATTTAGACGAAATTGTTTTATCCATCTAATTATTTCTAATTTTGACTTTTTAAAAAATAATATTGTCAGTAAACGAGGAAGCAGCGGCAAGATTGTTAGTTTGGCTCGGTCTTTGTGGAACACCAACTAGGCAGCATCGGCGATGTTTTCCGGTCTTGGTGGAGCTTCAACTATCTGCCTTCGTGGTCGTGCCGCAAGCAGAGCGAGGATCACGATGAAAATCACTTCCCAACTTGCGCAACATTGCCGACGGACTCCGCAGAATGCCACGAAATACTTGCCAGCCGCTGCTTTCCACTGGAGAGTCTTCGTTGTTGTGGTCTGGAAATCAACGGCGTGGACCGAGAGCAGTGGCGACATGGACGATATCACCGACAGAGTTGCGAGCGCCAAGAGAGCACGCGACATCTTTCACAGTTGCGGAGGCTCAGCTAAATAATGAAGTGGAAGTCACGTTGACAAAGAGGCGGGGGCTTGGCCTAATGTTCGGTCGTTTCGTCTCGATACGAATGTCTTCAGCATTTTTAGCAGCTCGAGACGATTCGACCGAACAACAACCGTGATTCCCACTATGCTGGTTTTGTTTTAGTTTGTATTCCGAACACTTAGCCTTGCCAATTCTGTTGCAAGTACTGCAAGTCCAGAATGAACACTATACAGTCTTGACGCCGCTGTTTTTGTCTTCTGACGCGATCGGATACAAAATGGTGGGCCACTCATCGCACGAGACGGCTTGCCTCAACGTGGCCCAGTTCTCTGCCGAGGCGTCGGATAGATACCGTGATTGGTCATAGTGCTGCTGAGCTTCGAACGAAGTCTGCTCTCCATCAAATATCCGCTGCAAGGCCGCGCAATACGGCGTGTTTGACGCTACAACGGTAGTTGGCACGTCCGACAGCACAGCCCCAGCACTCTTGACAACGGGGTCGATCCAGTCCCAGAAGAACGACACTTGTGTGTTGTCAACGCGAATTTGCTGCAGCGGCGAGACGTCGGTCAAGTTCTCAGGCAGTTCGGAGATTGGGGTGGCGCCAATGTGAAGGAACACCAGCTCTCCCTCCAGCAACTGAGCGGGAATGCTCGTGATGGGATTCATCGCCAGCGACAAGTCGTACGGAGCCAGTCTAGCTAGCGAAGGGGGGACTTCGGTGAACTCGCAGGCTTCAATGTAAATGCTCGAAAGCTGCGGCCACTTGGTATCCAAATCTTCCGGCAAAGAGCGTAGATTTGTGTGGCAAATTTCAATGTCGGCCAGTCCATGGGGGAAGTCGTCGCCCGCCATCCCAGCAGGCAGTTGACCATCGGGTAGAGTCACTCGTACGAGGAAGAGCATGATTAGATTAGGGTGGTGGGTCTCCGTGACGGCGGCGCTGTCAGTCCATCGCACGATGGTGGAGTTGTAGAACTTGAGCAGTTTTAGATTTGAAAACTCGCGGACGATGTCGGGCATCTCGAAGCCAGTACAGTGTTGAATCACAACTCCAGACGTGCTGGTAGGGTCAAAAGAGCTCCACTGAGCAGTAACCTCACTTTCGATGCCGGTTAGATTGGAATCATAGCAGTCGAGTATCATGAGGGAACACGCAGGCTCGGAGATGAACCACGGCTTGACTTGCATTCTGCATTGATGGGGCCCTGCTATTGACTCAGCATACAGGTGAAGACACAGGATGACTATCCCCCACGCGAGGAAGAGGGTCTGCGTCAGTCGCGACTCTAATCGTAGCACAGTTCGTAGTTTGCTTGGCTTGCTGGAGCCGTGTAAGTCCCGTACACTTGGGTGGAGGGGATGCACAACTGACAGTCGACGGTTTGCGCTGGCACGTCTCGATTCGGATGACGCAGCTGGGGAGGTCTGAATTGTCGTACTCAGCAGCTTCTTCATATTGTTCATGTTCAGGATCATGCTCAGCGCAAACACCACTCGCATCGCTAAATCGCCCCACGAGGTCACCAGAAGTATTTGGAACTCACTGATCACGTGCATCACCCAGACGTCCTCATACCACTTGTAGACAGGGAAATCACCGATGGTCATATCAAATTCTGCCGCATATAAGGCGAGAAAGGCTACGGAGATGCCCACCGACGTCACTAAATCCAGTATACAGTCACTCGCTATTGCGTAAAAGCGTCTTTTAGTGTAGCTGCCGTGGAAAACTGCGTGCACGACAGTCGTCGACCAGCAGTTTAGAACCAGTAGCCCAATGTAGCCCCTATTCAGCTCGCTACGTGGAATAAGGAGACTCATTCGATACGCTTGACTTGTCTGTAGCGAGGTCTCCAGTACTTCTCGACAGAATAAAACCAGATCATAGTACGGACCATCAACTCCGTACAGTCCCAGTTTTAGGAGAAAAGAGCGATAGGAATTCCACATCCTGTGAGTGAGTCGCTCTTCAGTCCCGAATTTCGACGATGGAGGAGTGCCGAAGAGGTTGTAGACAGCGAAAACGAGGCTTCTCCTTTGGATGGACCACCCCAACATCCACAGCAGATACCCACCGTGAACCAGAGCAATGCAACCGTGCACAATGGCGATGGTTCCGTCGTGCTCAGGGTCCAGTCCGAGGTTGTAGAAGTAGAGCCACCGGCCAAACGTGGTGCCTGGCAACACCCAGTACCCAAATGCCGTGCAAGCGAAGTAAACACCGCAGAATCCGTGCAGAGTCAGGAAAACAAACCAGCAGAACCTCAACGCAGTGGGCGAAAACTCTCCGGGACCAAAGCCCTCTGCTTCTGCTGCGCGGGCATGGTTCCGGTACGGCCCTGGTTGACCACGTTGCTTCTGGCGAACATACAGCGACATTGGTCGGAGCTGGGGACAAGTGGTAATGACCTCCTAAACTATGATAAGGTCGAGCTACAACTTGACAGATATAGACGGAAATGCTGGTGATGAAGACAGGCTTGGTTCGTCGACAAATATGGCTCGGCGCGACTAAGCAACGACGTCTCCCGTGTCATTTAATTTTACTGTATTCATCCTCAAACTCTAGCGGGTAATACGTACTATCCTCGACGTCGCAGGAGACAGCGTTTTGTATAGTCGCCCAGTTCTCGACTGAAGTATCTAACAGCACCGATACATCTGTCGCGTTATCTAGAATGGAGGATGGAATGGAGAACCTCGACTGCTCTTTATCGAAAATCCGCTGGACTTCATCGCAGTAAGGCGTGTTGCCAGCGGTTATTGGAGGGGAGTCCGCTGGGACTACGGCCAGTGAGTCGATCCAAGGCCAGAAGAAGGATATGTTGGTGTCACTCAAGTTCACATCGTACACTGTCGAAGCTAGCTCAGCGACATCCTCCGGTAGCTCCGAGATTAAAGTCCCTCCGAAGCTTAGGTACGCGACGGATTCGCTCTCGAAAAGCTCTTTTGGAATAATTGAAATGGGGTTCAACGATAGCGATAAATCGTACGGCGCTAGACGCACCAACGCTGGCGGAATTCCATCGAATTCGCCGACTTCGAGGTAAATGCTGGCATATTGAGGCCATTTTGAATCGATATCGTCAGGTAAAGTACGCAAATTTGTGACACAAAATTCGATATCCTGCAGTGCTTCCGGGAACACATCCGCATGAAGCCCGAGTGGAAGCTCCCCGTTGGTCAAGTTGACGCGCACAAGGAATAGCGTTGTTAGCTCTGGGTGGGCGATCTGAGAGATGGCTGCACTTTCGTCCCATTTCTTAATCGTGGAGTTATAGATCTTTAACTCCTTCAGCTGCGTGAACTCGGTTAATGTTGCAGGTACTTCCAGAGCAGAACAGTGTCGGACAGCAACGCGAACCACAGTCATCGGGTCAAACGCACCCCATTGTGGAGTAATTTCCATTTCTTTCCCAATAATCCCAGATTCGTAGCAATCAAGCTCGAGTAAAGAGCAAGATGGTTGGGATGTAGACCACGGCTTCACTTGCATTTTACATTGTGTCAGCTCAGGGACAGACTCAGCGTACAGGTGGAAAATGAGCACTACGAGCCCCCAAACGAAGAACCCAATTTGTGTAGTTTTTCCAACCCAGTAGTGCATAGTCTCCGGGTCTATTCCATCTAAGTGGGGCATAGCCTTGCTCAGATTTACCAAAGTTACGTGAAATGGAGCCACGACTGTTGCATGTCGTGGGCTAACTCCGTCGTGTACAGGCTTCGTGGGTCTTGCCCGCATGAGCTTCTTCATTTTGTTCAGGTTGCCCAGCATGCTCATGGCGAAGACAAACCGCATAGCCAAGTCTCCCCAAGAGCTGACCAATATCATTTGAAACTCGCTCATGGCGTAAACTCTCCACACGTCCTCGTACCATTTCAGGAACGGGAACCCGTAGGTGTCGAAGTCGAAGTCGGGGATGTAAATCGCCACGAGAACCGTCGAAATCCCCACAGAGGACACAAGATCCAGTACGCAGTCACAAACGAGCGCTAGCAAGCGCCTCCTTGTAGCATGATAGTGGAAAACCGAGTACACGAGAGCCGTGCTCCAACAATTCAGGACAAGCAGTGCTACATACCCACGATTGAGCCCTCTGCGAGGTAAAAGCAGGCTCATACGGTAGGCCTGCTGCGTCTGAAGCGCAGTCTCCAGAATCTCTCGACACAGCAGTACAAGGTCAAAATTGGGCCCGTCGACTCCTAGAAGACCGTCACGTGTGAACACCGCCCTATAAACCCAGTAGACGCCATTTTTCAGAGGGGAAACTAGGGGCCAACCCTCGCCGACTCCTTCCAGGTTAAAGGGCAACTTGAGCACGTTGTAGATAGCGAAGACCAAGCTTTTTTTCCGACACGACCACCCGATCATCCAAACAATGTAGGCGGCATGGACCACAGCTACGGAAGCATGGAGTATTCCGATCATCTGATGATACTGCGTACCCATTCCGATGTACAGCATGGATAGCCACACATCCAGGCGAGTTGTAGGCAGGTTCCAGTAGCACCAACCAGCCATAGCGAAGTAGAGGAAGCACACGAGATGCAGCAGCACGAAGGTCGTCCAGGCAAGTTTCATCATTGTCGGGGAGAATTTGTCGGTGCGAAGGCGAGCGATACGCTCATGGGCTCGGATTTGAGCCAGGCCCGGGGCCCGCATCGGGCCGACACGGTGCGGCATGACGAGACACAGGGTATATACTCTACTGTAGAAACGCTTCCACATTACGATTATAGCTGCAGCCTACTGCGATTGCGGCGTTCGTGTATTCAGCGTCTATTTTTGCGGAATTTGCATCGTAGGATCGAGAAGATAATGTAATGTAATGTATTACGTTTTCGCGTTGCCACACTATGCTGTCGCTAGGCTCAGCTTTGCTAGTCGACGGCATAAGGTGGTGTCCGCGTACGTCGGGTCCTTCTTCGCCGGCAGTGCGGCGACAATTGCCCTCTCGAGGGCTTTCCATTTAGGTTTCTCTTGTGCAAGCAGCAGAAGTTGGTCCAGGTCACGGCGGGTCTCGAGGCGATAGGCGTATCCGCTCGAGATAAGGTCCGCATCGAGCACAGTCGGTAGGGTCGTGCGTGGGCGTCCACGCCAGGTTCCCTTGGACGACGAGTCGAAGTAGGCGGCCATCTGGGTGTACGCTGGGATTTCGGGCCGGCGCAGGATGTGGCCGAACAGACGCCATCGTGCTGCTGTGATTCTGTGGCGGAGCGGGCGTTCCTGACAGATTTCGTAGAGCGTGGCGTTAGAGATTCGCTGAGGGTAGCGAATGTTTAGTACGCTACGTAGTTGTCGGCGGTGGAAGCTTTCGAGCCCGCTCAGCTCGGACGGCGTCAGTGCCTGTTGTACAGCAGAACAGGAAGCACATAGCAGTTATACAGCCGGACTCTGGTGGCGTCACTGACGTACTGGGGCCGGATCCATATTGTCCAGGGCCGACGTAGTGCGCCTGCTGCGAGTATTTTGCGTCGTGTCAGATCTTCTGAGTCGCCGAGTAGACTGCCAAGCTTCTGTGTGGAGCGCTATGCCTCTTCTGTCGCCCGAGCGTGTCGGGAGTAGCCCGACGAGCCTGTACATCGCTGAATCATGGTTAGTTCTGTCTTGGTTGCATTCATCTGGAGGGACCAGCGTGTGAACACTGCTGGTGCTTCGGCTTGGATGCGCTGGACCAGCTCGGTATCGCGGCAGACAAAGTCTGCATCATCAGCATAGACGATCATTTGGTCGAGTAGGGTCCGATTCACTCCGAGGTGGGATGCGAGGTCGCGTAACGCAGCTTCCAGGTAGATGACGAACAGGACCGGTGAAAGCGCATCGCCCTGCGGCGTTCCGATGTTGCTATCGAAGCTGTGTTGTGCCTTGGACCCGGAGCGCAGAGAGAGCTTGATGTCGGCGAGCAAAACCTTGATCAATCGGACCTCGTCGTCGTGTAAGAATGTCTGGAGTACTTCTACAAGCTTGACGCGGTTGATTGTGTCGAACGCGCGCGAGAGGTCGATGCCGAGGACATGTATGGTTTCACGATAGCGTTGCACGCGGGCACGGGGCCATTTGTGTGCCCACACGGCGTCAGCAGTGCTTCTGTGTTTGCGGAATCCGCTTTGATTGGGGGACAGGAATGTGTCCACCGCAGCGGATATCCGTGCGAGTACGACGAGAGATAAGGCCTTGCGAATGCTGCTTAACAGCACGATGGGGCGGAGACTGGAACATACACCTCGGGGCTTGTTGGGCTTGGGCAGGCACACGAGTGTTCCTTCGCCAAGTGCGAGGGGGGTGCCTTGCTCGAAGCTGCAGTTGACGAGGTCTGCGAAGAGAGGCGCGAGGACTGAAGCCCCGTACTTAAGTTCTGCTGGGAGCTCATTTGGCCCAGCGGCGCGTCCGTTGTTGAGGCGCCGAAAGGCTGCTTCGACTTCTGTTGCTGTAACAGGACGGGTTGGAGATCGCGGTTCACGATCCGGAACAGGATGTGGCCGCCCCGGGTCATAAAACAGCGTTCGGAAGTGATCGGTGATCATCTTGTTAGTAGTTTGTTGCCGCAGGATATTCTTACCTTCTTGGTCGTGGAGTAACAGCGGTTGGGGTCGATGGGGGCTAATGTCTCGAACTGCTGCATACATTCGTGCCGAGTCGCTCAGATTTTCGATGCGTGTAATCCGCTCGCCCAGTTTGCGAGATGCGATGGCTCGGCATCGCGCTCGGATTTGATGGAGAATCTTGTTGCGGGCGGCTCGGAGCTCGATCGTGTTAGCGGCGCAGTCGTTGTAGATTCGAAGCTGAAGCGCCCGCTGGGCCTCAGAGAGCAGCTGAAGTTCATCGTCGTGATGTCGTACGTGGCGGTGGTTAGGACCTGCGAATCCTACAGTCCCCTCGGCTGCTTCTCGGATTCGATCAAGCGTGTCTGTCCAGCGCTGGAGAACGGTGCTGCCTTGTGCTGTTGACTGTGAAAGCGCTGCCTGAAGCGCGTTCGTGTAGTCGTCTCGTGCTGTGTCGTCGTAGATGAGATGATCTCGTGCTAACTTGAGTGCTGGATCTGGCTTGACCGTGCTGTAGCGGAGACGGTGAGTGGCCGCGTTCAGGATGAAGTCGGCGTTGACGAGCTTGTGGTCCGACGCCGTCAACGTTCCACCTCAGGATCGCGCGTCCATGCAGAGCCGTCGGCAGTTCTGAGGGCATAGGATAAAGTCGATCTGGTTGTAAATACAGTGATTCGTCCGGCGCTGACTCCATGTTGTTTTGTGGCGGGCTCGCTTTTGAAAACCTGTGTTAGTGGCAAAGAGAAGGTGAGTAGAACAGAAGTCAGCTAGTGCGTGGCCGTTTCGGTTGCGTATGCCTCGTGCATGTGGTCCCATGAATGCCTCTCCGTTGATCTGTTGTCCGAGCTTGGCGTTGAAGTCGCCAGTCACGAACGCGATGTTGCGCCTTGGTAGTTGGTCAAGTGTGTCGCTGAGATCAGCGTAGAATCGATCTACTTCGGCGAGAGGCCGACCGCTGTGGGGAGCATACGCCGTGACGATGTTCACGGGGCCTGCGTGGGGGAGTAAGAGCTGAACGACGCCGATTCGATCGCAGTGTGCCCAATAGCAGTGTAAGTAGGGGTGGACGCGGGGGGAGATGGCAAAGCCGATCCCGTGGCGCTCCTGTACGGCTGGTAGTGTGAGTAGCGTGTAGTCTCCGATACGTTTCTTGTCGAGGGTGCAGATGCGTGTTTCTTGGATGCCGAGAACGTCGATGCGGTAGCGCCGGAGGTCCTGGGGGAGCGTGTCCTGCTGCTTGCGGGTCGAACCTAACGACTGGACATTAAACGAACCTATCCTTAAACGGTTAGTTTGATGCGCGCGGCGAGGAGAGCGCGATAAGAGGGTGGGGGGGTGTAGTTGTCGCTAGTGCTGCCGGCTTGGGGGCGAAGGAAAGACCCACTAGGGACGTACAGATGCCCGAGAGCACCTGCCGGAAGCGCGTAGCTAGCATCATGCTGGCCACGTGTTCCGGGGGGGGGGGGGCGTCACCCCAACCCCAACCAAAAATCGAGAAGATAATTATCCAAAAATGAAATCCTGCTGCTCACTCTCGAGCTATTCGTGCTCTGCTTTGGTAAGACTTTAAGCATCGGTGATGTATTTTTCGGGCAACGCTAACTCACATGTCAGCCAGCTGGAAAGCTCTCAGGTTCAGGATCATTGTGGCTTCTTCGTGAGCTTCTTGGATGATTTTCGTGAGGTGGCCCCGAAAGGAAGGGATACTCATTTAAGGATAAATATGTACAATTATGCACTGAATTCAGATACAAGGTCAGCCAATTATGTAGTCGGCCAGCCTTCGGCGCACTTTGCCAAAGTTCGCGGTTAATTTGAGTTGGCTCGACTCTTAGGACAGATGACCCTAAAGAATCTGATGATTGGCTGATGGAATATGAAAGTCCTATCCCATCAGCCAATCATCTTTGGCTGACGATCCTAGGTTCTGACCTGAAAATGGTCGGAAGCCCACACTGTAGCTACCACGGTCTCGACTCACGATGGACAAGCTGCCCGACATCCAGCAGCAGCTCTCGCGCATAGCAGCCGACGTCGCCGAGCACTCGCAGCTCGACAGTGTTGCGCCCTCTCCTGCAGCAGAGATGACCCCCGTCCTCATCCACATTGAGCAGCTTCTAGACGAGATCCGCGCTTCCACTCGCGCAATTGTCGCGAAAGCCTCACGACAGGGACGTCCCGAGCCGCGACCAACTAAACGACGACGGACCGACGATTTCCGCGTAAAACTCGAGTCGGAGGATGTGGTTGACTACGAGTCCGAGACCGAGACGGAGGATGAAGCAGCTGCCGATCAAACTGGAGATGCAGAAGAAATGGACGAAGGAGAAAAAGAAGAAGGAGAAGAAGAAGAAGGAGAAGAAGAAGAAGAACACGATGATGATGACGATACCGGTGATGCTGGAGGCCTGGCCGGCTCTAAGTTGCAGGAGGGAAAAAGTGAGGAGCATGGCGATGAGTTTGAGGAAAAACCTCATAAGCGGATGCTGGACCCTGAGGCGGCTGCTGCGCTGGAGAAGCAGCTCAGGAAGAGCGTGAAGAGTTATCTTGCTATCACAAGAAAAGTTGCTGACGTAGACGAGAAGACGGATTTAAATCGAGCTGAACAAGTCATGGCTATCGTTGGTCGCTGGAGTGGTGCGTCAATGATCCAACTTTTGAAGCTCCTCAGAGGAGGCGGCGTTCCAAGTGTAGAAGTTGCCACTGATTTTTGTGACGCTACAGTGCTGCTGCCGTCTACAATCGCAGTCCATCGTTCACAACAAGGTATGAACCAGAAATGGTTTTCCCTTACGATGAAGAGGATCCAGCAAATTTCTGCCTTGGCGAAAGCCAATTGTGATATTCCCAAGTGTTTGTCGGACGCGAAGTTGGATGTCACGCGAGAGCGCCTTCAAGAGCACTCGACTAACACCAAAACAGATTTTCTTCGCCAGATGGAGGTGTACATTGAACGAATGAAGTCTCAAGACGGTGTGTTGGAGCCTGATCGGGTTGAAAAGCGTGTGGGGAAGCTTGCAAGTTTGTTTCACCATGACTTTAAGCTGTGCTCTAAGCGTAAGACGCCTCCGCGGACTGAGGAGAACTGGAGACGTTTTGCTCAAATTGGTGAAGTACTGGCGGAATGGATCCTCGTGGGTGAGCGAGCAACATCAGGACCGAACCTACCGGCGCATTTAGAAAGCTTCGAGAGACAGTTACGCGGCTTTGCGAAAAAGAATCCTGGTCGGGTTCCCGCTTCACTACTCCAGTAAGTACCTACTTGATGCGGAATGAAGGGTTCGTCGATCTCAATTGACTAACGGCAGTGATCCGTGCATGTATTCAGAGCTTCTGCACTACTGAAAAAGTTTGCTCAAACCAAAACACGACGAAAGCGTGCAGCAGGCAAATCTACTACTTCAAGTAAAAAGGATGTCAGTAATCATTGAAATCTTCGACCGTAGAGCGTTCAATTTTTTTTCTCGACCAGGTGCCTGTTACTAAATGTAAGAATGAAAAAAAAACTTATCAAAATAAGTATCTACTACGAGTATGTGTTTCGTGGTGTTTCCCAAAAATAGCGCTCCGCACTGGAAGTAGCAGAGGTAAGTGCCGACTCACGGATCGGCCAAGCTGCTCACGAGATGACATGGTTCGTCCAGAGCAGGTCGGTGCTTCACATAATGATGACTATGTCAATCTTTCGTCTCGGGCTTTCACCTTCTGGTGGGTAGTCATCTTGGCCGTCCACCTGCTGACGTTTGCGTACAATGCGAGCTGCGCCAAGTTCTACTGGGACTTTGACGCAGCTTTCCTGAGTTACGTACTGGAGCCATACTCGATTGGAATGCCCCGAGAAAACTTTCGCACCATCGCGTACGTGCACGCGGCACTAGCTTCGGTCCACGGGCTTTGCGTTCTACATCAACTCGTCTGCTCATTTCGGCAGCAGACAGTATCATTCACACTAAAGCCCCAGCCATCAAGCAAAAGCAGCAAGGGGGTTGCGATGATCATCCGACAATCCTCAAATTATCCAGTAGAACTGAGTCGAGACCGAACTGCAAGCCTCGCAACGCGAAGCCTCATAAAGGCGTACATGAAAATTGCGGATCGTCGCGGACTTTTCGGTGTGAATGGGAGGTACTTCCACGGCATCCTCATCTTCCGCGAATTTCTGGAAACTGCTCTCCAAACTGTTCAAGCTGTACGAATGAGCAAGCATCTACCACGTCCAGAGCTCAATCACTTTTACGTGGGACTATTGGTTGTGAATTGCTGGTCCTCAGTTATAATCTACTCGCGTTGGTTTTGGCACGACGAAGCACGCCGTCGATTTGCATTGGTCGTCTGTGACTGCGTACTGGACATGATGACCACTGTGTGTGTGGCTGCGATAGTTGTGATACGCTACGTCAACCAGTACAACGTTGAGTTGGCTGGCTTCAATTTTGAAGCCCTTGCGGATGATGACTGGATGGCTCAAATGCTCAACGAGGCTCAAATAGTTTTGGTCGTGTCGTGGTCAGACTTGGCGATGCGAATAGTCTTCTCCTTTGGACTTATTCTCACTACAGCAAATATGAAAGACTTGCTTCGACGGTCGTCCGTAAACAAACGTCAGGTTCACGCAAGGCGCGCTGTCGAGCAACAACTACTCAATGTAAGATTGACTACAGCGGGAATACGTCATATCAATTGGAATACACAACTGCTGAAGAAAACATTTACTGCCAGGAATACGAAAGGATACATCAAAACTAAGCCGAGGTGGGTTCACGCGGTGGATCTGGTATTTCTGATCTGGGGCGCTGTTGTGATTGCCTTTCACGTACACGCTAACACGAAACCACCGTTACCCGGATGTATACCGAAAGTTCACCCCATGGCCGGAGCTCTACCATCTTGTTTTGCCGTGGATTTTAATTGTCACACGATGAACCTATCGGGCTCACAAAATGATGTACGCTTGGAATGGGGGAAATTTGACCGTGTGGCGGTGGTGAAACTGCGCATTTTGCACTGTCAAGCGTTTGAGATGCCGCCCTCGCTCCAAGATTTCTACCTGCTGCAAGAGATTCGAGTCTATAACTCGACAATCAATAACTGGACGGGGGATGCTGCTCTTACCAACACTCATCACCCAAGGCTGACGACGTTGTCCGTGGTGCGAACGGGCATGGCCGCTGGCTTGCTTCCTTCAGGCTTGCAGTCATCGGATTTTCCGTCAAGCCTGTTGGATATATACTTCTGCGAGACAAACATTCGAGAGGTTCCTGATGATATCGACACTAAATGGCATATCGGCTCGAACGTTTATATCGAGAACAGCCAGCTGAGTGCAGTGCCACCAGCTCTAATTCGATTGCAGTTGTACTACCTCGTCTTGGCAGGGAACCCTATTTCTGAGGTTCCCTCCGAGCTCTTCGAGGGCACTGGTATGCTGTACCTCATGTTAGCACGGACCAACATTAGTTCACTGCCAAGGACTCTTCCTTTTCCGACCCCGAGTCCACCTTTTATCGATGTCAGCTATACGAATATCGCCTCGTTTTGGTCTTGGATTGATCCGCTCGTGGAATCGATGCTAGAGTTTGGTTCGCCGATGATACTCGCTAGTAGCTCCACGTACTGTTCCGACCTAGAGAAGATTATGAGTGGAGCTTCAGATGCTTTCAGTGCCCCATTTGAAGCCGATCTCTCTCCACTTCTCATGGATCCTTCGCAACACAACTGGGGTTTCCTCAGCCAAGCAGTAGACTGCTCACCACCAGTATTTCCTACGGTGTTTCCTCTTGGTGACTGGGATAAAATGTATAGCCTCGAGTGAGCACTGGATAGTGTACAGCAGGTTAAAAAAAGTGAAGTTGACGAATTTTATGGGTAGAATCCTTGGTGCAGTGCACTATTGGCAGTTTTTCGTGTTTTGGAGCAATTTTCGAGTAGCTTTACCGACGTTCCTCTGCTAAGCTGTACAGCTAATATTTCCGTTCTACAAACGAGCTGATGAATGTTGCGTCTAAACAAGCGTTTGCTGGTGTTGCAAGAAAGTATTTACGGTGTTTTTTACATGTGTCACAAATAGCACTACAAACCAACAATTTGCTTTTCCTTGTAAGGAGCCCTGATGAACACGTTGCACCAAGTCGAGCAGGACCTTTCACGCGTTGCAGCCCGGGTTCAGCTCGAGCTGCAGTCTCCTCGAGCCGCTGGCAGTTCTCGTGATTGTGCAGCGTCGTTGGTGCGCATTGAGCAATTGCTGGACCAAATTGGCAATTCCGCTCGAGCTCTCGCTGCTACAGTTCCTCCTGGTCCACCGTCAGGCTCTGAAACTGAGACAGAAGAGGAAGGAGAAGTCGATGACACGACACGTATTACTACTGGGAGAAAGCGCGCTAGAGAAGACGAGGGAGCGGAGCAGCCCCAGCAGCTCCCAACTCGAGTGGACCGCGCAGTTACTGATGAGCCGGAAATCCATCTTCAACACATAACACAACTGTATTTGGAGTGTGCGAATGCGGCTGACAGCTTGGGGCAGTGGGAGGAGCGGCAGGTCGTCCGCAATCCACTAAACAAGTTGCTCAACCTGGGCACTAGAACGATCGGGGGAATGCTAAAGTTCTTGGTGCGCGGAGGGGTCCCTACGCATGAAGTTGCCGAATGGTTCTGTGAAGCCACAGCTAGATCGTCACATGCTGCAGAAGAGCGCTAGCCAGAAGTGGTTGACGTCTGCAACTGACAATCTCGGGCAGATAATAGCGTTCGCACAAAACAAACCCGGCTTGCCAGCAGCTCTGACGGATCCTCGGCTGGCATCGGCTCGAATCGCGCTGCTACAGGAGCGAGATCGTCACGGGACAGAGTATCTGCTTAAGATGAAAGAACTCGTACTGCAGGTCGAGGCGCACCAGGGTCCGCAAGATGTCATCGAGGACATTGACCAGTTAGCTTGCTATTTCATGCGGGACTTTAGATTAAAAATGCGGCTCGAAGAGATCGGTGCTGCCCCAAGGAGTGATGAGGAATGGAAAATGTTCTTGGAGTGTGCCAGCGCGCTGGAGGAGTGGACATGGAAGGCGTGTAAAATCTCGCCGCGGCCAAAGTTACCTGCGCATTTGTTGTGGCTCGAGAGAAAACACGGGGCGTTTGCAAAAGGGAACCCCGATCGAGTGTCGCCTGCATTGCAGAAGTGCGTTGACAGGTCTTCTTCTTTTTTACTTATTGAAAGTGATGTGGCTCTTATAATGTGAATTGAATCTTTGTGGCAGGGCCTCCGCAAGAATAACCACATTAGTTGGCGTTAATAAGAAGCAGAAGTGCTCGAAGTAAACTGGCAAGTGTGCTTTCAAGGAAATCAACTGTCCTTTGCTTTTCAATGTGGGGCAAGGGGCCGCTGAACGTAAGCATTTTCTCGACAAACTATCAGACCAAAGTAGATAAGCTGATACACGAACGAATATTGATGAGAAATGTCCAAACAGAACTGATGGACATGTTTTTCATGTTGGAACGAGATGTCATTATACATGTATGATGCTGGATCGCAATCGACAGACTCGTGACGAAGCAGTTTGCGCTTCAACGTTTGTTCCGGAGCTTGCGTACGACGGACGACACCTCGCGGCAGCGTTGAAAAAGTGCACTGAGTGTTGTCTGCTTTGATCACCAACGCTTGGTGTGATCCGTCCTGTCACAGAAGAATCGCACAGGACATTCCTCCGACACATGTATTTAATAAAATAGGGCGCATCATCACGGGCCAAGTTCATGGTCGCGCAAAGCTTACCGACAGACTCACCAGCTACATCACCGACGGTGATTCACCGTACAGCGTTTTCATCGCCAGCAACGGTAGATATCCACGGAAATCCTAAGCTGTCGGTCGTCCAGCCTGACTTCAACTTCCCCATCCGGGTTCACGCGGAGTTCAGAAACGCAAACCCATGTTTTTTTCTGTTCGTCCGTGGCCGCAGAAAGGAAGGGCGCAACGACAATTTGTATGGAAGTCATAGATACATATGGGTTGCGATCTGCAACGTCTTCCAGGCTTTGGCTTTGCGAGCAGGCAAACCGCCTCTACCATCCATGTGACGCTCTCCCCTTTTGCACCGGTCTCTGCCTCCCCCGATGGTGAAGATCACTTCAGTTCCGAAATCTCCACCTCGAGGCTCAATCCTTGAGGTCCCCACTCCTCCAGCGTCATGCGTCTCCCACGCTTTAACTGCTGGGCCGGAGCGTTGCTGGCCCTCAGCGCCGCCAGCTTCGGTGCCAACGCCCAACTGTACGACGCCATCGTCGTGGGTAGCGGACCCGGCGGTCTCGTGGCTGCTGAGTATCTGTCCCGCGACTCGAGTGTGTCCGTGCTCATCCTGGAAGCTGGCCCCAAGTCTCTAGCTGCCACGGGGGGAACCGACTCCCCCAATTACGCTCAAGGCCGCGGACTCACCAAGTTCGACATCCCGGGCGAGTATGACGGCACCACGTACAACTCGGCGAACGAGCAGTACCGCGTCGACTGGATCAGCGACGCCTACATGTGGCTCGGCAAGCTCGTGGGCGGGTGCTCGTCCATCAACGCCGCGCTCTACTTCCGCCCGCCTGACTCGTACGTGACCAACATGCAGTGGCCCTTCTCGGCGGCGCAGATGGTCGCCAAGATGGACGAGAACGAGAAGCTCCACGGCCACACGGACAAGCCGTCCCCCAACGGAGTCTGGTACACCCAAGAGGGCTACTCGATCGTGTCCAAGGCGCTGCTGGCTAGAGGATACGCTGAACGCATCCTCAACGACGCAGCGGCGAGGAACAGCAAGAGCAAGACGTTCGGCCATGCCCCCTTCACCTTCAAGAACGGCAAGCGTGACACCCCTGCGAACGCCTTCTGGGCCCCTATGAGCACGCGCAGCAACGTGAAGATGCTGACTGGAGCCAAGGTGGACTACATCCTACGTGCCGCTGGAGGGAAAGCTACGGGAGTCGTCTACAACGGAGGAACTCAGGCGACTCTGTCAGCTCGGGGAGCTGTGATCATGGCAGCCGGAGCGTTGAGCACGCCCAAGGTGCTGATTCAGAGCGGCATCGGGCCGTCCTCTCAGCTGAGTATGCTCAACGGACGCAATGGCTTCGCTGGCGTCTCCCAAGCTGCTGGCTGGGTGGTGAACGCCAATGTCGGCCGCAATCTCTTCGACACCAACGTCGTGTTTGCCTCCTTCGCGCACTCGCAGATGAGCTCCTTCCAGTACAAATCCAAACCTAGCTGGGCCATCGACCAGTACATGAACCAAGGCTTCACGGGCCCCTTCTCAAGCTCCGGACCGACCCTCATCAGCTACGAGAACTACGACGTCCAAGGTCGCATGTACGAGTTCCAGTCCACCGCTCTGACCACTGGCTTTGGCGAGTTCGCCAGCCGCACCAACGCGTTCACGCTGGCCCTGTACGTGAACAACCCCGAGTCAAGGACGGCCTCGGGCTTCGACGCTAACGGCAACTGGAAGGCCTTCAACGAAGGCTGGCCGTACTTCAGAACCAACCGAGACCTGGCCGCGATGCAGTCGTATGCGCAGCGCACCGTCAGCGCCATGGTGGCTCAGGGCGCCACGTTCCTCTCGGCTGGATCGGACGACGCGTCGGTCGCCAACTGGGTGGCGGCCAACCGCGGCTACATCACGCACCACTTTGGCGGCAGTTGCTTCGCGTCCAAGAACGCGGCCGACAGCACTCGCTGTGCCGATGAGAAGCTGCGCGTCATTGGGATGAACAACGTGTTTGTGGCCGATGCTAGCGCTATGCGCGACGGCACGGTCAATCCCTACGGCTTCATCATGTACATCGGGCGTGAAGCTGCCGACCAGGTCAAGAGCTACATCGCTGCGAACAACGGCGGGTCCGGCGCCACCTGCTCCAGCGCCGAGAACAACGTCAACTACCAAGGTAACGACGTCGGCAGCCAGCAGAGCGCATCGGCTAGCGGCTGCTGCTCCATCTGCGCTGCCAACTCGAACTGCAAGGCGTACACGTGGACAAACTACAACGGCGGCACCTGCTGGCTGAAGAGCGCAAAGGGGGGTGCAGTGAGTCAGAGCGGAGCTGTATCGGCTACGCTTGGTGGGAGCGCAACATCGTCCTGCTCTACCGTTGAGGAGAACACCAACTACGGTGGAGCAGACATTGGCAACGCTCTGAGCGGTTCGGCTGAGGGTTGCTGCGCCATTTGCAAGGGCAGGACGGGATGCAATGCGTACACGTGGACGAACTACAACTCTGGAACGTGCTGGCTGAAGAGCTCGAAGGGCACCGCCACGGCGCAGACCGGAGCGCGATCGGCTCAGATTTCTTCATCCTCGTCCACTTGCACGTTGGTCAACAACGTCGACTACGCCAACAACGACATCGGCAGCGCCCCCAGCTCGACGGCCTCGGGCTGCTGCGCTATTTGCCGGGCGAAGACAGGATGCAAGGTCTTCACGTGGACGAACTACAACGGAGGCACGTGCTGGCTCAAGTCTGCTCAGGGCGCGACTTCTACGAGTGCTGGTGCCGTGTCGGGATCCATTTGAGCTATCTTACTCAGCAGGTTCTCACTGTGCATACAAAATACAATGCAAATAAAGACTTGATTCATGTGTATCAAAGTTCCCTGGACATGTACAGTATACTACTTCATGTGTCTACTTGAGGGCGCTGTTGGAGTCTTCAAGTTCAATGGGGTAAAATGGTACTGCGTATGGAAGCTCGCAGTTGACTGTGTGAAGAATGACACCGCGGTTGGCTTCAGACGCATTCATCAGCGTCACAGAGTAGTTTGATGAAGGTAGAACACTAAAGCTGGTGGCCGTACCACCCGCGAGGCTTTCCAGATCGGAGCAGTAGGGTGATCCGCCCATCAGCAAGGAACGTGTCGAGTCCAGCTTCCTCTCGACGAGCGGGTCGATCCACGACCAAGAGAACGAAACGTTGGTGTTGGTTATGTAAATGAAGGAAAGCGTCGGCGACAGATTCGTGACGTTCTGCGGTAGTTCGCCTATCAATGTGCTGCCGATGCCCAGATAGAGCATATCGGCGACCTCGAAGATCTCAGGTGGCAGTTCTGAAATGGGGTTCCCTGTCAGCGCCAAGTAGTACGGATCCAGTCGTGTCAGTGCTAACGGCACGCTCGTAAGTTGGCTGTATTCGATGTAAATCATCGTCCCGATCATCCACGTTGAGTCCAGATCATCAGGCAATTCCCGTAAATTGGTGTAGCACAGCTCGATATCGTACAGTTTAGTTGGGAAGTCGTACGAGTGAAGCCCGGCCGGTAGAAGCCCATCCGTCATATTGACGCGAATCATGAATAGGAAGCCAAGATCTGGGTGGTGGCTGTTGGTGATCGCTGCAGACTCCTCCCAACTCGCAATGGTCGAATTGTACACCTTGATGCCACTTAACCGGTGAAACTCACCTATCATATCGGGCACTTCGATTGCAGGGCAGTGACGCATGACCAACGTGACTACGCTGGATCTGTCGAATTCATTCCACTTGGCCTCCACCTCATCCATGCTATCGCCGATCTCGAGCTGATCGCAGTCGAGCACTGCCAGGTAACATGCTGGCTCTGTCACAGCCCATGGGTGCACTTGCAGAGTGCATTGCGGTAGCTCAGCCTGCAACGATGCATCAATGTGCAGACCGAGCACCACCACGCCCCAAACTCCAAACAGCAAGTGAGCTAAATGTAGCGTGATGCGACCGCCGCGCGACTGCACTCCTGTCTCGGCGTATCTACCGGCGCCAACTTTAACGGGTTTGTCGTGCTGATGCGCTTCAATGATACCATCAAGGGTAGGTCCATTTGCTTCAGTGCGCCTGGGTTTGTCGGGTATTCGGACGCTGTCAGCAGTACACGCAATACGCCGTTTACTTCCGCTTGGTGCTCGGCGCAGAAGCTCCTTCAAGCTGGTAGTGGTAGATATCAACCCAAACGAAAACACAGTTCGGCTGATCAAATCCGACCATGAAGACACCAAGACAATCTGGAACTCGTTCAAGACACGCGCGGACCACTGCTCGTCGTACCATTTCTCCATGTCGAAACCAGTGATTTCGGGGTTGTAGTGACCCACGTAGCTCAAGACGACGATCAGCGGGACGCCCATGCAGGACACCAGGTCGAGAATGCAGTCGCATACCAGACACGCAAACCGCCTGCGCGGCTCATTTTTCTTGAACAGCAGCGAGCAGATAAACACCGACGACCAGCAGTTGAGCACAAGCAAAAACAGGTAAAACCGATTGAGTAGCAAGCGAGGGAGATACCAACTCATCCGATACGCTTGTTGCGTCTGAAAACCTGTCTCAATAAGCTCCCGGATGACGAGAATTGCATGGAAGTTTCCTCCATTCACGCCTAGAACGCCCTTGCGACCCCATACCTTCGAGTATACTCGCTGGGTTTGGAGCTTGGCCGACATCAGTCGAGAAGCGTTCTTATCGTCTGCGTTCAACTCCCCCGCCTTCTTGGACGATCCCATTCTATTGGTACTTGTAATCGAGGCGTCAGAACCATCCGGAAGCCGCCATGGAGAGAACGCCAACTACTCGACCCAACAATCATCAGCAAGATGCACACGCCATGCAGAGCGGCCATCGAGGCGTTGACGTTGGCGATGGCGTGGTCACCATGCCGATTCCGAAGTACCCGAATGTCATGTACATGTACGTGTCCTTCAGCGCGTAGTAGAACATCGCATAGGCAGTGTTGTACCCGAACGTAATCAGGTGCACGGCGAGGATGATAAGCCACCACAGTGCAAGGCCCCAGGTCGACATACTGCGACGAACTTTTCAACGGCATCACTTTTCCGGGCATCGTCCACGCTGTTCGATTTCTGAAGGTCGTGCGTGAGGCGAGGCACTTGTGGGCGGACTTTGCCTAAAAGTAGCGAAGTTGAGCAGCACCAAACTTAGTATCAATAATACTGAACTTACATTTACAGCAAGCCTCACTTCTTATCAGCAGCATTTGTAGAATGAGAAAATGGATAAACGAACCTATCGGATACGCTCAGATCTTGATGACCAAATGGCTACTTCATATCAGTACTTGGCACTGTAATTTCTTTCGCATTATTTTTTTTCCTTCGCCCTTTTCCTCGTTTGCATGACTGCACTCGAAGCTCCGCATTCCACAACCGTGGCAACAATAACAAATGGGCACACCAAGTTAGCTGACTGGGGGGTTGCAAAAGAAACTGATACCAATCACCCAATGGGGCAGTATAGATGGAACTCTATCTGGGAACTTCTTCCAGAGCTGCGTCGCGGCTCGAAGTATCGACCTCAGTTGTTTTGGGGCCTTCGAGGACACGGGAATGTTTCCGATCCAGTCTCCAGGCTCCTCTGCCGCCTCTGTGAAAAAATACCCAATGCTTCTCTGATCGCTCGGGCAGGCCTAGTTGTCAATAGCGCCTGTACACGCTAATGCCCTGTACTAGTTTATCACCAAGCTCCTTGATAGCCTGATGCAGAGGTTGTCCAGCCAGTATGTTCTTCTTCTGGACAAGCTTGGCGAATCCTCGCATCTTCGCTAGAGTGTCGTCCATGTGCACTTCGGCGTACTTCTCGGGCTTCACTAAACTGGACCGCGGCTCAGCGCTCGAGAGGGCCGCGGACGTGCCTGACACCATGTCCGCCAGCTCCAGAATCCTCTCGAGATCATTCACCACCTCCATGAGAACTTGACGGAGATTCGGCCGCTCACCTGCGGGCCGCCAGTCGCCACCGCGAGTCTCTCGGATGCCTCGTCCAGCCGACCGCCGTTCGCCATGAGCGCCACCAACTGGCTCGTCTCAGCGCGGCACTTGTCCATGGCGATGGGGGCCTTGCTGTGCTTCACGCCTGAGGCTGACTCTGCTAATGCTCCTGTACCCCCGTGGCCTGTACGAAGCTCTGCAGTGCTGTGGGTAGATCGTCCTCCTTGGGCTTCGCTTTAAGCCCACGCGTCGATTGGTGCTCCTGCGGCTCCGATTCAGGTTCGTAACCTCCCGTCTCTGTCTCTTCTTGGAGGTCGACGACCTCGTTGGTCTGCACTGAAGCTGGAGATCGTGGAGCTGCAGTGGCGATCTGGGGTCTCGACTGGGCCAGCACCTGGACTAGAGCCGGCTGCAGCTGCGTCTCTAGGCGCTCGATTTCATCGCCGAGAGCTGCGAGTCGATCCGCGACGTCTTGGGAGCTTGGCGTCGAGATGCTCGTAAGTGGCGTTTTGTATTTTGGTGATGACCAATTTTTGGCTCGAGGTCATGCTTATAGTCCCTTTTTGGTACATGGCTACATCAGATTCAACTTGGACTCAGCGGCTCAGCCTGAGTTGGCAGCATGTCCGAGAAGCTCAAGGTGCCCGCCGCTGCTCCGCAGTATGTGGACCTGTCGCGGCTCAGCTTCGCCATTTGGTGGTCGGTCCTGTTGGCTGTGCACTTGGTGATCTGCGGATACAACGCGTCCTTCGCGCTGTTCTATCGAGAGCTCCAGAATACCTACCTGTACGCGTGCCTCGACTACTCAGGGATCGGAATGCCGGCTGAAGACCACCAAGTCATTTCCCTCGTGAATGCCGCGATGGCCGCGGTGCATGGCGCCTGTGTCCTGCTGATGGTTGCTGGGTCGGTCTGGCGTCGAGAGCTAGTCTTCTCACCCTGGAGGAAAGACAAGAATCGGGCCTACAGAGTCAGCAAACTCGACTCAAGATCAAACTCCAATAAGCCGGCGCTGCCAAGGTCCAGATTGGTGAGACTTTACTCGTATGTGCTAGGCCAACGGGGTTTGGTCGGCGTAAATGGAAGCAACTTCCACTCGATTCTCGTCGCTCGCGAGCTGGTGGAGATGGCGCTGCAGACTGTTCAAGCCTACCGCATGAGTTGGCTGCTGCCCCGGATGCTGCTGAACCGCTTCTATCTGGCGCTAATTGTGCTCAACTGCTGGTCTTCCGTGCTGGTCTACACACTGCTGTTCAAGCGGAGCGAGGCCCGCAAGCGCTTTGCCTATCTCATGTGTGACTGCACTCTGAACGTTGTTTCGTGCATTGGGGTGCCGCTGATTGTGGTGCTCAGCTACATCGGTGAATACGACTGGGAACTCACAGGCTTTCCTCTGGTGAAATGGTATGACGACGAGTGGTCTGCTCGTGTGCTGAATGAGTTCCAAATGGTGCTTGTGGTGTCGTGGATGGACTTGGCCAGTCGAACGATTTTCTCGATCGGCGTAATTTCTACGACTAACAGTCTGAAAGACCTCTTACGCAAATCGTCTGGTGCCAGTTTGCGACGAATTGCGTGTGACGCTGAAGTCGTTAAAACCCCTGACAAGGAAGGGCGTGTTGATTCGAAAGCACGGTCAGGTACCGGTTCCCGCCTCCAGTCCATAAAGCCCAATAACCTGCAATCGCGGGCAAGGCGCGGTCTATCGCACTTCGTCTATGCTGTCTTCGCGTTGTGGGGGTTGGTGATAATTGCGCTACACTTGCAAGCTTCCGTCCAACCTGAACAACCACAATGCGTCTTGCAAGTGCACCCCTGGGCCGTTTCGAATCCAGCGTGCTACCTGGCCGTTCTAGATTGCCACCGGCTTGGCATCTCTGGCAAGAAAGAAGAAGTGGAGGCCAAGTGGAACGAATTCGACCGATCCACAGTCGTCACTTTGGTCATTCGTCACTGCCCAGCGCTAGAAGTTCCCGACTCAATTGGCGACTTCCACATCACGACCGGCGTCAAGGTCTACAACTCGACTATCAACGACTGGGGCGTCTCTGCCGCCCTCACCAACACGAACCACCCGGAGCTGATTTGGTTTTACTTGGTCCGTGTCAACTTAACCGACGGTATATTGCCTGCGGGAGCCTTGTCCACCGACTTTCCGGGCAAATTGTACGACCTCGAGTTTACCTATACGAATATTCGAGAGCTGCCAGATGACCTGGACTCGAGTTGGCTGATTGGAACGACGGTTTACTTTGAGTACAGCGAGCTCACAAGCATTCCGCCTTCGCTCATGCGATTGGATCCGTACAGCATCTCGTTTGTCGGTAGTCCTATTGCTCAACTTCCACCAGAGATTTTCGAGGTCGCGGATATGGTGTACATGTACATGGCGGGGATACCAATCCAGGAGCTACCTCGCAATGTGGCGAATATCTCGCCACAACTGGGGTATATCTACATGGTAAACACGAACATCTCTTTCTTTTGGTCATGGGCTGACCCACTCGTGGAGAGATTAGCGGAAATCATCATTGCTGGATCTCCATACTGCACCGAGCTCGAAAAGATTAAGAGTGGAGAAGCGTCGGGGTTTAGCTCTCCATCGTCGCCTGAGTATTCGAGGATTTTGATGGATCCGTCCGAAGCAAACCTGGATATCATTTCTCAGGTCATTTTCTGCGATGAGCAGCCTTTGCTAACCGTCTACCCGATCGACTTTGAGGATAGCGTTAGTTCCCTTGCATAAATCCATAGATTTTGACGATCAATCGACTGTGCTTTATGATCGCCAATATTTTTTTCATGGAAGGCTTCGTCTTTGCTGTCTTAAGAACGAACTCTCCTGGTGCAAGCTAATAGTATATCACGCAGGAACAGTCGGACACGGTGGAAAAGAAGTGGAACACGGACACCATTGCCATGTCCAAGGATCGAGGGGTGACCAGACAATTGGTGGTGCTCATGGAGAGTGACGGCCTGTTTGTTCCGGGATACACTGGCGAGACTGGCGGAGGCTATTGATAATGGACTGCGATCGAGTGGGCCGATTTCTATCAGACTTCTGGCTCAGGTCGTCGCTGAATTGGGGGAAATCCTGGCGATGGCGGACACCGAATCGGGGCACCTCCTGCACTCTCAAGCGCTGAGATGCGCTCTAGCAGGTTTAAGCTGAAGAAGTTCGCGGAAGGCCATGCAGACGACGTGATGATGAAGATGCACACGTTGGTGCACGGCTTTCGGAGGCGGAAGAAGCCCTTCGACTTGGATCGTGCAGTCAAGAAGCTTGCTGGCAAGCTACAACAAGATATTACCCAGTACAGGCGATGTCAAGAACTGGGACTGTCGGACCGATCAAAAAAGCGATGGGCAGTGTTTAAAGAAGTCGCAGGGACACTGGGCAAGTGGATTGGGCGCACCACTGTGGCAGAGAAACCTCCCAAGTGGTTGATGAAGATGTATAATATATAGCCGTCAAGAGGCTAAAGGATAAGTTTCCTGATAGGTTTGTTCAAAGTTCTAAGAAGGCTAGATCGACATTTTACGTTCGTAATTCACTTGGCGGCCTTCATTTGGAGCACATTTCGCTGATTTCCGAGTAACTTGTACTGTTCTCGGATTTTCAAGAACACGAACTTGTGAGCTCGCGCGCTGCATCAACTCCAGACTGAAGACGTTGCATGCTGGGATAACTTTCACGTCCATGAATAACGTACTAGAAGCACTTTGAAAAATGTAATTGCTTATGTTAGATGGTGCTCAAACTCTCTATAAGCTTGGCTAGGTTCGCGTATGTTTGTCGATGCCCAAAGCGATGCCTGGGCTTAGTTCCTAGGTCACAAATAAGCCTTTGGCGCAAATACTCGGAAATCATCTAGGCGTACTCGAAACCAAGAAGCACCCCATTGAAAAAAGTCCCAATATAGGCGGCAAGTTCCGTGCATAGATACCAATAATGCTAGGCAAGTGCGCTAATACTATCCTCGAAGTCGATCGGGTAGACGGTTAGCAAAGGCTGCTCATCGCAGAAAATGACCTGAGAAATGATATCCAGGTTTGCTTCGGACGGATCCATCAAAATCCTCGAATACTCAGGCGACGATGGAGAGCTAAACCCCGACGCTTCTCCACTCTTAATCTTTTCGAGCTCGGTGCAGTATGGAGATCCAGCAATGATGATTCTCGCTAATCTCTCCACGAGTGGGTCAGCCCATGACCAAAAGAAAGAGATGTTCGTGTTTACCATGTAGATATACCCCAGTTGTGGCGAGATATTCGCCACATTGCGAGGTAGCTCCTGGATTGGTATCCCCGCCATGTACATGTACACCATATCCGCGACCTCGAAAATCTCTGGTGGAAGTTGAGCAATAGGACTACCGACAAACGAGATGCTGTACGGATCCAATCGCATGAGCGAAGGCGGAATGCTTGTGAGCTCGCTGTACTCGAAGTAAACCGTCGTTCCAATCAGCCAACTCGAGTCCAGGTCATCTGGCAGCTCTCGAATATTCGTATAGGTAAACTCGAGGTCGTACAATTTGCCCGGAAAGTCGGTGGACAAGGCTCCCGCAGGCAATATACCGTCGGTTAAGTTGACACGGACCAAGTAAAACCAAATCAGCTCCGGGTGGTTCGTGTTGGTGAGGGCGGCAGAGACGCCCCAGTCGTTGATAGTCGAGTTGTAGACCTTGACGCCGGTCGTGATGTGGAAGTCGCCAATTGAGTCGGGAACTTCTAGCGCTGGGCAGTGACGAATGACCAAAGTGACGACTGTGGATCGGTCGAATTCGTTCCACTTGGCCTCCACTTCTTCTTTCTTGCCAGAGATGCCAAGCCGGTGGCAATCTAGAACGGCCAGGTAGCACGCTGGATTCGAAACAGCCCAGGGGTGCACTTGCAAGACGCATTGTGGCAGTTTGGGCTGGACTGAAGCGTGTACATGCAGAGCAATTATCACCAGTCCCCACAACGCGAACAGTCCATAAACGAAGTGCAATGTTCTGTGCTCCGCACTCGCACGCCATGTTTTACCCTTGGAGAACTTGCGCGCATCCATCATTCCCGTCAATGGCTTTGGGACAACATCGAGACTTTTGCTACTAAATACTTCGACTTCGGTGGCTTCAGACCCAACGACTGGTCCAACTCGTCTCAGATTGTTACCAGGTGCCTTGCGTAAGAGGTCCTTAAGATTGCTGGTCGTAAAGAACACGCCTATCGAGAAGATCGATCGACTAGCCAAGTCCCTCCACGAAACCACCAGCACCATTTGGAACTCGTTGAGCACACGGGCAGACCACTCGTCATCATACCATTTCTCTAGTAGAAACCCGCCGTGTTCCCAGTCGTATTCTCCCAAATAGCTCAACACCACAATCAGCGGCACCCCGATGCAGGACACGACATTGAGAGCGCAGTCGCACATGAGATAGGTAAATCGCTTGTAGGCCTCATTGCGCTTGAACAGCAGCGAATAGACAAGTACCGACGACCAGCAATTCAGCACAATCAGCGTCAGGTAGAAACGATTCAGCAGCATACGCGGTAGTAAGCAGCTCATTCTGTATGCTTGAATCGTTTGGAGTGTCGTCTCCACGAGCTCGCGAGCGATAAGAATCGTGTGGAAGTTCGTTCCTTCAACTCCGACCAAACCTCGTCGGCCTAACACCTGCGAGTACATCCGGGACAATCGAGGTTTCACTTCTGCTGCTGCTGGATGTTTGGCCTTCAATCTTGAGGCTTTGTCATTCAAAAACAGCTTGCTTGATTCGAGGTCCTGGACTTTGTTGTTTCTCCAAGGAGAGAAAACTAACTCACGACGCCACAGTGACCCGCCAACCATCAGCAGTATACATCCGCAATGTACGGCAGCCAAGGCAGCATTTACCAGAGAGATTACTTGATGATACTGCGCTGGCATTCCGATTCCTGAGTAATCGAGGCACAGGTACAAGTACGTATTGTGCAGTTCTCGGTAAAAGAGCGCGAACGACGCATTGTATCCGCAAGTTACTGCGTGCACAACCAGCAAGATCGACCACCATAGCGCGAAGCTCCATCGCGACAGGTCCACATAGTGCGAAAAGGTTCCAGAAATCTTTATCTTCCCAGACATATTGTCCACTGGTCGACACCTTCGCTTGCACCAGAGCACTCAGTCCATTCTTATATATCATCAGAATTGCAACCGTTTCTCTATCCATGAGGATAAGGATCGATACTTCTTATCGGCGTCCTGTATACGTGGGATGAAGAGAGGGATGGCTTTCCGGTTTTCCTTGCTAATTTGTTCTTTTCTGATAGGTCTGCCGTGAATATGCTGGATGAAAATACCCTACTTAAGTACACATTCCGTTCTCTGGATATAGACGCACAGCTTCAAGGACAACAATACACTTACACCGCTAGCTCACTGAACATTGCTGGGTGGCAGTACCGTGTGAGCATCGACAATGGACGGGGGAAATGATGCTGCCGAAGCTGTACGCAATGGGCCAAGACTGAGCCTCCAAATTCGAATGGCTGAAGACCAGTCCTTCACGCCGCTAGCCATTCGACTGTGGTGGGTTGGCTTGCTCACGCTGCACCTCGTGGGGGGATTGTTCTTTGCACTTGTGTGTAGGGTGTATTGGAAGATGCCAGGCCTCGCCGTGACAACGTTTCTGGACTTCTACCAGCTCGGAATGAACTCGAAGCACTACCAGGCCATCGCTCTCGCACACGGCGCGATTGCTGCTCTGCACGGCTTATCGGCCCTAGCGATGGTGACCAGGTCGATCCGGAACAGGAGACTCGCTTTCCGTGGGAACTACCGTACACGTCGCGAGTCCAGAGCCACAGCTCGCCACAGGGGTCAACGTAAACCCAGTGGTACTTTCAGTCGTTGCTTAACAGCTTTGTTCGGCCGTCGCGGGGTTTTCGGAGCTCAAGGGCCATACTACGACCTGCTGTTGCTTATTCGCGAAACCATTGAGACCGCGCTGCAAACTTCGCAAGGTCTCCGCATGAGCCAGAATATTCCCCGGCAGTGGCTGAACCGGTTCTACGTGACACTACTCGTGCTAAGTTGCTGGTCGACGGCGTTTGTGCATCACATGTTTCGACGCAACAAGACCAAGATGCGGCTCGTGGCGCTTTTGAGCGATTGTTTACTCGACCTAGTGACTTCGGTCGGCGTCTCCTTGCTCTTGGTTGTGTCCTACGTCCAAGATTTTGATGTTGCCACAGGAAATTTCAGCATACTTCGTTGGTTTCAGGACAAGTGGCTCGTGAACTCCATGAACGAGTTCAACATCATCCTCGTCCGCTCGTGGGGGGACCTCGCAACACGAATGGTTTTCGCAGTGAGCATGCTGAGTAACTTGAACACGATGGAGGGGCTCATGACTGTGGCTGTGGCGAAAGACAGTTACAAGACCACAACTCAGCCTCGAGGGGCGTCAGTTGCTCCCTTTGAGAAGCCAAATCCTCGAATCGAGAGCCGAGCACACGTCGTGCAAGTGTGGACGGAAAGACTCGCGAGCTCCAAGATTCTGAGAGTTGTGTTTTTCAGCTGGGGCGTTGTTATTCTCGGTTTGCACATTCACGCTGAAGCGAACAAGATGCTTCCGCAGTGTTTAGTACAAGTTCACCCATGGGGAGTCTCAAGACCGGCGTGTTCGCTGGTTCTCCTGAATTGCCTTACAGACAATACTGACGGAGACAGCGCGTACTCCGTTGCTCAATGGAGTCAACTAGACGCAGAGTCATTGAAATCGTTGCTAGTTCGGAACTGCCCCCGGTTCCAGGTACCGTCGACGCTGACGTCCTTCCGGTCATTGACAACATTCAAAGTTTACAACTCAACTATCCTGGAGTGGGGAGAAGACGCAGCGTTTAGCCAACACAGCCACCCCGCTATGCACGGTGTGATGTTCATGCGAGTGAACTTTACAAATGGAGAACTTCCGCTTGGGTTACTATCACCACGCTTCCCGCCGTCGCTAAACATCATTGGCTTCGTCGTCTCGAATCTGCGAGTTTTGCCGGATGACTTGCACTTGAAATGGCCTCGGTACTCCGCTATTCACCTCGATTCGACGCAGTTCACGGTGTTTCCAGAAACGCTTTGGAAGATCAGTCCATCGATACTCATCATGCCCTACACGCCGATCAAAAGTGTACCAAAAGAACTGTTTGAATTAGAGGCTATGTGGTATCTAGACTTGGCGGGGACCGAGCTTTCGGCTTTACCCGAGGACGTGCCAGTGTTGACAAATCCTCTCCTGGGTATAAATCTCGGAGGTACGAATATCTCTGTATTCCCTTCGTGGATCGACCCATGGCTTCAACGAATGGCAAATCGAAACGCCCCACCTCTCGCAGCTGCTGGAACGCCCTATTGCCTGGAGCTCGCGGAGATTCTAGGTGGTAACCGGACGGAATTCACTGGGGCGGCGACTCCAAGAGCAGCCGGTGCGGCTGTGTCCGTATTGATGGATCCGTCACAATTGAACAGAGCATTTCTACCAAACGCAGTGAGCTGCCAACCGTCTTTCCTGTACCGCTACGCATTGGCGTTCGAGGATCAAAACCAAGTAATTTAGAGGGGAAATGGCCATTTGAATGCGGAAGCTACATGTATTTTCATTAAAATAAAACACGATAATGAACGGCATCATTATGGTGCAGAACTTGATACCTCCGAGGCTAAAAACAAAACATCCCGGCAAGTGTATATATGGAAAGTACCAAACTTACATTAGCGTCGCTCTTACAAATGGATGAGGGGCGTGCTGGAGCTCTGGAGGAAAGATTCTCTCCGATAGTAATTCGTTTCTATTGGGCCTGCTTCGTGTCGCTCCACGTGGCTGGGTTTGCCTACTACGGATTTACTGCGTGGTGTTACTGGAATTTGCCTGGTACTCGGTTGGATGTGTGGCTGAGTTTGTACCGACTTGGAATGGAAGAGCACCACGACCGCATAGTTGCTGTCTTTATGGGCGTTGTCGCGGTGATCCACGGTTTCTACATTTTGTGGATGATTTTCTGGTCCTTCAAGAAGCGACAACTGGTGTTTGCGATCTACAATGTGGTGCACATGCCGACATGCATTCTTCGACTCCTTCCTACCACAAGAAAAAACTCTCGCTCCGTTCACCCGAACGGCATTTCACACTACGTGTACCGAGCCTTTTTCACTCGAGATGGCTTGCTCGGTGTCGATGGTCAGTATTTCGACAGCATTTTATTCTGCAGAGAAGTAGTGGGGACAGCACTTCAGACTCACCAAGCATACCGAATGAGCGTGCTGCTTCCTCGAGTTCAGATCAACCGCGTGTACGTTGCTCTCCTAGTTGCCAGTTGCTGGACAACCGCTCTGGTTCACTCAGTCTTCCATACGAACTCAGTAAAGCGGCGAGTTTGGTCTCTTGTAAGCGACTGCGTTCTTGATACGGTGACAGCGATGGGGATTTCTACAGTGTTGCTGGCGACGTACATTAACGACTTTGACTTCACGATATCAGGCTTCCCCTTCTACAAGTGGTATGAGGACATCTGGGTTGTTCACGCAACGAGTGAGTTCCAAATTATACTGGTGACATCGTGGAGGGATTTGTGCACTCGAATGGTGTTTGCCTTAAGTCTACTGAGCGACTTGGATAGCCTGAAAATGGCAATGCGAGTAAGGCGACGAACAAGAACGAGCTCATGCACAAGCAGTGGCAAGAACCGAGGACACCGTGCAACACTGGTTGCGCCCTACTTTGCAAGTGCGAAATCGAGGAGTGGCCCTGGCATGAACATCCTCCGCAGAAGACATGCTATCGAGGACTTCCCAGCTTATTTTCTTCGTGTGGGGGCTTGCGATTTTGGTATTGCATTTGTACGCTGAGAGCGCACCAGAACTTCCCCAGTGCTGGATGCAAGTGAGACCCTGGATCACCAAGCAGTCTTCGTGTTCTTTACTGGTGCTGGATTGCCACGATAACCAGCTCGGAGGCAAAAAGAGCGAAGTGGTGCAACAATGGAGCGCGTTTGATCCAGCAAGTGTAACACGCGCTGTGGTGAGGCACTGCCCAGCGCTTGAAATGCCTGTTACGTTGACATCGTTCTCAAATTTGAATGCAATCAAGCTATACAACTCGACGGTTGTAACTTGGGACGAGAGTGCGGGACTGACGCAAGCAAGCCATCCAAAACTCATGACACTCTTTCTCGTCCGCGTTAATTTGCCGGACGGTAGTCTCCCAGCTGGGCTCCATTCAAGCGATTTTCCTCAGTCATTAGGAGATATTGAGTTCTGCAGCACAAATCTACGCGCGTTGCCTGGTGATATCGATTTGAAGTGGCCCCAAGCCGGAAGTATCTACATTGAAGCGAGTCAGCTCACAGAAGTCCCGCCGTCTCTCGCACGCCTGGCTCCGTTCGACCTGTCGTTGTCAATGAATCCAATATCGGTACTACCTGTTGAGCTGTTCGAGCAAGAAACGGTGGGGTACCTAAGTTTTGGTAGCACCCTTATCACGCAGCTCCCTGCCACTGTCACAAAATTATCTTCCCAGCTACTCGAGATCAACCTCAGCTACAACAATTTGTCGTTCTTCTGGCCGTGGGTTGATCCTATCATCGATCAATCCGAAGTTCCACCCTTAAAGATGGCAGGCACCCCTTATTGCAGGGATATTGATCGCATATTCGCTGGAGAACAAGCAACCTTCTCTGTTGCTCCACCTGCTTCTGAAGGCAGTAAAGCCGTGTCGATGTTGGCCGATTCCTCTGTGGGAAACTGGGCGACACTGAAGAAAGGGGTGTCATGTGATGACCAGGACACGACCTGGTACCCAATCGAGTTGGAAGATGAATACAGCAGCGTATCGTACCCGGGGCAATACTGAAAGCGCACTCAACTATACCAGCGACAACATACAATCCCATTGATTCACGCAATGGCGATTTACCAATATACTCCCCGAAGCACTACACTACCGACGAGAAGAAGTTGTCCGAGTCTTGTGCGTCTCCTTTCGAGCTCTTTAGGTAGCAAAGTCCGCCTCCCTCTTCCGACCACGAAAAGGCTCCGCAGCCCACCGTCTTCATGCATGCAGAGCAGCAGCTGTACGGGTTGTCACTCGATACGTTGGCGATATCTTTACCAGTGTACTCCGCATAGAACTCCAGCGCACAGCTCGGTGCTGCGGGGTTGGAGAAAACCTGTCCAGACTGGACGCCAAGCTCCCAGCTCACGGCGTCCTTGCGGTTCTTGAACCAGCACGTGCCTCCTTGGTAGTCGCTCCACGTGAACGCTCGACAGCCACCGAACGCCTCGCAAAGCGAGCAGCACTGCTTCGCCTCAGCCGCCCGAGCACTCCCGATGTCGTTCCCCACATAGTCAATGTCGAACTCAAGGCCACACGTGGGCTGCTCTACGTAGGGCTGCGAGGAGATGGCGGTGGGGTCCACTACCATGTTCCCCTTGCCGCTTTTCAGCCAGCAGGTGCCTCCACTGAACGTTGTGAACGTGAACGCTCTGCAGCCCGGGAACTGCTCGCAGATGCCGCAGCAATCCGCAGCGTTGTTAGCTTTCACGTTGGCGAGGTCCCGCCCTTCATAGGCGATTCCGTGCTCGAGGACGCACGTCTCCGTGAAGCGGAACGTGGGGATCGTGCCGGACTTGACGTTGACGTCGACTGCGATGGAGCCCCGTCCTGTCTTGAGCCAGCAGGTGCCGCCTTGGAAGCTCGTCCACGAGAAGGCTCTGCAGCCCTGGTCCGCGTAGCTCTCGCATTGCTGGCAGCAGTCAGAGGCGTCCGCGGACGCGACTCCGAACATGTCGTTGCCCACGTAGTCGAAGCCGTCTTCGACCACGCACTCCTCGAGCGCTGCGGGGGTGTCTGGTGCAATGCTTGATAGGCCCAGCAACAGCAGCAACGCAGTGACAAGCTGCATGGTACTCAAGCGACGCTGGAAGATTTCGGAATGGAGACTGTGCACGTTACGTGAGACTTTTGTCAAATGGGTACATTCATTTGTGAATACTCAAGCTGGGATAAAGTGTATCGAAATGATAGCAGTCATGGAGTGCGTGGAATCCATGTTAGACGATCGCCGACTTGATGCCAGTTTTGGCCGCGGTGGTGCCCTTGGTGCTCTTGAACCAGCACGTTCCTCCGTTGAGGTCCGACCACGAGAAGGCGTTGCAGCCGCTCTTGGCCATGCACTTGGAGCAGCAGGCGTACGGGTCGGAGCTCGGCGCATTGCCAATGTCGTTGCCCACGTAGTCCACGTTCAGCTCCAACGCACAGCTGGGGGACGCCGGGTTGGCCTTCACTTGGGCGGAGGTGACGCCGTCCTTGCTGATGGTGCCGTCCTTGCGGTTCTTGAGGTAGCACGTGCCCCCGTTCTCCTTGTTCCAAGAGAACGCGCGGCAGCCGGCCGTGTTCGAGCACGCGTTGCAGCAGTCCCCCGGTTTACTGGCAGGAGCAGTGCCAATGTCGTTGCCCACATAGTCCACTCCAAACTCGAGGCCGCACGTAGGCGCCTCCAAATACGGCTGGGCCGACCGCGCTGCCGGGTTCACGACGGTGGGGCCCTTGGCACTTTTTAGCCAGCACGTGCCGCCGTTGTGAGTGGTGAAGGTGAAGGCGCGGCACCCTGGGAAGTTGGAGCAAGCGCTGCAACAGCTCAGAGGCTTGAGCATGCGCACGTTACCAATGTCGTTCCCCACGTAGTCGATGCCTTCGTCCAGTTGGCAACCTCCGACGTTGCCGGCGTCGCCGAGGGGCTGCAGGGTTGCCGACTGGACGGTGGCGTTGACGACGATGGTGCCGCGGCCACTCTTCAGCCAGCACGTCCCCCCGTTCATGTCGGTCCAGGAGTAAGCCTTGCAGCCGCTGGCCACCTCGCACTTGGCACAGCATCCGTCAGCCGTGGACGAGGCCGCCGAGCCAATGTCGTTGTCGATGTAGTCGAAGCCGGGCTCCACGTAGCACTTGTGCGTGCTGGTGACCGCAGCTTGGGTTGCGCATGAGGCCAGTAGGGCTGCAGCCAACGCGATGAAAGCAGGGACCTGCATGGTCGGTACAGATAGTGGAAGTGCCGGGGTGGAGGAAGGAGGCTTGGTCTCTTGGCGGCGAATTGGAAAATGAGGACGAGCTCGGAGCAGGAGGACGATGAGTTCCAGCCCGAGAGCAGCTAAAAGTGTGGAAAGCCAAACGGATACTTGGCGTCGCTGACGATTCAAGGTTCAACCAGTCGGTTTCCTCTAGAGACGTATCCAAGTCCTCGCACCCAATGCTTTGAACATTCTTGGTGCCAGTGTTTTCAAGTTTCTTTCGCGTGGTCGGCCTTTTTTTCACTGTTCGCGCCTATGTTATAGTTGAAGTTGCTTTGCGTATTATGGGCAGGGATAATCATACCAACCGCAGCAAATTTGCACCTACAAGTTGTAGGCTATAACTTGTAGGCTAGAACGGTCATCAAATGTTCAAACTACTAGCGTGCCGTAAAAATTCCAGCTCGACTAGCTTCATTCAGTCGATGCCGCTCAGAGTTCTCCTCCATTGCAAAAGATTCCAGTCGAGACAAATGTATTAAGTGAATGGTGCACTAGGAGCCCGTGGACGTGGGCCACTGAATGTACATGAGACGTCTCACTATCCGAGCCTAGACAATAGCCGAGTGAATGCCGACGCTCCCCACCGCCTCGCCCTTGGCGCTCTTAAAGCAGCACGTGCTGCCATTGTAATCCGTCCACGAGAACGCATTGCAGCCCTCAATGGTCATGCACATGGAGCAGCAGGCGTACGGGTCGCCGCTCCACTCGTCGCCGATGTCGTTACCGATGTAGTCCACGTCTAGCTCGAGCACACAGCTCGGGGACACAGGATTCGCCCGCACCTGTCCAGAGTGGATCCACTCGTTGGCACGGTTTTTGAAGTAGCAAGTGCCTCCCTGGCCTTCGACCCAGACCCACGACCACGCCTGGCAGCCCTCCCAGTCGCTGCATAGGTCGCAGCAATCGTCGGGCTGCTCAGCGAGGTGAAAGCCAATATCGTTGCCGAGGTACTCGACGCCGTATTCGATGCCGCACGAAGGCGCCTCGAGGAAGACTTGCGCTGATGTCGTCTCGGGGTTGACAACGGTCAGTCCCTTCTCACTCTTCAGCCAGCAAGTGCCGCCAGCGTAGGGGCTGAACGTGTAGGCGCGGCACCCGGGGAAGCCCGAGCAGATATCGCAGCAGTCCTCGCTCCTGCTCGCAGGGACACTCCGATGTCATTCCCCACGTAGTCGATGCCCTCGTCCACGCGGTCACAGCCGCCGAAGTCATCCGCGTCGTCCACGTCCAGCGGCTGGACGATGGACGAGTGGACGTATTCATCAGCGACGACGGTGCCACGACCAGTCTTGAACCAGCACGTGCCGCTGCCATCCGCGTTACCCTCCGCGTTACCAGTCCACGAGTAGGCCCTGCACCCGTCTGTGCTCACGCACTCGGCACAGCAATCGTCAGGAGACGAAGAAGTCATGTTGCCGAGATCGTTGGCGAGGTAGTTGAAGCCGTATTCAACGAGGCACTGGTTGGCGGGCATGAGAGTAGCTTGGGCTTGGGAGGTAATCAGCGACGTTGCCACAGCGAGGAGCAAAGGTGAGTAGACGTGCAATGGCCGGTGGTGGTGATTGGCTTGGTTTCTTGGTTTCTTGGGGCTTAGAGAAGAGGTTGGGAAATGAGGATAGCTCTCAGGTTGGAGCAGCGGCAGCACCAGGGTATGCGGGGAGCTCCGCCCACGATCATCGCCTCCATCCGCCGTACCAACGGAAGCCTCGTGCACCACCGGCACCCGTTTCTTGCGTAAATTTTCACTGGGTACTGTTACACCATAGAAGTTCAATTAACACGAGAGGTTCCTTCCGGACAGGCAGTGGCTTCGTACCGGAGCCGCATAACGCTTGCATCCGTTTCGGGCCGCCATGAACCCAATGCCTCAGGAGGATAGACCCAACACCAAGCTTTAGTCGGTTTCCATGCCTAGGTTTTAGCTTGGTGCGCTCAAAGGAGATGCAAGCATCTCCACAAGACTTTGAGAGGGTATTTGTGAGCCTGAATTTATAGTCGAGACTCGTCAAGGCAAGTACCGGTGAGTTGACCCGAGTCTAATGCTTTTAAAAAAGCTTTAAAAAAATCAATTCCGCAGAATGAAAATAACAAACAACTTCGGTGCAATCATTCGGTAAAACCCGGTTGGGATCATATAGGGTACAGATCAGAGAATGGATCGGTTTTTAATACTAATTTTTGAATTGAAAAACATATGTTTCGGCAGTGGGCGGTTGTGAGGAGCGTAGCCATAGCAAACCCGCCCGCGAAGCAGGGCCGCGCGGTATTTGCGGAGGCGGGCCCAGCGACGAGCATTCCAGCGACGGACCCGTTGCCGCAACTCGGAGTTAGTTTTCTTTTTGCGGGGGTCTGGGGCAGAACACCTTTTAGCACGTCAGATCCAATCTCAGATCTGTACCGTATATGACCCCAACTGGAGGTTACCAATCATTCGAGTCTTACGTCAACTGGTGGCCAACGTACTCACACAGTATGTCAGGCATACCACCGTCCGCTTTCGTTAACCCTGTCGTGACCAACGAGAAACATTGGGGAAAGTACTAGAGCACTTAGAGCACTTTGCACCTTGTAGTTTGTGGAAGGGCTTTGTATTCGCTACAGTCGAAACAGTCGATTCATCCTGTCATCGGCACTTACATCATGTTAGGAGTTTAACTACGTCGTCCATACTGATTCGCTCTGCTGGGTCGTGACAGCACATGCGCTGGATGAGATTCCACTCAGAATCCGAAAAACAATTAGCAGGGCGCGGAGGCAGCAATCCCTTACGAACTTTAGCGCGAATCGTAGCGTCAGTCATCTCGCAGCCCCATGGCAGCTCGCCGCTCATGACTTCGATAGCGCACATTGCAAACGAGTACACGTTGGATGCAGCGGTCGGTGCTTCTCCGGTTAGGCACTCAGGTGCCAGCCATCGTTGTCCGTCTCCTACGATGTTGTCATTGCCGACGGCAGTGGCGTCCTGTCGCTCTCTATCCTTGAGGGCGCTGGATACGAAGTCTGCAAGCTTGACGACGCCGTTAGCGTCCACGAGTATGTTGCTGCATCTCAGATCCGCATGCACGACATTGCGTTGGTGCAAATAGAGCAGCCCAAGTGCGGCATCACGCAACATCCGTCGAGCGCAAAAACCGCGTTCTTCAGCTGGTTGTGACGAAATATAGCTATCGATCGAACCCTGCGCTGCATACTCGCACAGGAAGAACTGGTGTGGTCCAACATGGCAAGCGCCGAAAAGCTGAAGCACATGTGTGTGCTCAAGTGTAGACCAAGTTGACATATCATCCAGGAACCGCTTGTACAAATTCAAGGTCGGCTCCGTGGTGTTTCGACTACGCAGCGGGATCACCACCCCAGGCTCTTCCGGCGTGAGCACCTTCTTGATCACCACGTCCACGCTCTTCCACTTTCCAAAGAGCACAGAGCCAAACGCTCCGCGGCTGAACGCCTCCAATTCATTAAATACCACCTCGTACGGCGGAACGAACCAAGGTGGCAAAGCCAGCATCGTCTTGGACTCGGTTGTTCGAAAGCCGGGCGTTGCTCCTGGCGTCATAACCTGATGCGTCTCCTCCACTTTTACGAGCGTTGTCTGCAGCAGCTCTAAGTCGCGGGCCGAGTAACTCGCATCGCGCTTCTTGACTTCGAAAGCAAGCAACGCTCCCAACAGTGATAACTCGTGCTTGCCGTCCAATTTACCAGTCAGCGTTTGAACATCCTTAGCGAATGCAAGACGCACACGCTTCCAAAGCTGTTCACGATACGATGCCTGCTGGGAAGTCCATGAATGAATGGAAGCACCCGAGCGATTGATCCTGAGCCGATCCATTAAGACATCGAGTTCTCCGTGGAGCTCCAGATTCGTTTCAATGATCTGGCGTGTTGCAGCCAGCCGTAGTAGCGGGTTCTCGTTGACATGCCGTTGAAGCATGTCACGAAAGCGAAGGATCAACGATGCCAGCGTGGGCAGGCGAGAAACGATACCGTCTGCGTCCATCACTGCTAACCGGGCTGCCAGGTCGTCCATCCGCTCGTACAGTTGGTAATTCAGAGCTGAGCTCTCGCAAGCTTCGTCGCACCACGCGTAAACCTCACTGAGAGCGCACGCTATGGAAGCTGAAGTTGCTCGCGACTGTGGTTGGCGCAGTGAAGGGTTACGCGATTTCTTTCTTCGTTTGGTGAAGGAAAACTCTGTGTTCTCCTTCTCTTCGTCCTCGGCGAACACTTGAAAGCTAGCCAGCACTTCAGCTAGTGACGGCCGATCCTTGGGGTGGCGAGAGCACATCCGTTCCACCAAAGCCCACTGCCATGCATCGGCTAATGCCGACGGCCTAGATGGCATGAAGTCCCTGTCTAGAAAGCTGCCATTGTTGCAGATATCTCCAGCCGAAAACGCTTCCACTACACACATTCCTAGCACGTATATGTCGGAGGCTTCGGTCGGACCTGAAGAGCTCTTATCCAAGAGCTCTGGTGCCTGCCAATGCTTCTTCTCTCTAGTCACGCAAGAATCAGCTCGCGATGTTTTCCCTTGGCGAATCACGTCAACGTCGTTGTAACCAGCATCGCTGTCATCATCTTCGAGAAGAGGGTCGTCATGCTCTTCCTTGACAGGCTTCTTGCTACCGAAGACTGCAGAGGATTCCAATGCCGATTTCATCTGCCTGAGATTGAATCCAGCCACCATAATGGCATCGCGACCGCCGCTCTGAACTAACACTAATTCGCTGCATGACAGCGAATCCAATCCAACTCGCCGATCGTGAAGGTACCGCAGCGCTAGCGCAGCCTCGTGCAGTGCTCTCCAAAGGGGAAATCCAGTGTCTCCGAAGCAGCGGGTTAGTGGCGTTCCTACGGCGACCACGAAAAATCGCTTTCGGCTGACGTGGCAAGCGCCAAACAGCTTCATTATATGCGGGTGCTGCAGGCGCGACCACTTGCTTGCCAGTTCAAAGCACTCTTGTGAGGTCATACCCCGAGGTGCTTTCTGCACGGTGACCGCTGCGCGCTGCCATTTGAACTGCTGCTTAGTCCTTTCGTACGGAGCAACAAACCACTCAGGCAGGGACATCAAACTCATTTTCGCATCGATGCTCGTGTTGTTGCCGCAACAACTTACCACGAACGCAAAAGTACGCTCGAGTAACTCCGACTCGTCCGCTGTCAGCAGAGTATCAAACTTTTGCGCGTCATGTTTGAGTAGCGTAAGCAACTCGATCTGGTCTGCAGCTTCACGGACTCGCGAGTTGGAGACTGCGACAATCTCCTGCTCCTCGAGATACGATCGAAAGAATACGAGACGCTCCGCTCGCATCCGGCGCCAACGCGACTGCCAGCGAGGTAGAGAGGGACCAGCCCCACTGGGCGCAACCACTGCTAAGCCGCATCTCGCCGTGATAGCATCCAGCGTTCGGTGGAAACTCTCGACTTGCTGCACCACTCGACCGGTCTGTACGAGACGCCACAGAGGGCGCTTCTCGGCCTCATAAATAATGAAAAAGCTGTGAATGTTGTCGAGCAGGTCGTCGATGGCTTGCTGTGTCTGGATATACAAGGCTTCCTGCTTGTCGAATTTCGATGCTCTCTGCAGGTACCGAGCCAAGAGGTCCAATCGGTCCGAGAGGTGGTGGTCGAGGTGCGGCTCTCGTCGGCGACGGCGGTGCAATCGGCGCCGTGGTGGCTGTACGGGTCGGGGCGCGGACGTCTTGGACGACATTTCGCGATAGCTTGTAGACGACGTCGGGGACTCGAGTATCACGGGCGCTTCTGAATGTGACGATGACGATGACAATGACGACGACGGCGAGGCAGGCGTCGCCTCCCCGACTTTGTCTAGTCGTGAGAGCGCTGAACGACGAGCGCTACTGCTCGTGCAGCCCATTGCCACCCGCAGAGCGACACGGAGCAGTCGGGTACGAGGAAGTCTCGTCGTACAGCACGCTGTAAATATTCGAAATGAGCGCTGACTGCAGTTGAATGAAGGACGGGCCTATTAACTTGGTCCGGACTCAGGCACTGCGGTAAGAACTGCGCGTGTGTATCTGAACGTATATGAGCTATTCCACCTCGCAGGTGGAAGAACCCTGCTCGCTCTTGAGCAGCAGCTCCAGCCACGAGATTAGCGTTCATGGTGTTCGTCGAGTTGAACCGTCAACATCACCATGTGGACAGCTGTGCTCTATGTTCTCTATGTTGCGTGTTACTCATCGTGTGATCGAACGGGCGCTATAGCAATTTGTGGCCCTCAGAGGTGTCATCTGACATCGCGGCAAGCTACGAGACCGCATGCCGCACAATGTACTCGAGGACGTCCTGGTACAAGGGCTCCTCGCGGCTTTTGGCCTTGCAGATAGTCATGTGGTCTGAGTCCGGGAGCACGTAGAAGCGACCGACGCCTGGGTCGGCCGACTCGGGCTTCACGACGACAGCGGAGAGCCCAAGCGCCACTGGAGCAGCGCGCTCCTCGCCTACGCTGAGGCAGTCGATACCCAAGTCTTTGAAGCTCTCGTTGAGGTCCTTAAGACGGCCGTTCGGGTCCGCACCAAGGTCTTCGATGGCCGGGTGTGTCTGGATCAGCTTCCTAATGGACTCCGAGCGCACGCCCTTGGCTAGATCGGAGCCAAAGTGAGGCACAGCGAGAAACACGACTCCTTTCGTGCTGTCTGCAAGGCCAGATCGATCGCGTTGCTCACGCTCGACTAGCAGCATCTTCTTGGTTAGCAGTCCGCCCATAGAGTGGGTGATGAACACAACGGGACGAGCAGGTCCGTCCGAATGGCGTCGGTCGCGACCAACATTTGCAGCGTACAGAGCCGACACCATGACACGCGCACGCTCCTGCAAAGTGAGCGAGGGCCACGGACTCGACCAACTCACCATGCCAGCCTCGTAGCCCAACGTCACCAAACGCGCAGGTACGCCGTTGCGCCGCAAATCTTCCGCAAGTAACACGTCCGGCCAAATGTCGTTGCTACCTTCTAGCTTGTTGCCCATATGAGTGCGCCATGTGCCGAATGGATGACCGCGTAGACCGTGCACGAACACCACATCGACGACTGGTGCAGTACTTTCATCATCCATAGCTTCATCCACCTCGCTTGAGTCACTTCGCGAAACAATTGGGTGCACGCCTTCGCAATACACGTCCTTGACAAGATGGCCAGTGATCACCACTTCGTCATACGCGCGGAGGTTTTGGACGACGCGAAAGTAATTCGAGCGCTGCATTGGGTCCTCAATCTCGCGCCAGCGATTGATAGCTCCAAGAAATTGCTTCCCAGACACCGTCTGCCCAAGCAGTTTAGAGATGTTGACGTGATCGCTGGAAACTACAGCCCGAGTAGGATCCGTGGAGGGCGCCGAGCTCCGTGGGTCGATATCAAGACAATAGCTAGCAACTAGGTTCGCTAATACCCGAGCGCACTGTGTGTGTTGCGCAGGCGTGGCTGCCCTAGTTGCCGACAGCAAAGCCACCAACGGCACAATACCTTGTTGCACTAACTCTGTGTGGTGATGCTCTACCAGCACTGCCAAAGCTGAAGTGCCAGCATCGACCACTGCAGGGTTAAATAAAATCCGCTCATTTCCCGGAGTCAATTCTTTCGAGACGTGGGCGATATCCTCCATCTGCTTCACTGCAAGCATTTCTCCGCTCGAAAGTAGACGCATTTGCTGGAGCATGTTAGTGAGCCAAGCCTGCAGGATGTGCTCTTGTTTGTTGCGAATTTCTTCCTCTTCCTCCGACACCAATCCTGTCGGGGGTGGTTGCTTCTGCTCAGCCAGATGCACCAGGCTCGCAATGGCGTTCTCACGCACTTGGTGGTCTGCACTAGCACTCCAAGCCGTCAGAATGTCGACCCAACCGAACTCGACACTGGCCTCATATTCTTCCGCGCCTATGATGGGCAAGTCGGTGAGATCGTTCACTCCCCTGAAGAAGCGAGACATGGGCAGATCTCGGCGAGACTGCAACAGCGAGGCTGTCCAAGAAGCGTCGAACAAGCAATTGAGAGCGATTGCGCCGCTCTGGAAGCCTGTGCAAATGTTGCGAAACGTCCATGACAAGTGGCGCTGAATCTCCATCATGTCCCTTGCGTTGTCCGTGTCAATCATAGCCCAGATATCTTGCTTCCGTTCATGGATTTGACGCGATAAGCCGAAAAGTGCCGCTCTTGTCGTCGGAGACTCACAAACGTAACGCCGACTCTGCGGGGACGCCGTGAGTGTGCGTAGGCAGCGTGAACTAATCAGCTGGAGTTGAAGGCGAAGCCTTTGGCCACGCTTCTTGGTATCATAGTCCTCAATTCGGCCGGATTTCCGTCTTTGCCAGACCACTTTCTTAGAGTTTGACTCTCGTTCGGCTCGTTTTATCCCAGTCCAATAGCGAATTTGTTTCATCCAAAGTTCGTACGTACCACGCGACACAGACGCCGGGTTTTGTCGAGCAATATGCAGCAACCTGTCAAGCAGTGTAGCAGCCTGCAACTGTAAGTTGTCATCGTCACCAGATCGCGGTAACTCCAGCAACATCGTCGCAAATTTTGGTCCTAATACCGCTTCAAGTTGCTGCGCACGTAGAGCGCTCGAATCTTCTTGGCCCATAGCTTGCGCAAGCGTGCTCAGTGCCCACAGTCCAAACTTCTTCATAGAATCAGGCATTTCCGGTGAGCACAGCTCCGCCAGCGCGGCGCAGCTCTCCGCTACTCGAGATCGTTCTGAATCCGCTAGCTCCGAGCGATACACCGTAAAGGCTCGAGATGCGTCTGCCCCCTCCTCCAGTATTCGGTGCGCCAATTGCTGCACCTTGGCCAGAGCGTCTCCGAGCTGCAGCATATCAACGTAGCTCACGGTATCGTCCCGCTGTTGATGGAGGTGGGCGAGCGTCTGCGCCAGCGTCAACAGCGACAGTTGTAACTCTGTCTGACCATTGTTTGCAGCTGCATCTAGCAACTTAATGAGGCTGTGCACCAGTTCTGCAGATTCATGCACACGGCGTTAGATCTCGCCTAGAACTTCCGAGCATCGGGGGGATACTCTTCGCTGCGCACCTTGCAGTCTTCTCGGCTCCGTGGGCTTGTTCCAGGCTGTGTACTGAACAAGCAGAGGCAAAACACCTCGTTCTACCAGGAATCGCAGCGTTTCTTGGCTCTGTTTGTCGTCTTCGAGGCGGAGGATGCAGGACAGCAGACGCTCAAGCAGCTCGTCTTGCGCCGCCTGCAGCCCGCCACGGCGCAGAATCTCTCCCCACTGAGCCACCAGCGTTAAAGCATCATCAAGTGACGCGGCCGTCTCGCTCTCGTGGAGGACCAAAGCTCCCAATAGTGCCGTGCTGTGAAGCCGCCGCGCACTGTCGGGGGGCGAAGTCAGCGCTAGCGCCGCCGCGCCAGCCCCAACCGCTACGGACAGAGTGGGCAGTGAGAGAGAGCGCTTAGGCGCAGACAGGTGGGCGTCTCCTGTGCGGCGCGACGATGCCAGGCGTCGACTGGGGGGCGCGCCCGCGGCTCGAGGGAGAAAGCGCCGAGTCCATTCTGCACGTGGGGGCATATTGTGTGGGGATGCGTTTGAAACGCCAGAGTGATGGTGCTCGAAAGTGTATGGAGGAATGTATTGGAAAATTCTGCTGCACCAAACTGGGACAGTCTCCAGAGCAAACTGGGACAGTCTCCAGAGCAAACTGGGACTGTAGAGAGCTGTAGCGTCAAGTGCAAATGCGCTATGTTCGCGTCCAGCAACTTGCTGGCAGCAACGACGACGGCGACAATATCGCCAACCTGGCAGCGTGCCGCCAGAGTACTTAAGTAAGTGTTTCAAAAGCAAATAACGATACCATGCTGGCTCACGCGTCTTGAAATGACAAAAGACCCGTACGGCCGCGGCTTAGCAAAGCGTTTGCCGTTGTTTCGAATGCGATGCGGCGCGCCATTTCGCCATCCTTCCCGAGGAAACACATTAGACCCAACAAACCCGAAGTTATCAGCGAGCGAGTCGTGGGGTTGCCGAGTTTTGTGCGGAAGCTGCTTGGCGTGTACACGGATCTGGCAGTTTACAAGACCAACAACCGACTACAAGATGGCGGCTTTGCCTCATCGTGGGCCCAGTTGTGCACGATCTTCTCTGAGCTGGAGACGTTCCTCGAGGTCCCGCAGCCCCAGAAAGATGCAGAGATTCAGCGGCAGTCCGCTGTGTTGGCGTTGAAAGACTTCATCGAGGCCACAAACTCGGAAGATCAAACCTCGCCCGAGCAGCTATGCTCCATTTGCCTAAGCGAAGATCCAGCAACCGACCAAGTAAGCTTGCCGTGCGGCCACCACTTCCATGAAGACTGCGTGATCGACTGGTTTAGCACCAGAACAACGTGCCCGCTTTGCCGCCGCAGCTCTCATTGACGAAGTGCTACACGCCAAATGACAACAATGTGCCAAGTTTTGACTTTCTACCGACAATATTATCTATCTGCAAGATTCGACTTGTTGATATTGTAGCTCTACGCCCCAACAGGAGGAAGCAACTGCGATCTCAATTGGCCCGCTCTAGTCGCTCAAAAGCATCGCCGGAACCAATCTCCTTCTCCCGTCACAACTTTGGTTTCCAATTGAGGTATCAACTGAGTCATGTTCATTGCAATTTGTTGTTTGGACTGTTCGCTCGAAATGTACAAGGCATGACTGTTTGAGATTGCAACAACCACCAGGTAATCGGGTTGCGACTCGTTACCAGGGAGATATCGGTCGGGCCACAACAACGCCCCCAACATATCACGATACAGGACGGCAGACAAGAGGACAAGTTGTCCTGGTGTTGTCCTGGACAACACCCGGCTATTGAAGCTGAAGTCAGGCCAGCCATGCAGCAAAATAAGGTTCTTCTAATTCGCGATCTACCTGCATTCCAACCCTTCACACGTAGCGTGTTATGAGACGCTCTCGCAGTAGAGGCAACCAGTCCACGATGCCAGTGCCGACACCCAGCAGCGGAATGCAGTTCCGAAGCCACGAACAGATAGGGCTGTGGAGAGCTCATGAGAACGAGATTCACAGGGTAGTTTTTGCGCGTCGCGATGCATGCATCGATAGCTTGCAAGAGAAGGCTAAGTTACGACCTGCTTGTTGGAGATCGTTAGGGCAGGATTGCGCTAAATGAACACAATATACCTCACCTGAAAAATGAAAAAAATGAAAGTTACGGCCTGCACCTCAGGCTGGTCACCAGCGCATCAAATGGGTACAGTACGCGGATGCGATTCAGAAGCCGCGGACAGATAGGTACGCGCACTTCAGGATCGGAGCACCGCAAAACCCGACGAGCAGCTCGTCGTCCTTCGAAGTAGCCAGCGGGATGCTGCCCACCACCAGGAGGGTTGCCGCAGCTTCAACGGCAGCTTCAATCGGCACATTCAGCGTTGAGCTTTGCGCTCTGCTGCACTGGCAGCTCAGCACCCGGAAGGCAGGCAAGGCTCTCAGCTCAGCGGAGCGCGGAGCTCGGCAAAGCTTTGCTTTGCGGCTATGCATGACACGCGCACCGTGTCGGCTGATGATAACGCCGGCAGCTTCGCGGCAGGTAAACAGCGGAGTCAGCACCGAAACCAGCTGCAGGTCGCCGTTGAACGGGACTGTGGAGACCGTTGGCGAAGACCCAGGGCCTGTATGGAGCGTGCAGCACGCCAAGCAGGACAAGCCGACCCGCTCCCAGTGAGGCTGCCCGCCACCACGGCCATCTGCCGGAGCACATGCCGAGCCTCGCGCGGGGCGCTCGCTGGCTGAAGAGCGTGGTGCCCCCCATCGTTGAACTTGCCGCCCCGATGGCGAGAGACGACGGGAGGGGCGGCCCAAACTGCAAGCAGTCGTTCGGCAGCACCTCAACCACGACACCTTTGCCGATGATGCCACTTTTCCCGGACCGGAGCCGAGTGCAGTGCAGACACTGTCTGAGACGGCTGCACTACATCTATTAGCACGACGAATGCCGCTGCCATCGCTGCTGCTTTTTGGTTTCCCCTGTAGGCGGCGCATGGAATCTTTTTCCTCCATGTCAGAGAAGCAATGCCGCGATTTTAACGCGCTGAGGCGTTTTCTGAAGTTTGCTGACTGTCACTTGCGTTTAACAAATCCCGAGGAACCGGGCGCCGTCGTGAACGCCCGCCGAGCGACGAGCTCCTGTAGGCGATGGCGGCGGCGGTACGGAGGCGCGCGACGTGTGAGCGCAGCCGTCTTGCTTGCCGGTGAGCTGGAGTGGAGCTCGGGGACTTGGCCCGTGCTCGTCGGCGGCATGCTTACTTGGCCGTGGTTTGGGCGCCGCTAATTTGCTGGTTTGGGTTCCGCGCTTCAGTTTTCCGTGTTGCATGGCCGGGGCTCCGTGTTGAACTTGATGATTGAAGTTGGCGGGCATAGTGAAAGCAAGAGTCGGCCTCCAATACGTGATATTCTCGGGGAATGCGCGCTCGCAGGTAATTGAAGTTGCAGTGACTGGACCCGTCTGCGCTCGTCGTCTGGGCGTCCCGGCGCTTTCATTTTCGATTCAGCGTCGCGGAGCTCGGTCCGCCATCAACCTTCGCCCGACACCAGCACCACCAGCCAGCAAGCAGCGCTCCCGCGTGTGACTGCCCGTTATGCTTTCATCGTCGCCGACACTGCCGTCGACAACCGTGCGGCCGTTCGCCTCTGGCGCGCCCTCGGTGGAGTTGCCCAAATTAAGGATCCCAATCGAAGCGGTACGCCAAGAAACAGGGCGTGGCCGCGACGACACGCGAGCCCCCGTCGGTGGGTATCACGCCGCGCCGCCAGTCCCCGTCAAGACTGAGGCCCCGACCAGCGCCACCATGCAGCACGGACCCTCGACGCGCTCGCCGTCGTCTCCGTCTTCCTTCTTCACGCAGCCTGAGATCGCCAAGGTAGGGCTCGCCTACCACTGCTTCAAGTGCATGCACTTAGATCAAAGGGCAACATGTCCATGTGCAACCAGCCAAAAGATGGTTGAAGTCTAACCTGGTGGTTGGTATCTATTGTGATATTTGCAGCTTGGCTTGACCCCGCTCCTCGAAGCCGCCGAGCAAGTGCGCCCGTCGACCGCTGAGACGTCGCCTCTCTTCGGTCGCACAAGCCCGCTCAAGCGCGAGCTCCCGCAGCCGCTGCCCTCAATCATGCATGCCATGGGTGGCTACCCTCTGGAGTCATTGTCGATGCCCAAGAGAGCACGCGTCGGCTCGGACGTCGGACTGGATGTGCAGGCTTCGTATAGCTTGCTGGGCCACATGCCTCGCCAAGCCATGATCTACCCTTCCATCCCCCAGCAGCATCCCTACCACCAGCAAGCTACTTCCTACGCACCTGCCACTGAAGTCCAAACCCTCAGCAGTGCAGGATCAAGCTCGCCTAGTGCACATGGACTGCCTACCATCTCCGGTGTCTCGGTCTGGGACACCGTGCTGTCAACAGGCAAGTTCCCCACGGACGTTTGCTTGAGCGAGCATGGCTCCGGTGCGGCATCGCCGACAGCCGCTTTCAACCCCAACAAGACCAGGTCGAGCAGCGAAGACGCTACTGAGTGCATCGGAGCGTTGGCAAGCACTGAAGTGAAACAGGGGCGGTGGACAGCAGATGAAGAGCAGTACGCCAGCTCCCTGATTCGGGCAGTGAACAGCGGAGAGGTTGTGTTGCCGCCGAACGTCTCGGTGCGGAAATTTGTTGCAGACAACCTGCAGTGCAAGACCATGCGCGTGAGCAAGAAGTTCCGAAGCCTCGGATCTAGCCCCCGAGACGCCCCTGAACATGAAGAGGAGCCCGTGACCCCACGTGATGAGTCGTTCAACCCGCTCAGTCTCAAGTCTATCATGAACAACGAGTCTAGCGCCTCGACGTTGTCGTCCGATGTGCTTAACGTTGCGGAGACCATCGCCAACGCGAACCTGATCCGCCAGAGCCCAAGCAACAAAAGTGGCAAGAAGTCAACGCAGCGTGTACTCAAGCGGTCCGACTACTCGCAGCACGGAAGGGTGCGCAGCGGCCGGTGGTCGGTGGAGGAAGAAAACTATGCCAAGGCCATGATCGAGGCGTTCAAGTCGGGCTACCTGCCACTGCACGGCAACGTCTCCCTGCGCAAGTTCTTGTCCGAGGTGCTCGTGTGCCACCCGATGCGCATCAGCAAGAAGTTCGTGGGTTACGTGCGGAAGTATCACTGGTACCGCATCGCCGCGGGCAAGTGCGATCCCGAAGCCAAGCGTCAGGCGTTGTACCAACTTAGCCACCTCGAGCGGGTCTTCTGGACGTCGCTGCAGCAGAACAGCGAGTGGTCCGCCGGCCTCCGCAGGGACGACTAATCTGACCAAGGTCAGCCCGGCTGCCGGTGAGGCAGCTCGATGATATTTAACAGCGGACCGAATGAAGGCCAATCCAGCGCAGCAAAGCTCGCAAAGAACAGGAACACCTTGTTATGAGGCAGGCGAGCAGTATGTAAGTTTAGTAATAGGTGTTGCAGTCAATGAAACATTCATTTTGCGTACTTCTCCCGAGCAAACTGAAGCAAGGCATGTTGAAGTTAAGGGTAACAGCACATGGACAGGCCCAAGCGGTACTGCAAGTCAAGCAAAACAATATTCTAACCCAAAACAACAAAACGGACGACCCAAAACAAAAACTTCAGTTGACCTGCGAGCGCGCATTCCCCGAGAATATCACGTATTGGAGGCCGACTCTTGCTTTCACTATGCCCGCCAACTTCAATCATCAAGTTCAACACAGAGCCCCGGCCATGCAACACGGAAAACTGAAGCGCGGAACCCAAACCAGCAAATTAGCGGCGCCCAAACCACGGCCAAGTAAGCATGCCGCCGACGAGCACGGGCCAAGTCCCCGAGCTCCACTCCAGCTCACCGGCAAGCAAGACGGCTGCGCTCACACGTCGCGCGCCTCCGTACCGCCGCCGCCATCGCCTACAGGAGCTCGTCGCTCGGCGGGCGTTCACGACGGCGCCCGGTTCCTCGGGATTTGTTAAACGCAAGTGACAGTCAGCAAACTTCAGAAAACGCCTCAGCGCGTTAAAATCGCGGCATTGCTTCTCTGACATGGAGGAAAAAGATTCCATGCGCCGCCTACAGGGGAAACCAAAAAGCAGCAGCGATGGCAGCGGCATTCGTCGTGCTAATAGATGTAGTGCAGCCGTCTCAGACAGTGTCTGCACTGCACTCGGCTCCGGTCCGGGAAAAGTGGCATCATCGGCAAAGGTGTCGTGGTTGAGGTGCTGCCGAACGACTGCTTGCAGTTTGGGCCGCCCCTCCCGTCGTCTCTCGCCATCGGGGCGGCAAGTTCAACGATGGGGGGCACCACGCTCTTCAGCCAGCGAGCGCCCCGCGCGAGGCTCGGCATGTGCTCCGGCAGATGGCCGTGGTGGCGGGCAGCCTCACTGGGAGCGGGTCGGCTTGTCCTGCTTGGCGTGCTGCACGCTCCATACAGGCCCTGGGTCTTCGCCAACGGTCTCCACAGTCCCGTTCAACGGCGACCTGCAGCTGGTTTCGGTGCTGACTCCGCTGTTTACCTGCCGCGAAGCTGCCGGCGTTATCATCAGCCGACACGGTGCGCGTGTCATGCATAGCCGCAAAGCAAAGCTTTGCCGAGCTCCGCGCTCCGCTGAGCTGAGAGCCTTGCCTGCCTTCCGGGTGCTGAGCTGCCAGTGCAGCAGAGCGCAAAGCTCAACGCTGAATGTGCCGATTGAAGCTGCCGTTGAAGCTGCGGCAACCCTCCTGGTGGTGGGCAGCATCCCGCTGGCTACTTCGAAGGACGACGAGCTGCTCGTCGGGTTTTGCGGTGCTCCGATCCTGAAGTGCGCGTACCTATCTGTCCGCGGCTTCTGAATCGCATCCGCGTACTGTACCCATTTGATGCGCTGGTGACCAGCCTGAGGTGCAGGCCGTAACTTTCATTTTTTTCATTTTTCAGGTGAGGTATATTGTGTTCATTTAGCGCAATCCTGCCCTAACGATCTCCAACAAGCAGGTCGTAACTTAGCCTTCTCTTGCAAGCTATCGATGCATGCATCGCGACGCGCAAAAACTACCCTGTGAATCTCGTTCTCATG